TCTTGGGTGATGTAATGATGATGTGCCTTGGTGTGTTCCTTCTTGGGTCCAACTTCTTTGGGACTCTCTGAGCTTCCTGGATTTCCTGGAAGTCTATTTCCTTTGCCAGATTGGGGGAGTTCTCCTTTATTATTTGTTCAAATAAGTTTTCCACTGGTGGCTGTTCCTGTTCCCCTTCTGGTACCCCCATAATTCAGATGTTGGAGCATTTAAAGATGCCCTGGAGGTTCCTAAGCCTCTCCTCATTTTTTTGAATTGTTGTTTCTTCATCCTTTTCTGTTTGGTCATTTTTTTCCTCCTTCTGGTCCACTCCCTTGATCTGAGTCCCAGTTTCCTTTCCATTACTATTGGTTTCCTGTGCATTTCCCTTCATTTCAATTAGTTTAGCCTTCATATGTTCCTCTGATTTGTGACTAAAATCAACCTGTTCTGTAAGCATACTGATCAACATTGTTTTGAACTGTGCATCTGAAAGTTTGGCTATTTCTTCATTGCTTAGATTTATTGGCTCTGGGGCTCTGAGTTCGTCTTGAGCCATGTTTTGATCTGTTCGTGCCTGTTATGTATGAGGAGCGGAGCCTTAGGTGTTCACCAGGGTGGGGCTACCCAGGTCGCTGGTTTATGACGCTGTATGTGGGGGCGTGGTCAGAAAGGGCCAACCAGGTCGCTGGTTTGTGACGCTGTACGTGGGGGCGGGGTCAGAGAGGGACAGTGGTGGTCCCCTCTGCTGCTTCCTGCTGCTGGGGCCTGTGTGGTTCATCTCACTGCTCGCTCCTTCCCGGGTTTATCTGCATGTGAATGTGTGACCTTGGTCAGCCCTTAGTGGGTGCACCGCCTTGTACCCTCAGTGGGTCTGCCCACTTCTCCACACCTGGGATCCACCCACGGTTGCCTGCGTGCCTGGGTAGCGCATCCGGGTCGGTTTGGTGGATCTTTCCTGCCCAACCCCGCTCTGCTGCTGGCTCTGCCCCTCTTACTGGTTTGGCTGAACGGTTTGTTGTTGTCAGACTTCCATGTAGTTCAATTTTCTGTGGTTTGGCTGCGTTTTTGTTGCCAAAACTTTGTTGTTTTTAAACTTAGTTGTGCGAAAAGGCGCAGTGCTTCCACCTACACCTCCATCTTGGTGGAAGTCCTTGAGTTCCTTTCTTCTAAGAGGTATGTTGCCTGCCCGCTCTGTGTTGAGCACAGTCCTAGGTGCTGAGATACAGGGTGTGGAAGGCTGGAGTGGTCCTTGCCCTTTGGTCTGGGAGAAAGATAGTAACGCAGCAGATTTGGAACAGTCACTGCTAGGATGGGGTAAAAACAGGGTGCCTTAGGGGGACATGGATAGGGTTTAGGGGTGGGGTATGTTGAGGAGGGCTTCCCCGAAGAGGCGATGTTGGAGCTGAGACTCAGTGGAGAGGAAAGCCCGTGTGTTCCGGTGCAGAGGCCTGCAGCAGAGCTGGGGTGGCCCAGCTGGAGCACAGTTAGTGGATCAAACATGGCAGGATGAGGCTGGGGAGGCAGGGGTGGGCTAGGTCCTGGAGGTTCTTCCAGCCTCTTAGGAATCTCAGAGAGGTCAAGAAGCCTGGAGGTGGTTTGGTAGGACTTTCCTTTTGAAGTGACTGCTGTAGCAGTGGCAAGGGCAGAGGACAGCAGTGGGCGGGGCTGGGCAGAGAGACTACTTGGGGGCAGCTGCTGAGGGCATTGCAGGTAGACTCGGGGAGGGGAGGGTTGGAAAGAAGTGCATGGTGCTTTCACTGCCCGGGGAGCCCAGGGAGGGTGTGGTGGGACTGGTGAGATCAGTTTTGGACAGGCTGGCTCGATGCCCATTGGACATTGTGGTGACGTTCATGCCACATGCCACTGGGCAAAGCCTGCTCAGGAGAAAGCTGCTCCGTGGGCTTCACACATTCCTCACGACAAAGGCCTTTCTGTGCAGCTTATGGCTCTGCAGCAGCCACCCCAAGGCTGTGGGGGCAGCTCAGGGTGGGAAGAGGCCAGAGGGGGGCAGCTGGCTTCAGAGGTGCAAATGCCACCGCTTTGCTTGCATGGCAGCTGGTTTACCAGGCCCCACTGCATGGCCACAGAGGGGACTGAACAATGGGTTAGTAAATTCACACGCTGTTTCTGGCTTGCTGTCACCTGTGAGGACAGACAAGTGACAGAGAGTGAGTTCTGGTTGTGAAGGGGGGATTTGGGGGTGTGTATGGGAACCCTCCCTGCAAAATAAGTATCCCGTGTGGGTCCTCAGTGGAAAAGCATGTGATGCCTTCCTTTGCTTTATGCCGCTCAGAATTGCCTCTTCTATTTATTTTGTAGCAAGAACCCAACTCGTTTTCTTGCTGCCGCACATGATTGTGTCTGGCTACGTGGGCAGCACCTTGTGAGTCTTTTCTCCACCAGAGGTGAGACAGAATCTGGGGGAGGTCAGGGAGCGAAGGGCCGGCAGGAAAACCTCCTCTCAGAGCTTGAGGACTCCCCCGTCCGGGGACACACTGGTGCGTCTGTCCCAGGTTCTGTCCCTGGGGACTGGCGAGCTGCACGTGTTCTGCTGTGCTCTCTCTCAAGACAACATGTTTATTTACTTCCTTTACAGCACTTAGCATGTCAGGACAAGAGACAGCCTGGCAAGCCAGTGAAGGTGCCCTCTTACTGAAAGGCGTGAAGAGGCGCGTTGCACGCTCAGGGTCAGCAGAAGTGGCGGAGCTGGGACCCTGTGTCCGGGCTCTTTGACAGGCTTTTCCACTGGTCAGCCACCTCCTGATGCTGGCATGAGAGCCTCGGTTGGCCTCTGGCCGTCTCGCTGGCGTCCGTGCCCATGGTAGATGTGCGTGCGTGCACCACAGCTGGGAGCACCCCGGGCCGAGGGCAGGCTCCTCCTGGACCTGCACAGGCTGGCCCAGAGTCCCGGGAGGTGCTGGTGCCTCGTGGGCGCTCCCCAGTGTGATCACTCGTCCTGCACTGCCACCGTTCGTGCTCACCCTGCGCTTCGGGTTTTCCCTGCTCCAGGAGAGCAGGTGGGCACCAAGGCCCCTGGGACACACGCTGCCAGGTAGGCAGAGCCTGAACCCTCCCCGCCTGTGTTACTCCCAGGCCAGGCCCTGAAAGCCTGTTCGAGGGCCAGCAGGAGGAATCAGGGTGAAGTGAGGGCTCTAATGCTTATGGATGGAATCGTGGTGAGGATAAGATTTTTAATTTGTGTAGTAACCGTGTTTGGGAGCTTTCAGTGTCGTTTGAGGTCATGACGAAAAGGCCTCCTGCTGCAGCCGGGCGCCTGCTCCTTGTGTGTTCCCAGGTGGGGTCTACACCCCAGTTCCAGTAGCTGGATCCCGAGTCACGCTGGGGTTTGGGCCTGAGAAGTAGGATTTATGGGACCCAGTCTCTGAAAACTAGGAGGTGAGAGGCTCTGAAAAGATACTTCCTTTGGCAGATGCTCCCCTTCTCTGCCCCTGCTTTTTTGCGGGCAGACACTCCTTTGCAAAACCAAACCAATCCACACTAAACCTGCTATTGATCAGAGTGTGAAGGAGGCACTGTGTACTGAGCAGAGCAGCGCGTGGGAGGTTCCGGTCTGGGCCCGGATCATTAGGTAAATACTTTTGTCCGAGGAGTGTGGCGCCGGCCGGGGCTCTGAGACAGGCATGTGAATCCACACGCTCACGGGTGACCGGCTGTTTCTGAGCAACGTCTGTTGGTCTGGCGGAAGCAGGGTCTGCTCAGCAGGAGCAGGGCTGCCTCCTTCAGGGATTCTGGGCTGACCTGGGTGCTCCCCAGTGACAGACAGGTGGGAGCGAGCCTGTCCGCCACCTTCAGAGCTCGCCAGGGTTCTGGCTGAGGCCCTAGTCAGCGCTGTTACCTGACCTTCCAGTACGTTCCTCTGTCAATTAGTGCGATGAGCAGAGGGAATCCACCAGGTGGACGGCCCTCTGCCTCTCGTTGGTGCACGCCCTGCATCCAGGTGCGCCCGGCCCTTCTCAGCCTCTGTGTGTTTGCTCACGCCGCTCCCGGCCTGCAGTGCCTCCCGTGCCCCCCTCCTCGCTGGTTCCCATCTCCTCTCCGAGGCTCTCAGCAGACTCCAGTTCTTCCCTGCGGCATCCAGAGCGCATCTTCCGTGGGGTACCCCGCTGTTCCTTTCCTCCTTGTGGCTTTTCTTCAGCCCCAGTTTGTTAGCAGGACCTTGCCTTGCCCCTCCCAGCACACACCCCTAGCAGCTGTTAAGAAACACAGGTGATCGGCAGCACGCTCCCCGCCCTGCGAGGCACCACTGTGCGCCCTGGCTTTCCTGACCTACATTAAGAAACACAGTTTTTTAGACTGTGACCTGGTAGAGAAAAAAGGGACCGAGAAGCTCACGTGTGCTCACGCACAGGGAAACATGTTTCGTAAGGCACTCTACCCACGGAGCCTCGGGTGCTTCCTTTTCTATTCACGTCCTGCTGTTTTTAATGCTGGACTGCAGTTTGAAAACGTTGGTAAATAGTTGAGCTCGGTGGGAGGGGCTCTCTCTGTGTGTCTAGTGGTGTCCGGGCAGGGACAGGCAGCCCCTGATGGGTTGGGGACGGGGCCCTGGGCCCGCAGGGAACTGTTTTGGGAACAAGTGCGCCCGCTGCAGCCTACGGTGTGGTCCAGGGGAAAGAATGCCGGACTCGGGCATTTCTGATTCAAGTCCGGTTCTGCCGCTTGGTGGCAGGGAGACCGTGGGCAGATCACTTCACCTCTCTGTGCCATCCGGTGTGGCATCGGGTGGCTGTGAGACCAGTGAGAATATGCCGGTGCGCAGCCCTGACCCCTTGGATCCTTGCATTCAGGGCCCTCCAGTGTAGGGGCGTGCCCCGGGCTGACCTTGAACCCTGGGCCCTTACTTTCTCTCTTTTCTCTGTCAGCCTGGATCAGAAGGGTGGTAGGGCAGCAGAAACCAGTCACCCTCTGCCCAGAGTTTAGGGTGGAATTGATTGGTGTGCGCGTGACCCCGTGTGAGGTGTGGCGCCCCCGCCCTGACTCAGCCTGCTCTCTTCCAGCCCTGAGGGATGGCTGCCATGTTGGGGGACGCCATCATGTTGGTCAAAGGCCTCGCCAAGCTGGCCCAGGCGGCCGTGGAGACCCACCTGCAGCACCTGGGCCTCGGCGGGGAGCTCCTCGTGGCGGCCAGGGCCCTCCAGTCCACAGCTGCGGAGCAGATCGGCGTGGTCTTGGGAATGGCGCAGGTGAGCGGGCGGTCCAGGAGGGGCGCCCGTGGGAGGGGGCACGCTCGGACTTCTAGGTGAGACCAGGACATGGCAGGGCGGCTGGTCTCCTTGCGGCCAGAGAGCCCGCTGGTGAGTACACCCCACTGTCCTCCCCGGTGGGGCAGGGGTCCTGTGGGGGGCTGCTGGGGGACTCAAGTTCCAGCCGCAGGAGGCTGCAGGGAGCTGGGGAGAAGCCCCAGGAGCACACAGCCCCCACACTAGGTAGATGAGCAGTTCACTGGCGCCCACCAGTGGGGGCGGGCGTGGGCGCCAGGCTCGGGCCCTGCTGCAGGGGAATCGAGGGTGACCGCCAGTTTCTGGGCCTGTCTTGAGGTACTGAAGAGAGGCCTTTTTAATTTGGGGAATTAACAGCATCACAGAGGAGAAAGTAACACTCGCCAGTGTTCTAAGGGAGGCAGCTGAAAGGAACTGTGCGTGAGTCCTCCCAGAAGCAGATACGTTTTCAGTAAGACAAAGCGTCCTCTCCCTGGTCCCTGATTTGCGTTAGTGTTTCTTCGTTGGGTTGGTTTCTGTGCAGAGTGATGGAAGCCCCCCACTGTTCAGGCTCAGTGGGGACACGGCCCGGCTGGGAAACGTGTTGAGTTGGGTACCACCCCTCGGCGTGGGGCTGCCACCGGAGCCCGTGCGTCAGCTGGCCTTCCCCGGGGTCTGCCCTGTTTTCCGAGGGTCTCTGGGTCCCGGTGGTGGGGCTGTGCTGCCTTCCTGGTGAACGTCCGGGGCAGCTTCGCCTCCCGCCATCCTACCGTCTCTCTTGCTGTCTTTGTGCCATGGTCCGGACAGCCTCTGCGTCCTGCCATCCAGGGGGAAGGTTCTGAGCACAGAGGAGTGCTGGAGAGGTGATTATGAACAGGCTTGAGAGAGCGGAGGGCCGCTCACCATGGTGCGACCCTGCGCCGTCCCCAGTACCTGTCCTCAAGGTCCAGGGGGATGGGCGCACGCCTCTGTGTGCACGGGCACCTGTGTGCTGGGTGGGAGCTATGCCGAGAGGGCACCCTGCCGCCTCTGCTTCCGTGTCTGTCTGCTTGGCTGACCTTCGGACAGACAGAGGGCACTCGCGCTCCCGCAGGCCGAGGCCATCGCAGCCTGCAGCCGGCAGGCCGGTCAGTTGTAGTCTGGGGATTCCCAGCCCCTCCCCCGCTGTTCTCTGAGGGTTTGGTGGCAGTATGTGACTGTGTCTCACTCCACACAAAGCCTTGTACTTCTAGAAGCCTTCACACCCGAGACCTCATCCAAGCCCCCCTGCTGCCCCGGGGAAGGGGGCAGGCCTGGGTGCTCCCCCCTTTTCCCAGATGGGCAAACTGAGACTTGCACAAGTTTTGTGCACGGCCTGTGACTCCTCGGTGCCAGGACCAGATTCGTGTGTCCTCTTCCCGGTGTAAGACGCCCTGCCCTCCCCCTCCCCCTGCTGAGGCCGGGCTGTGGCTCCGCCCCCCACTCGGTGCCGTCCTGTTGGGTGTTTGGCCTGTGTGACACTCAGGAGGCGCAGTTGCCCAGCTCACTGGGGCCTCGTGCGGGTGAGACAGTGTGTGAGACCTGGACAGGCCCCCCGAGAGGGGAGAGGGTCCTCCCGCCGGCTCCTGCCGGCTCCTCTGGCTCCTCTGGCTCCTCTGGCTCCTCGGAGAGGCAGGACGGTCCCTTGGAGGTAGGAGGGAGCAACTTAGCGGGGCGACGGCCTGGCCCGTGCTCCCATTCTCCCCCTCAGCACTTAGATCCCTGTGCCTCCTTCTCTGAGGGAATGGGGTGCGGGTGCAGACACCCAGAAGCCCGTCCCTCCAGCTCCGCCAGGATTTGGTCACTTCTTACAGCAGACACCACGTCTGGTCCCATTGCGGCCCTGAGGCCCCGTCTGTGTCCGCAGGGCCTCACAGCCACACAGACAGGTTGTGGTGATGCAGGGCCAGGCAGCTGTCACAGGGCAGAAGGGGGAGCCTGTGGCTCCCGTCCCGTCACCCTAAGGCCTCCCGGCCATCGTGGGAAGTGCCCCCAGGACCCAGTGCCGTTTATTTCTGCTCTGAGACAAGTGCTGTGGGGCGGCCAGCAGGACAAGCCTTGGCGCGGAGCCCCTGCTCTGCCACTGGTCACTGCTGGGCCTTTACCAGGTCACTTCAGCCTCAGTTTCCTACTCGTGAAACGAGAGTCATAGCCAAGTCCCTTTCCTTCCTCCAGAGGCAAGTCTCATGTCCTTAGGTCCCCCAGTGCTGTGTAAAGCTGAGCAAGCCAGCGGGGGATCTGCAGCCGTGACTGTGGAGCTGCAGGCAGCGCTGTGCACGCTGGCTCCGTTTCAGAGGGACAGGGAGTCCAGGACAGCGACCTCCCTCCAGGAGTCAGTGCTGTCCCAGCTGCAGCCTCCAAGGCACGGTCCCTCTGGCCCTGTCTGCAGTCCCCACGGAACCCCGTGACCGTGGGGAGTCCCCTTTTCAGATGAGGAAGTAGCAGAGAAGGTCAGAAACTCACTCAAGGTCACTCAGGGCTCAAAAGTAGAGAGAACCTGAGCGCAAAGGTCAGATCTCCACAACTGTTATCAGGAAAACATGTACCCCTGACTCCCAAGGGTGGCCAGGCCAGCCCTGACGGTGGCGTGCTGTCCGGTGGGAGCCTCCGAAGGGCACGCCGTGGCTGCCTGGTGGAGCCGTGTCTCTGGTGAGGCGCCGGCCTGGAGCGGTGGGGCGGCCCGGCTGCACGCTGCCCTTGCCCTCCTGGTCTGGGGTTATGCTTTGGCTTCTCCGGAGTGTCCTGTCTTTTGCCCTGGTTTAGCCTCCCCAAGGCCCCGGAGGCCTGTCCTTAGCCCCAGTCAGCAGGTGAAGAGCTTGCTGGGAGCGGTAGTCACTTGGCCGGTCCCAGCTGCGTCCCATACACAGTCCCTGAAGGTTCCCAGACACTGCGGTGGGACCGCACGGCAGGGCCCCGGCAGAGGCAGGGCTGGAATCTGGGCCCCCTGGCCCCGGGGCAGGGAGGTGCCGCTCGCCTCCAGAACTCACCACAGGCCCCTGGAACCATGGATGCTGCCCTCTGGGGAACCAGAGGTCAGGACCGAAGGGGTGTGCTGTCTTCTGCAGAGGGGGACGGACATGGGGGTCACCTGGCTGGCCCCTGCTCCTCTCACACCAGCGTTTGTTCCCTGCAGGGTCCAAAGCATGAAGAGCCTCACGTTGTCGAGAACTTTGAAGACCCAGAATCAGAGCTGCACTTCTCAGGGCCGAGGGCCGAGGGCGCCTCTGCGGATTTCTCTGCAGACTCCTTCCAAGACCAGTCATGGTCTCCATCCCCCGATCACGGCGCCAGCAGGGGCCCGGCCTCTACCTACGTTGACAGTGGACCCTTCAGGGAAGCGGGGCTCCCAGGCCAGGCCGCCTCCCCGCTGGGCAGGGTGAACGGGAGGCTCCTCGTAGACGCCAGAGCCCCCTTCTCTGCCGCTGGCCTCCAGCGACGGTTCTTCCACCAGGACCAGTCCCCTGTGGGGGGCCTTACGGCCGAGGACATTGAGAAGGCCCGGCAGGCCAAGGCCCGCCCAGAGGGCAAGCCCCACAAGCAGATGGTGCGTTTGGGAGCCGCCCCCCCCCCCCCCCCCCGCGGTGGGCCCGTGGGCGTCAGCCCCTCCGGGGATCGTGTGGTGGGAAGTTTTGGGAACACGGAGGGAGGCCTCTTCTTGCTGGAGTGTGCTGCTAGGCAGACCTGCTGCCTTTGGGGCTGGGGAGAGGGTCTAGGGGACCGCATGAAACTCTGAAGGCCGGTCATGCCCCACTGGCTGACTTCCCTGAGGTCTCTCTCTGTCCTCCCTCCAGCTCAGCGAGCGGGCTCGGGAGCGGAAGGTGCCGGTGACACGGATTGGGCGGCTGGCCAACTTTGGAGGTAAGGTGGCTGGCTGCGTGCTCTTGTGCCGCCTCCCCTGCGGAGGCACGCCGGGCCGGGCTGGGCGGGGCTGTGGCCGCCCTGGGGCCGGCACGGAATGGAGGAGGGCGGGGCCCATGGGTGGAGCCCACGGGGGAGTCTGGTATTGGATCCCGGGTGTTTTCCCAGCGCGGGTGATCCAGCTACTGGGTTCCCCTCTGCCTCCGCCCACGCCTGGCGGCGTGTGGCTGATGGTGCACCGGGAGCTGCGGCTCGCTTCCCGGGCCACGCTGGGGGGGCCCGTGTCAGCTCTTCCTCCTGCCTCAGCCTCGCCCCCAGGAAGGAGGCCGGGAGTGAGCGTGGCTCCCCAGGATGGGTGTTGCCCCTGGGGCCAGCCATTCGGGGAGCCATCTGCTGGATCCCACAGGCCTGTGGGGCGTCGGCAGTGATACTGCGGTGCTGAGGCCCTGAGCTGCTGCCGTCGTTTAAAGTTCGTTTTAAGACGCTGTAGCATCGTGGGGTTTATCTGTACTTTTCTTTGGGGGTTTGAGTAGCTGTTGTGCCCAGCGTACCTGTGCTTTTGCCAGAGCCGAAGGACCATTTTATGGTGACGGTGTCCCGCAGCTGCGCCTGCCTTTACGACACCGCGTTCTCATGTCTGTTGTGTATTTACTGACTATATACTCCCACGGCGAGCACCACGTCCTCCGTGGTGGCGTGGGCTGGCAGACGGGCTGCCCGGGAGCACGTCTCTCTGCGGCTGCCGGTCCTCCGTGGGTTCTGCAGGCGGCACCGTTGGTGCCCCCGCCCCACGGACGAGCCCTGGCGAGGGGCAGCCTGCAGGGCCATGGGGCACAGAGGGCTGCTCGGCCCCTGACGGTGCCGGTGCGGAGCGGGCACGGCCGCGCACCGCTGGGCTCTGCCTGCCTCGTCCGTCCGTCCGTCCGTGCCCTCCCCTCTGAGGGCGAGGTGCTTCTGGGGTGCAGACCGGCGGGCTTCGGCCGGTCGCCTCTTCACATGGTGCGTCCAGCCTGTCCTCCGTCCTCTCCTCCTGGGACTCGGTCCCCACACAGACCTTCCCCTCCGTTCCTTGCGTCTCCTCCACTCCTTGCTGTGTTTCCCTTCCTTTTCCCTGTGCCTTGGTCTCGCCTCCTCTGCACCTGTGAAGTGGGGGAGATAGGGACGATGACAGAAATGGGACTGACAGAGCAAGCAGGCCCCACAGAAAACGCGCCGAGGGCAGTCGAGTGTGCAGTCGAGTGTGCGCTGTGGCGGTGGGAGGACCCTGGCCCAGGGGTTTCCAGGCCGCAGGGAGGGGGCACCGAGTGAGGGAAGTGAGACGGCGAGGGGACCGCAGCGGGGAGTGGGAAGAGAGGGGGCTGTCTAGGTCCCATTTAGGGAGGATTTTGAAGGACGGTGCTTAATTCGGAGGCTGATGAGAAAGCAGTGGGTCAGGAGTGAAGAGCAGAGGGACTGGACACTGCGAAAGCTCACTGCTTCTGAAAGGCGAGAGGTTCGGGGCCCTCACTTCCGGGAGAATGCCTGACTTTGGGAACTAGTTCACAAGACTCCACTGGCTTTGATAAGGGGCACAGCAGCATGAGAGCGTTTTATGTTAGACGGGCGTTGCGTGCATTGAAATGCAGAGTCGCTTGCTCTTGTTGCTTCATTTTCTGAAGATTGACACCCCTGGGTGTACTGTTGATACATGAGCAACAGAGCTTTCTCTGGGGTTATGTGCCCCATCCCTGTGCTTTTGTGTCCCCCCCCCCCCCAAACAAACACTGGCCGGGAGGGCGGTTGACTTCCATTGAGGTCCTGGTGCGACAAATGCCACGCCTTTGGCAGGGGTGTGGGAGCAGGGCTTCCGCTTTTCCAGGAGCCAGCCGAAGAGGAGGTTCTGTCTGTTTTCCCCCCTTAGAAGCTCTGCAGGAGGTGAGGGCCCTGGTCATTGTCTCCAGCTGCCAGTGAGGAAGCTGAGCCACAGCCGCCTTCCACGCCCAGGGCCACATGCGTGTTTGTGCTGGCACTGGAGCCAGAGCCCAGGGGGCCTCCATCCCAAATGGCAGTCCGAGCCCACTGCCGAGACTGGTCCCCTGTCCCCTGCAGCCGACACAGGAGCTGTGTGAGGAGTTGTCCCCTGCCCCGGTGGCCCAGTTCTGGGCACGGAGGGCCAGCTCCAGAGAGCCTTTCAGAACACACTACAGGGAGCTTCCTCCTTCCAGGTCCCCTTCCTCCGGAGCTGTCCCTCTTCTCCCGGGGGCAGCGTGGAGGATGCGTGCACGGCAGAGAAAGTGGGCCGAGTTACCGGGGTTCAGGACCCCGGAAGCAGAGGCAGCATCCTCGCCCGCCGCCTCTGTGGGCCCTTCTGTCCGCCCGGGACCTGGGCCCGGGAGGTGTGCCGCCAGAACCTGGGTTTCGACGCCGGGCGAGCGCCCTGGTGGCCGTCGCACTCGCAGCTGTCCCTCTGCCCCTGCTGTCCCACAGAGCGTCCCCAGGGTCCGCAGGAACGTTTCCTTACAGCCTCGGGCCTCCCCTTTCCCCAGGTCTCCGTACTCATGGTGCTGTTTGTTAGAAGGTGTTCAGTTTTTTCCCTCACCCCAGTGCCTGCCTGGCTGAAAGCCCAGTGGCTGCTCAGGGGGGCCACATTTGGCTCTGATGACCTCCAGGGGGACTTCAGGGGGGCAGGGGCGGGGCCGGGGGCCTAAGCTCCCAGACCACCCTAAGGGGCTCTTCCCTGGAGCAAGGCCCTGCTCCCCGCCAACCCCCCCGAATTTCTCGACTTGAAACCTCTGTGGAGGAAACGGGAATGTCAGGCGCTTTCTTGGAAGCTCCTGGCACCTCCTCACAGGCTGGGATGGCGGCCAGGCCGCCCTCTGGGGGCCGCAGAGCAGGTTCCAGGGCGGGCCTTCCTGCGGGACTCCCAGCAGACTGTGTGGCCAGGCCAGGCCCGAGTGCGGATCGGAACACGGACGGGCGTGCTGTTCCGAGCGCTGCTGGGGGCGGCACTGATGGGCCACAGGTGACCGGGAGCGAGCACACGTGGGCCCCTGGGTGTCCTCACCAGGACCTGGAGGTGACTCTGGGGCAGAGGCCGACCCTCCAGTGTTTGCCTCCAGGTGCCACCAGGTTCTGAGAGAAGAGGAGTCCAGCTGGGCCCCGCCTTTCCGCTCAACAGTGTTCCGGGAATCGCGTCAAGCTTGGCTGAGGGGGGGATGGCAGGGGAGCCCGTCTTCTCCGTTTACTAGAGTAGGAAATGGCGGGGCCAGGGTCAGGGCTGCGGGGCTGGCTGGGCCTGGCCCTGGGCTGGTCTTGAGGGCTCTTGCAGGGCCATAGGAGGAGCCTGAGGCCTCCTTTCTAGAATGTTCATTTGGTTAATGATTTAATGACAGGCCCTTGGCCTTGGAGAGCTTTGACCCTGACCTGCAGCCTACGGATGGCTAGAGAGCAGTTTGACAAGGCATCTGGGGGGGGGGGGCACTGGAGGTGCGGGGGGTGCCTTTGCCTGCAGAAGGAGGGGCTCTGTCCATCCCCCTGCCCCAGCTGTGGTGTCTGTTCCCAAGGCTGGATGACCTCTGATGCCGTTGTCTTTGGACTTGATCTAGGCAGAGAGAAATCTAGATGCAGAGAGACACTGGTGAAACTTGCTAGAGCTCGAAAGTTAGTATTATCATTTATTTTGCTAAGTCAGATAATGTGTGTGCTGGGTGGGGCAGGCGTGGGCAGGGAGGTCACTGTTTACCTGGAGCCGAGGCTCCCAGCTCTGTGCCCAGGGACCTCCGGGGGGAGCAGGTCCTGGCAGCTACGTCCCAGCACCCGAAGGTGCCCTTGGTGAGCCCTGGGGTCACCCCGAGGGCCATTTCCAGATGACGGTGGCTTCTTCCTGCGCTGCCAGAGCTTGGCCTTCTGGGCCCTGTGGGACGCCTTCCCATGTCCTGCAGCAGCCACCAGCCGCCAGCCACGTGGGGCGCAGGCCCCGGAAGTGAGGCTGGCCTGAGCCGAGGCATCCTCAGGGAAAAACGCACTGGGTTGTGAGGGCTTCGCTCAGAAAAAGGTAAAATGTCTCTGCTAATACTCATATTGAGTATGTACGGAAGTAATACTCTGGAGATACTGGGTTAACTAAAATACATGATCAGAATTTACTTCACGTTTTTTGCTTTTTTAAAACGTAGCTACTAGATAATTTAAAATTATTTATAGGTTCTGGCAGAAGTAACACTCACTTGAGCATGGCTGGTAAGGTAGTAACATGGGTGTAATAATTTATAGTTGTAATTTAAACATTTCACCTAAGTGCCATATGGTGTGCTTGTGTGTGATAGTTATGTTGCAGAATTACATGCTTATGGTTTTGTGATAAAAGGTGGTGTCAGGAAGGGGGCGTTGCTTGAGCTGGACGCTGCAGGCGGCTGGCACTGAACTTCTTTCGGACGGGACTGGTCCCCACTGTGAACAGGGGGACTGATTGGCAAACACTTTCACAGCAGTGCCTGTGTCGGAACCAACCACACGCACTTTGCTTTTATTCAGTTGTCCGATCTTCACAATGACTTAGGGGGCAGGAACTTTTATTTTTTATAGAAGTACTATGTAATCATTGTAGGGACTCGGGACGGTGCATGCAGGTTTCCTTGCCTGTTAATCACAGCGCCCGGTGTGAGTCGACCCTCTCTGGGACCGGGGGCTGCTGGTCTCAGGGCGTCTTTAGTGCCTTCCCTGGGTCTTTGCTGTTCCTTCCGCAGAGGTCAGTGTGCTTGGCCGCATGTTCTTCATTCTCTCTGTGCCGGTGTGTGTCCCCCGCCCCACATACCTCCTCATCCAGCAAGCACCGTGTGGGAAGCAGAGGAAACTCCTGGGCTCTCGGCGTGGCCTTCGTGGGCAGCTGCTGGGCTGCTGGGGCCTCTCCTGGGTGGTCGGCATCACCCGCCGCCCTTCTCTGGGTCAGCGTGGCATTAATGAGTTTGGATGCAGAAGACAGACCGCAGAAGGGGGCACAGGGCCGGAACCCGTCTTGAGACGGCTGCCAGTGCCCGAGTGAGGACGGTGGCCTGAGCTCCTGGGAGTCCCTCTGGCTGTGCCTGGGGACACCCCACCTTCTGCTTTTGCAAAATGTCCTGACTTGCTCCGATGACCGCTGCTTCGTGTCGCTGTGGTGGGGCCTTTTCTTCCAGCTGCAGGAACTCAGAGAACCCTAGGGGACTGGAGGCTCTTCTCAGACACTCACAATGGGGGGCTGCATTCCGAGGGCGTGTCCCACTCTTGGTCCTCTCCCACTGTGCCGAGCCCCTCCCCCCTTGTGTTTCCTGGTTGCACGTTGTCCCGGTGTGTCCCGTGGGCCTGTGTCTGAGCAAAGGTGATGGGGGTGGGGGCGGGTGAAGCTTTTTCACCAAAACCACCTGCCAGGTCTCTGAAAACAAGAGACGTGTATCTCCTTCCTTTTCATCTGTCTGCTCACAATGTCTGGAGTGGCCTCGGGGTCCCTTGGGAGCTGAGGTGGGTGTGTTGGGGGCTTGTGGGTGGAGGCCGGTGGGCAGCAGCCCGGCTCCCGAGGGAGTGCCTAGTGCCCTCCGTCTCCTCCTTGCAGGTCTGGCCGTGGGCCTGGGCTTTGGAGCACTGGCTGAAGTTGCCAAGAAGACCCTCCGCCCGGAGGAAGCCTCCGGTGAGCTGGGCCCTTGGCCGAGACGGTAGGGTGGGCCCTGGGGCTGCAGTGTTGGCCTCCTGGGGTCACCTCGTGACCCACCTCTAGGGGCACGTTCACCTTGCGTTCTGGGTAAATGGCATTGTTGGGGTTACCTGAGGCCCGAAGGCTGCCGTGCTCCATCCCCGGCCCGCCCTGGCCCACCCTGCCTCCCCGGCCCTCCAGCGGCTGGCGCGCCTGCACTGCCCCAGCGGAGCGGAGGTTTCGGCCCTGCCCCTGCTGCCCCTGCTGTCCCGAGCTGCTGGGGCCCGTCAGCCTGGCTGGTCAGGTGCCCAGGGCTCCACATGCAGCTCGGGGTGTCGGTGCTGCTGGGAGAGCCCCCCGCGGGGCTTCCGCTTCTGAGGCAGAGGTCAGCCAGGAGTCAGGTTGGAGCACTCGGTCCCCTCAGATGTTAGCTCACTCCAGTACCCGACACCTCCTCTCCCTTCTGTGGGGACCCTCCTCCAGTGACACCCCATGTCCTGTCCACGTGGGTCTGGCTGCTGGCTCAGGGCTGGGTTCCTCTGGGGCCTGCCAGGCACGTGCATGGCCCTTGTGGGATTGAGGGGCCTCCCGCAGAGAGGGCACTAGCCTGTCCCCACAGGCCCCTGAGTATGGGGGGGCGGGGCACAGGGCACCTTGCGTGTGCTTGGAAGGGGCTGGAGGACAGAGAGGATTTAGCGAGGGTATTTTTAGTGTTGGTGAGGAAACACTTTGGAAATGAAGCCAGCCTTCCCTGGGCATGACCTCTTCCTGCCCCACCGGCCCCCCCACCGAAGCTGGCTGTCCTCTGTCTTACCACATCCAAGCTGGGAAGAGGCTTGAAATGGTTCCCGGGTTACAGCTGGTACCCTTTGTCAGGGAAGTGGTGGCCCTAGCTGGGGGTCCAGGGGCCCGGGAGCCATAGGACCTGGGGCTCAGGCCAGGGTGGGATGGCCCTGGGTGGCCCCCAAGCTCTGCTCCAGCTTTGGAATCGGGCTCTGGGACTCAGGGCCTGGAGGGCGCTGGCCAGCCTGGCTCCAACTCCGCCCTAGAAGACTCTCTCCTGAGTGGGTGCCCCCCCCCTTGTTCTCAGAACCAGCCACGCCCAAGGCGGTGACCTAGGTAAAGGTGTGATCAGGGAACCCTTTTAGGCCTAGCCATCCTGGAGTGGCCCCCCTGCCCGTGGGTCACACCTCCCCTCACCCCTGCCCAGTGGGCTGAGTTGCACTCGGGCCCCCGAGCCCCAGTTAGAAAGGAACTGCCTTTCCTCACGGGCACCTACAGGGTCCTTGGGCCATGCACCTGTGCCATGTTCCCAGGGGCCACTTTCCAGCGCTGCTGGCCTCTTCCTCTTGCCACTTGGCTGAGATCAGCAGGCACCGAGAACGGGGGTGGGTGCCGTGGTGACCTGGCCTCTGCCCACAGGGGGTAAGAAGGGTGTGCTGGACTCCAGCCCCTTCCTGTCGGAGGCCAACGCGGAGCGCATAGTGAGCACACTGTGCAAGGTGCGCGGGGCGGCGCTCAAGCTGGGCCAGATGCTGAGCATCCAGGGTGAGTGGGGCCCCGATTGGTGTGCGGGCTCTGGGGGGGCCTGGGTGGGGTTCCCTCTGCCCAGTGCTCCTCTCGCTTGAGTCCTGGCTGGTGACCAGCCTGGGAAGTTTATGACGTGTCTTAAACCGGAGGCCGCAGCCATCTCCTTTCTGGGTGTTTTGAGCTATGTAGAGGTTACCCTGGCCTCCCAGAAGTTCGCAAGTCTGGCCGCTGTCTGGCTCCCCCCACCTGCCGTGTCGGTTGGAGGAGCTGGAAGGGGCTCACAGGCCTGCTGCAGTGTGATGTTGGGGCAAGGGGCACGTGGCTCCAGGGAGGGAGGGACGGGGAAGGTGGTGGAACAGGAGGCTGGCCCTGTGGCCCCGAGAGCGGAGCGGAGACTGGGGGAGCCTCGGGACTCCCAGTGGTGCCCTCCCACCTGCATGGGAGTTCCCGAGTGGGAGCGTTTGAAAGTGAGGTCCCCTCAGAAGCAGTGAGATGGACGCGCTGAACCGGCCAAGTGTCAGACAGGAGCTGACAGGTAAGGCAGGCCGGGGGCACGCGCGTGGCCTGCGAGTGTGCAGACTCTGCAACAGTTCACAGCTGGAGTCTTGCGCCGCACACGCCCCGGGAGTTCCGCACCGAGTTTCTTATCAGAAGGGGAGCCTCCGCGCTGCGGTCGCGGGTCCGTGCGGGAGGAGCTGTAGTGCAGGACCCACGGCCGTCACCCCCTCGGTCCCATGCCACCTGACGACAGGGGCGTGTTCTGAAAGGTGTGCCGTCGGGTGATGCCAGTGTGCGACAGCACCGAGCGCACCCACGCACAGCCCACCGCACACCTGGGCCACAAGGCTGTCGGGCACGTTCCCGCACGAGGTGACACCACGGCAGGTCAGCAGGGGATGAAAGCACGAGGGGCGAGGCTGCGGTTGGCGTGCTGTTTCATTTATTTCTGAAGTTTTATTTATCTACTGATTTGAGGGAGAAAAACTTTGCTTTGTTGATCCCTGCCCTGGCCAAGGATCGTACCTGCAACCTTGGTGTTTTTGGATGGTGCTCTAACCAACTGAGCTACCCAGCTGGGGTAGGGTAGCCCCACTGTTTTAGGGCAAACTTGAAAAAAGTAAGTGTAGAGAGTCCACTCTCAAGTGGTGATAGAAAGACTAGTGAAGACCTAAACCAGCACCAGTTTCTGATCAAGTGTGAGCTGCTGTACTTTCATGCGACTGGTTGCACCAGCATCACCGCACACATGTGCACAACACACTGTCCCCGAGGTGAGGACGGCCACGGTGTGAAAGGAGTTGTGAGCTCCCGGCACCGCGGGGTCCCCGCCTCCTCACAGGAGCTGACCTAAGCCTTAGCAGCGGCTGCGTGGCGGGTCTTTGGGGGACGTGAGGCTCTCAGCTGCAGTGCCTGTTCGAACGTGTCAGGAAGCTGCACGACAGCTGAGAGCGAGCTTGGGGGAGGCTGTCCCTACGGAGAGGGGGCTGCAGCGGCCTCCAGGCAGTGTGGCTCCTGCTACAGAAAAACAGAAAAACGGTCAGGAAGAAAAATAGTTGTCTGCGGGGGATCAGATGTGGGTATTTTTAACATTCCTGTATTTCCTAAATTTGTTCTTTCATAACCGTAAAAAGCCAGACCTGTTACTTCTAAGCAGCCTACCTTCTCAGGGTGCTGGATGAGTCTGTGGGTCTCTCAGCGCCAGGCCTGTGCTGCACAGGCTCACCCAGTGCCCGGGGGAGAGGGCTGGGTGCGGCTGGTCTCAGTGCCCCGGGAGTGAGCACACCCAGGCCTGTGTCCCTCTGGAGCTTTCCCCCACCTGTGTGCCAGGTGGGCAGACGCTGCCAGGATGCCAGGAGGGATCTGAGGCTGGGCCTACGTGTTGTCGTCTCTGAACATGGGCTTCCACTGTGGGGGGCGGGCAGGTAGAGCAGCCTCTCCCAGGAGACCACACTGCGGCAGGGTGAGCGCGGTGGCCGCTCGGCTCCTGGCCTGTGCCCCTTCTTTCTCAGGGGTCAGCCCTCTGCTCTGACTTCTCTGGTCCTTCCAGATGACGCTTTCATCAACCCCCACCTGGCCAAGATCTTTGAGCGGGTGAGGCAGAGCGCGGACTTCATGCCGCTGAAACAGATGACGGTGAGGCAGGCCCCGCACAGGGGCATCTGGGTCCTCCCGCGCTCCTGCTCCTTGCGTGGGAGGGGTGGGCTGTGGGTGCTCCTCGTGGCTGGGCTATGCTCACAGCCCCGCCCCGGCCTCTCCCTCCAGAAAACTCTCAACAACGACCTGGGCCCCAACTGGCGGGACAAGCTGGAGTACTTTGAGGAACGGCCCTTCGCCGCTGCTTCCATCGGGCAGGTGCACCTGGCCCGAATGAAGGGTGGGCGTGAGGTGGCCATGAAGATCCAGGTAGGCTCCCGGTGCGTGCGGTGGTCCCCACAGGGGCTGCGAGGGCAGAGCCCGGGCCCTACAGTGTGAGCGCCCACGCCCTTGTTTCTGGCCCAGCACCGGGGCGGCTCTGGGTGCTGAGAAGGTGTTTGCCGAGTGGCTGTGGAAGGCGGACAGCCTCCCAGCAAGCTCGGGTGGGGTGGGGTGGGGTGGGGACAGGGCACAGTGGCTGTCTCCTCTGGGCCTGAGCTGGAAGGCTGGGGCCTTGGGTGGATGGCAGAGGGGACAGCTGTGACTCACCCGAGGTGTGGGGTCCTGGTGGGACACCCGCTCTGCTCCCCCACAGTACCCTGGTGTGGCCCAGAGCATCAACAGTGACGTCAACAACCTCATGGCCGTGCTGAACATGAGCAACATGCTTCCAGAAGGTCTGGGGCTGGCTCGTGGTTGACGGCAGGCATTTGGGGTGGGCTCTGGGCACCCGAGGGGCCCTCCCTGGGGAGCCGTCGGCCTACCCTGAAACCCCCCTCCCTGGCCCAGGCCTGTTCCCCGAGCACCTGATTGATGTGCTGAGGCGGGAGCTGGCACTGGAGTGCAACTACGAACGAGAGGCTGCCTGTGCCAGGAAGTTCAGGTGCAGCTCCTGGCGGGGCTCCGGGGTGGGGCGGCTGGGCTCTGGGCCCCTTGCCTGTTTGTAGCCCACAGTGGGAGACAGAGGGACGATCTTTATTTCATCTGTGGGGGAGGAGTGGAGGGTTCTGAGGGGCACATGGCTGTGCTCAGAACCGGGGCCACAGCCACATCCCACCCACCCAGTGGGTGGGCTCAGTTCCTTGTCACCCCATGTGTCGTCCCCAGGGTGGGTGTGGGGAGGAGCTGGGCCCCCAGTATAACCTCCCGCCCTTGCCAGGGAGCTCCTGAAGGACCACCCCTTCTTCTACGTGCCCGAGATCGTGGATGAGCTCTGCAGCCCTCGCGTGCTCACCACAGAGCTGGTGTCTGGCTTCCCCCTGGACCAGGCGGAGGAGCTGAGCCAGGAGATCCGCAACGAGGTGCGTCTGCCACTTGCCTTGGAGCCTCCAGTTGCTCCCTGTGTGGCCGAAGGGGACCAGGGGCCTACTGTGTCCTCCCCCCGCCCCAGGCGGTACCCTTGGAATCAAGTATCCTCTGGGCAGAAAGTGGGGCTGGGTGGGAGATGGGGGGAAACGGGAGTCGGGCCCCCCAGCCCCAGACTCCCCATCACCAGGCCGCCCCGCCTGCCCCAGATCTGCTACAACATCCTGGTCCTGTGCCTGAGGGAGCTGTTCGAGTTCCACTTCATGCAGACGGACCCCAACTGGTCCAACTTCTTCTACGACCCCCAGCAGCACAAGGTGAGCCCCCGGGGCGGGGCAGGTGCAGGGGCTCTGAGATCTGGGGTCTCCGCTCCCACCTGCAAACCTCCGTTTGGCGCCACCCCTTCCCAGGTGGCTCTTCTGGACTTCGGAGCGACTCGGGAGTTTGACAGGTCCTTTACTGATGTCTACATCGAGGTAGGAACAGGGTCTGGCCTTGGCCTGTGCCGTCCTGAGGCTGGGGCAGGGTGTGTGGGGAGTGGGAGGGAGGCCGACCGGGCTTCCGCCGTGTCCCCGCCTGTGCTCAGTGTGGTGACAGTGGTGAGGCCATGGCCCTGTCAGGCTCACAGCCCTGGCTGGGACCTCCAGGCCAGGGGTCAGCAGCACCTGGGGGAAGAGGGCCAGGCGGGCACTCCTGGCCCTCAGCACCTCCTCTGTTCTGCCCACGGTGCCCCTGACCAGATCATCAAGGCTGCTGCAGACAGGGACAGGGAGGCCGTGCTGAAGAAATCCATAGAGATGAAGTTCCTCACTGGCTACGAGGTCAAGGTGAGCTCCTGTGGACGCTGCAGGCCCACAGGCCTGCTGCTGCAGGCGCAGTTCCCAGGGGCCTGGCCTGAGGGGGGCTGTCTGCTGGGTGGGCTGCCTCCCCCATGGGTCTGTGTGTGGGCAGTGGACTCCTTTTTCCTCCGAAATCCTAAGCAGAAGCTCAGTTTACAAATGGATGAAATCAGAGGTGGCAGCCACTGTGGCATCTGGAAGCCGGGCCTGCCCAGTGCTTGCGTTAAGTTGGGTACGGAAGGGACTTGTCATGAAGTTCGTTTTTCCTTCCCTCACCACTGGAGATCTGCATCAGTCACACTGAGCTTCAGGGCTTGGCGGGGCAGCGGGCAGTGTCCCCATCTTCCAGAAGCAGCCCTTCCCTTGGTGGTCCTGCACCCATCACCGCAGCACTCCAGACTTGCTTTTGTCCAAACTGAATCTAAGAGCCTCCAGGCTGGGCGCACTGTCCCTTTGGTCTCACGTGGAGCCCAGCACACACCCTGATGCCACTTTCCTGGCCCCTGTTGGTTTGAGTGTACAGTCCAGTTAAACATGAAACCCTCACTGACCTGGCCCCCTCTCCTCGACTTCCAAACTGAGCTTTCAGGGAGTGCTCAGGGCTGCTCCCCCTCCCTCTCCACCTCCAGGCCATGGAAGACGCCCATCTGGACGCCATCCTCATCCTGGGGGAGGCCTTCGCCTCCGAGGAGCCCTTCGACTTCGGCACCCAGAGCACCACCGAGAAGATCCACAACCTGATTCCCGTCATGCTCAAGCACCGGCTTGTCCCGCCCCCCGAGGAGACCTACTCACTGCACAGGAAGATGGGGGGCTCCTTCCTCATCTGCTCCAAGCTGAAGGCCAAGTTCCCCTGCAAGGCCATGTTTGAGGAGGCCTACAGCAACTACTGCAAGAGGCGGGCCGAGCAGTAGCCACTCAGTGCAAACTCTCTGCTCCTGTGCAGCTGAAACCAGTAGGAAGCCGGTGGTGGTGACACTCCGTTTCAACCCCTTTGCCCAAGGAGAGAGGGTAGCTGGCTCCGATGGGGAGGGGACGCTGCTTGGAGCCCCGTTACCAGTGCTTATCACGGTTTTTATTGCTAAGAGGATATGGGATGAGATGTGCCAGAATGAAAATGAACCCCAACTACTATGTCAGAACCTAACAGTTGTTTTATTCACCCTCTCAAATACTCTAGATGAAGATAAAAAGGCAATTTTACTCCCTTTTCCTTTTTAGTAACAGGGTTTTACCTAATGTGAATGTTAATCAGAAAACAGAGGCTACTCCCTCCAAATCCCTGCCACCAAAAACAACTGAGAAGCCTTTCTGGATGCTACTGAACGAGTATACAAGGTTTGTGTGTGTATATGTTTCTAGAATGAGATTTGTGTTTTCTGCTCTTTTTTCTCTCCAGCTTGTGACCTGCAGCTGGGAGAAGTCAGGCCTGAGTGTGCCAACCAGTCCTTTTAACCTGGGGATGCTCACGCCTGCACTCTGGCTGGTCACTGCACTTTCTGAGAACTGCCACCTCCCGTGGGTAGGGTCAGGAGCAGCAGAAGGGGGCAAAGGGCCAGCTCTTGTCTTCCAGCACCTGCCATAGGATGGTGTGAGACATGAATGTGCAGACGTCACCTGGGTAGACGTGAGGGGCCCTCACAGGCTCTGTTATTTTTTGTAAAATTCTTGTAATTGTCTGATTTACTTGTTTCAATAAAAACAAAACATCCTACCATTGTGGCATTAATCCTGTCATTCGTAAAGGGCTCTGAGCTGACAGTGAGGAGTCCAAGGTCAGTGTCACACTCCATCCTGTCTCCAGGGGCTCCCTGCAAGGTTCGTACATGTTCCAGTGTGAGGCTTTTGGTGCATGAACCTGGAAGGCTTAGTGCACATTCCTTACCAAAGAGAGCGGTGCGGGGAGGAGAAAGGCGAAGGGACGGTGCGCCACCACCCTAGCCACTCCGCTGCGAACCTCCGAGGCCCTACTCCGCACATACAGAAGAGCCACAGCTCTCAGGGGCTGTACCTCCTCAATGTTGGCAACCACTCCCAGTGGGTCCACACTGGCTTGAGCTACAGTGATAGCACTTTAAGAGATCAGCTGAGCAGCACTTCCTAAAAAGTGGCTTTTGCTGTGCGCCTGAATTCCCAGGTAAGGGGGGCAGTCTGAACATTAGGTAGAGGCCCTTCAAACAGACTGTGAACACCCTGAAAAGTTCACTGAGGTAAATAACTTGGAGAGACTGCACTGGTCCAAAATAGGTTCTTCTATAGGTTTCAAGGGTTCTTAAAGGAAAATCTCTCTGAAATTTTGCACTGATGAAATACACGCCGAGCTCTGGAGCAGGATGGCGTGGTCTGGGTGGTCTCCCTGACAGCTGCTGCCCCTGGAGGGAAAGCCCTGGTGCTCAGCGCCACCTGCCGATTCCTTGTCAGAGCTTTTCATCCGGAAACTGCAGAATACACATTTTTTGCACGTGGACCATTCTCCAGAATAGATCACATACTAGGCCACAAAACAAGTTCCAATAAATTCAAGAAGACTAAAGTCATACCAAGCATCTTTTTCAACTGCAGCGGCATGAAACTAGAAATCAGTTACACAAAGAAAATTGGAAAAAAACTGCAAACTAAACAACATGCTCCTAAACAACCAATGAGGCTCAAAGAATAAATCCAACAAGAAATCAAAAACTACCTTGAAACAAATGCAACTTTTCAAGATTTCTGGGAGGCAGCAGAAGTACTTAGTTCAGAGAGGAAATTTCACAGTCACACAGGCCAGCCTCAGGACAAGAAAACCCGTGACTCTATACCGAAAGGAACTAGAAAGAGAACAAACAAAACCCAAAGGAAATAGTTAACAACAGAGCAGAAATAAAATAGAAACTAAAAAACAACAGAAAAAAACAAAACAGCTGGTTCTTTGAAAGATAAATACAATGAGTAAACCTTTAGGCAAACTCATCAAGGAAAAAAGCAAAAATAAAATCATAAATGAAAGAAAAATTACAACACCACAGACGTTCAAAGGACCATTAAAGAATACTGTGGAACAATTATATGCCAACAAATTTAACTATCTAGAAGAAATAAATTTATGACCTGATAAAACCAAACTAGGAAAACTACAAAATCTAAGCAGACCAACTGCTAGTTGTGAAGTTTAAGTAGTAATAAAACTTCCAATAAATGAAAGTCCAGGACCAGATGGCTTCACAGGTGAATTCTACCAAACAATCAAAGAAGAATTAATACTTACGCTTTTTAAGTTATTTTTTAAAAACCGAAGAGGAAGAAATTCTTCCAAACTTCTTCGACAGAGCCAGTACTACCCTTATACCAAAACCAGACAAACACATTACAAAAATAAAAATTAAAAAATTATAGGTCAATGTTGTTGATGAGTATAGCACAGAAAATCCTAAAGATTTCACTAAAAAACTGTTAGAACTGAAAAATAAATTCCAGATATAAAACTAATATTCAGAAATTGGTTGCAATTATCAAAAAGAAATTAAGCTAATCCCATTTATAATTGCATCAAAAAGGATAACATACCTATGAAGAAATTTAACCACAGAAGTGAAAGACGTGTAGTCTCAAAACTATAAGACACTGAAGAAAAAAACTGAAGATACAAATATATGGAAGCATATGCTGTGCTAATGGACTGGAAGACTTAACATCATTAAAATGTCCTTATATTACCTAAAACAATCTACAGATCCAGTACAATCACTATCTAAATACCACTGGCATTCTCAGAACAGCTAATGCTAAAATTTATAATTTATATGGAACCACAAAAGACACTGAATAGCCAAAAAAATTTTGAGGTAAAAACAGTGGGAGTACCACATGCTGTGTTATCGAAGTATACCATAAAGCTATATTATTCAAAACAGTATGGTACTGGCATAAAAACAGATATACAGATCACTGGAATAGAGAGCCCAGAACTAAATCCTTGTTTACACAGTCAATATACAAAACAGGAGGGAAGGATACACCATATGGGGAAAAGCTAGTAGTTTCAGTAAGTGGTGCTGGGAAAATAGGATACACGCAAAAAAAATTTAAACTGGACCACTTATTTACACCATATACAAAAATAAACTGACAATGGATTAAAGGCTTAGACCTGAAACCATAAAACTAGAAGAAAGTGCAGGCAGTAAACTCTGACATCACTCTTAGCAGTATCTTTTTGGATATGTCTCCTCTGGCAAGGGAAACAAGAAAAACAAATGGGACTACGTCAAACTAAAAAGTTTCTGTACAGCAAAGAAAACCATTAAGAGAAAAAGATAACCTACTGCTTGGGAGAAGGTATTCACTAATTGGTAAATACCTTATACGTCTGATAAGGAGTTAATAACCAACTTAACACCAAAACACAATCCAATTAAAAAATGTGCAGAGGACCTGAATAGACACTTCTCCAAAAAGGACATACAAATTGCCAATAGACATATGAAAAGATGCTCACTGTCACTAATCATCAGGGAAATGCAAAATAAAACCATAATGAGGTATCACCTCACACCTGTCAAAATAGCTATCATCACTAAATCAACGAAACACAAGTGTTTGTGAAGACATGGAGAAAGGGGAAGCCTTGTAAACTGTGGGTGGTATTGTAAATTGGTGCAGCCACGATGGAAAACAGTATCAAGACTGTTCAAAAAATTAAAAATAGAGTGGGTATTTATTCAAAGAAATCCAAAACACTAATCTGAAAAGATACATACACTCGGCTCACTGCAGCATTATTAGTAATAGCCAAGACACAGAAGCAATGTGGCCGTGCCAGCTGATCCACGTAGTAGGAAGTTTTGACTGAAAGAGAGGACTCGACAGCTGCACGAGAACTGACTGCACACAACTCTTACCTGAGCTGTGGGAGGAACGGAGAGTCCTGGGTTAAACTAACCCCATGTCCTCCCGCAGTGTGCAGAGGAAGCCTGGGCACAGGGGGGACCTGCAGGGAGCAGAACCCTACAAGATGAAAGAGCTGCTCACCTTTTCTCCATTCCTCAGACTTTGTAATCAGGGGAAAAAAGACAAAGTACTCAATTCTAACAGTTCCCCGTTTTATTGCAATACATCAAAGTCTGGTTAATATTAAGTGATACCGACATAAAATATTGGCGAGGAGTCTTCTGTTACATTTTTGACTATCCCATCTTAAATATTTCTGTGCAAAAGAATCCACACCACTGTTTGGTAGCAGAGAATCTCATAAACTTCCCTAAGACACCAAGGGCAGAAAACCAAACAAAATGAAATGAGGAAGTGATAAAAGGCCAAAGCAGCAGCTTTTCCCCTTCCATGTGCACATCATTTGTCGTCAGCATATACTCTAAACAGAAAAATGATTACACCTAGGCCATGCAAAACTGTACAATAATATTACAATGAGAAAAAGCCCTAAAGAACTTATGAAACAAATGATATTACACTATCAAATAAAAACGCAGGTCATTTTGTTTTCATGAAATTTCAGGGTTGGTTTGGTTCTGTCAACTTCCCCTATCCCCCCGACAGGGACAAGGTTCTGTGTGCCAGGGCTGCCCCTGGGGAGGACGAGAGGCCTGGCCTGCTGGCTGGTGCCGGGCTCGGAGATGGCGCTCTGGTGAAGCAAGGGATTCTTTAGAAAATGCTGGACTTAAGTGACAACTGAAGTCATAACAAGGAAAGGGTTTTAGAGATGGGCTCAAGAAAATGTCCTGAGAGGCTGGGTGTGGGGAGGGGGGGAGGGAAGTGCCAGTTGCTTCCCTGCTGTGCCCAGCGGATTTGGGGAGTGGCAAAGTGTGACCGCTGTTGAGTGTGCCACTCGGTCCAGAAAGTGGACAGGGAGCATCCTAAGGCCCCGTGCAGCGGAGACCACAGGGTGCGATCACAGCCAAAGGCAGGAAAGGGCCCTGCTGTACGTGGGGGTAGAGGATGTCCGCCTAGCCCTGCTCTGGCTCTTCTCTAAGGTACCTGAGTCCACATAAATGCCAACTGGGCTCTCACAGAAGTAGGTACGGCCACTGAGAAACAACATGCCATGATTCTAACAACGCGGAAAGCAGAGGAAGGCTGAGAGCCAGCCAGGGAATGGCAGATTGTTGCTGTAAACATAATATGAATTTCAGAGTCTTCCCTGAAGCTTGGGTACAAGAACTGATTGGAAAGCTAGAGAGAGACCCTTTTCAGTTGTGTATCTATAGCCTGAACACGGTGCTCTCTGGAAAAGCAAGTCACTAAGTTACCAGGGTGTGTGCTGTGTGTGTTCACACATCATTAAAGAAGTGAAATATACCTTAATATTTATTTGATAAGAAGGAAGGTTTGTTTTTGGTAAAAAGAAATATATATGTATATACATAATTTCATACACCCAAAGCACATGACAAGATTAAATTAGAATTCAAGGGTCGACAACAAACTGGCTGGACGTCAGTAGCACCAAATACCAACACTTCAGCCTATGTCAGAAATGTCCCTTCATTTATTTTCCTTTCTGCTGAGAAGAGAACTGAGTTCCTGCTGCCATGTACGTTTTAAAGTGTCCTCCACAAAAACAAGGGTGACCTCAGACGACACAGAAACCTTACCATGATCCGGGCTACTGATCCCTTAGAATGATCACTGTTTCCCATTTCCCTGGCACTCGTCCCCATCTCTTCAAATCATTCATCTTGGAAGCTTCTGAAGGTGCCCGCTTCGTGTTGGGGATGAAACCGGTAGGGTGGTCACTACCTTGAGAACCTGCCGAACTAGAGCCCTGTCATGTTTTTTCCCCGAGTCCTGCTGTTAGAACCTAGTCACGTACGGGGCCGGTACCACGTACGATTGCTACACAAAGCGCAAGTGCTGGGTTGCAACCCACCAGGTTAACAGGAAAGTGACAGCCTGGGAGGCCAGCAGCCAGAACGAGCTCGCTCTCGTCTGCCCTGTTGGGAGGCCGAAGGGTACGGCTCACTAGTGGGGTCCAGGCTTCAGTAGGGTTATATTTTGATCCTAAAAGCATCCTTTAAAAAGTAAGCACCTACAGGCAACAAATATTCACTTAGTTGTTCAAGAGATAAACTAATGACTTAGTACAGAGTCCCAGTGAAGAGAAGCAGGTGGGGGCGACGTGAAGAAGAAGGAATGGAGAGGAAAGGGAGGGGAGGGGGCAGCTGGCCAGGCACTTTGACACTGGCTGGCTGGTTGCTTCCCCCCTCTCCTGGGAAACGCCAAGTTTAAGGAGCTACCAGAATCATATGGCAATAACCCAACTCAAGGTCCAACCCTGGATACCAGAGGTACAAAAGAGTCTTCCACGACACTTCTTTTCCAAAAGCAAAAAGATGTGGGAGATTAGAACCGTGAAGTAAGTTAGGCCCAACCAAAGTAAAACCGTCACATCTGAGTCCCTAGCTCAGAACATCTAAATGTCAAAGCTTAACATTATTTTTAACTTCTCTACTGTAGCCTTTTGTGATATAATCCCCAAACAGGATCTTTCCTCCTGTCACTGAACCTCAGTGACCTTCCCCACAGAGCAGCATCAACTTGGAAGCAGGCTCGGCTTCCTGTGGCCCGCAGTGTTCCGAAAGGTGGGCACAGCTGCCAAGGGCGACGTGAACGCCGGGTGACTGACACCGTTCTGACCCTGCAGCGGCAGGCAAACTCTTCCACTTTAGTTGAAGTTCAAAGAGAGGGGAAAAAAAATCCTGTTTCTAGTTCTCAAATTTAGATAAAAAGAGAGAATTCTCTTTACTTCCATGAGATTCATTTATTTCTATCTCTCTACTCATGTGCTTAACTGGTGAAATCACAAGGAAAAAAGTTCTGGTTCTGCATCATTTCCTTGGGGTAATTAAAACAGCAGGAATTCAAACAGAAATGTAACTAACAACACAATGTAGCAAATGAGGGGGGAAAGCTTATCTAGTCAAGGCGGCATGCTATGCCCACGCTGGGCAGACTTCCTGCCCGTGCCCTGTGAACACGTTCATTACCCACTGCGTATGGGAAAGAATATTTGGTTAAGGCTGTTCAAGTCCTTGCATTTGAGGTTTTCTATTATTTGGTAATTAAACCCCTTTCCCAGGCTTATCTGAGGAAGCTGGCACCACACAAAACAGACTCCTCCCTGAGACACTGGCTCAACTCGGGGACAGACACCTCACTGCCACTAGGGGATGGGATTGGCCCAGAAAGAAAAGCACTTCTAAGACCCTCTCATGGCCCTTCAGAAGCCACCGAGTTCCTTGTGCCGGATGGAAGGGATCAGAAGGTAACAAAACTGCATTTCTACATTCATCTGCAGAAGGTACCACCATATCAAATATGAGAAGTGTGGCTCAATTCTACTAGAAAAAGAAAGGTCTTAGATAGAAGGAAATCTGCCTTGTGATGCTGCTGCTAAAGAGGCTTCAAATATCAAAAGTCTGGTGCCCAGTCATACAGCAACCCCACAACACTGAAGTCTGCACGTTTCCCTGCAGCTCCCAGGAGACTGGGCCCTGCCTCAGCTCGAGGACTAGGCACCAAAGGGAACCCTGATTCCTCTCTCTCTCTCCGCAAGCGTCAGCTCGAGGCCTTTCTGCTGTTTAAATTACTTAGCTGGAAAACAGACAAGAAACAACACACTTCTTTAAATTAAATGCTCTCTTATATATGCATCCATCTTTCACTGAATACAAGATGCTTCTTTTCACTATGTACATTCAGTATTTAACCTCTACATTTGTGTACTTCTTTAAACTCTGCGTCGTAGTAAAATAGGCATTGTTTTTGTTAATAAGGGCTGACTGGCAACAACTGGGTCGACACGCACCGCGGGTGAGGACCGGAGCCTGGCAGCGGCTCCAGCACCCACCGGAGAACCCGTGCGCCCTCGGGGGGACTGCACTGAGACGGCTGCGAAAACAAAGTCGGTCTAATCCTACCTTGGCGCTTACCGCTTTGTGTCATCGGTCTACTGAAGCTACCGTTGAGGGAGGAGGGTGCGGGTAGAATACTATGGAAAGCAACTCTAAGGGTATGAAAGGAAGTCAGGTTAGTCTAAGCTGTTCCGTGAACGTCTGCCTTTATGGTTGTTGCTGTGAAGCGGAGGGGCAGGGCCTGGGGGCCACAGTCACACTCTGACTCCCGCCGGCCCTGGCGCCGCGGGCAGAGGCGGAGGGAGAGGAGCGGCTCTGGTCCGTCCGTCGGGGCTGGGGCGGGTCACGGGTCCCAGGTCCCGCGGTCTGTGCTCTCCAGAGAGAGGCTCTTGGTCTTCCGCGGGGACGCCGGGCTGGGCGGGCTGCTCAGGTTGGAGCTGTTGGAAGCGGTGGAATGCCTCGGAGAGTCGGAGTCCTGCGAGGCCAGAGGCGGCGTCAGCGCCAGGCGAGGGAGGGGCGGGAGGGCCTCGGGCGACCACCTCCCACCCCCACGCACCGAATGACCCCGTGGGACTTTTCTCCTGTCGGGACAGGCCCCCTTCCTGAGCTAAGAGGCACAGAATACGACAAACGCCCACGGGCCTTTGGGGATGCAGGTCACGTTCACGCAAAGCCATGGGGAGTCTCAGCGCCTCGGGGACACCACGGGAGTCTGCGACCAAGCGGGGACTCTGCCGCGGAGGCTGACGGTGCACACGCCGGGCCCGGCACAGGGGCGCTGCGGCCGCCCCGGACGGCGCCCCCACGCGGCACTCACCTCCCCGTCGTAGTCCCTGGCCGGGGTGTCGCTTCCTTGGTCCATGCCTCCGGAAGACAGCGAGCCCTCGGACGGGGAGGGCAGCGGCTGCCGCTTGGCGCTGTAGCTTCCGCCGGAGAACTCCCTCTTCAGCGCGCTGCCGTTCTGTGTGGACGACCCTGCGGCAGCACAGCGCGGAGGGGGCTCGACCGATGCCGCGGGGGCTGCCCAGGTCCCCGCCCCCCACCGCGGCCTCCCCCGCGGCAGCCGTCCGGACACCCGGGGAGTGGCGAGCGCGTGCTGGCCGCGCCAGGACTAGGGAAGTTTGCTGGACAAGGCCCCGGAATCAGCCCTGCAGGTCCCCACTCAGACGAGACAGCCCTCGAGTCCTTCACGCCGCGCCACCTCTCTCAGGGCGCAGGCGCCATGGACCCGGGGTCCCGCCTCCTCCTCACGCACGTTCGGTCTCGCCCCGCCAGGGCCCGCTCAGGGCCAGCTCAGGGCCCGGCGCACTGCAGGTGCTCAATGATGACAGGCCGAGCGACGGGAGAGCACAGCGCGTCTCCCCGAGATGACGGCCACCCCACCTCACCTGAGGCATAACCGTCGCCTCGCTTCTAGAGAATGCTCACAAAAAAGCAAAGGAACCTAGGCAATTTCATCCTGCAGGGCAACATCCCGGAATACAAAGCACTTAGCACTCCCTATTATTTTAAAATTTTTTGCTTAAAAATGTTTTAATCTTGCTGAGCTTCAATATTAAGACCAGTCACACAAGACTATGTTCAGACACAAACTATTTTAACTTTTTGCTAATTTAACAAACCCCAATTTCGTGGGTTTTTTCCAATAAGAATTCAATAAAAATGTCAAAAGGCGACTCATAAAGCTTATGCACCCAGTGGCCACCAAAATACTGAAGTCACTTCGTGATTGGAGGAAAACCCGCCCAGCGAAGGGCCGTCCTTGGCGCCCTCTGGCAGCTGCAGCTGCGCACGCGCGGGTGCTGACGTCAGTGTTTGCCTGACCAACCACCATCGCAGGAGGAAACGCCGCAGCCTCAGGAAGCTTCGGCTGGGCCACCATCCAAGGACATGAGCAACACTCATGGTTGTCGACTGACTGGCTTTTAAATGTGAGCCGGCACTTGGTGCGACCCGATCCTCTCACAGACCAGTTGTGGGGAAGGAAGAGGTTTCACTCAAGTTATGATGACACCTGTTGGGACTCCGGGCTGCGCGTGTGTCGCCACCTCAAGCTACACTCTCTGACCTCTAAGCCGGTGCAGCGCTGCTTCCGAGCAAGAGGCGGAGAGCAGTCCTGGGCCCGGAAGAGTCGCCCCCAAGTTAGAATCGACAGTGACCCTGACGATCACTGCACGTGACCAAGGCATTACCAAAGACCTCAGTGAACTCAGCGACATGAAGCTAACTTTTAAGTCAGCCAAGTATTCCGGCTGCACCTTCCTCTCATCCGGAGGTGAGCAGCCTCCCCGCGGCCAGTGTCCTTCTATTCGGACGAACAGTGCCTGCGGCACACCCTCCCCGCTTCCTCCCGGAGGAACGAGGAGAAGCTGCTCCCACGCCACCACTGGACGTGAGCACGTAATGGAGCCCGTTTCCTCTCCCGTGGCCGTCAGCTCAGGCTTCTGTACAGAGGCCAAGAAGAGTCGCTGCCGTTCAGAGTGGAAAACAGATGCCGACGACACGCACCGCGAGCGCCTGGAAGCAGTACTCGTCAGGGGTGGCGCTGCCCTCTGCACCCTGACGGGAGAGCTGATACCTAATAGGTCCTTAAAAATGGTTACTGGACGAATGATGAATCTTATCTTGCTTCTGTGGCAAAAGGGTAGATTCTTGAACCTGTCCCCACCCTCTCTCAGTTACTCAAACAGGCTGATGTTTTGGGGGGGCTTTGGGGCCTTTGTGCAGGTACGGGATGCGGCCGGCCCGAGTGGCAGGAGATCCTGTCACCGCCTGCGCCTGCAGCCTGCTCTAGCCCCTGCTTCGGCAGGAGAGCATCGTTAACTCCTCCCTTCGCCTGCCTTCCCACAGCTAGTTCCTCTCAGGAGTCTTAGTGTTTCTGCCTCCGGAAATTTATCTGGAGACCATTTCCTCTCCTCCTCCTCCTCCTCCATGGGTCTCAGGCCCCCTTCAGCGCACCTGGCTGCTTTGCCAGCAAGCTCTGGGGACGCACACCGCCAGCCCACTCTCGGTCTGGCAGCCTGGAGCAAAGTGGATATAGATACAGGTCCTTCCCTACTTAAAATTCTTCAAAGGCTTTATGATCCTTTAAAAAAAAAAAAATCTCCCCTTGTTCTCCAAAACCCTGCTTGACCTACTTACCCACCTCGTGTGCTTTAGCTTCTATCACTCCCAACTACCACCAGGGCCCCCCCTGCCCCCCAGCCTTCTGTCCATCACACAGGACTGAAATGTGACTGCACCCCTGGAAGGGGACTCGATTCTCCCAATTCCCGGTAGGAGTTCACACCGACAGCTGCCCGTGGTTGGCTCTGTTGCTGCACCCCGTTTATTCCCCGAGTGATCCGAAGTGTGATCCCCATTATCACACTCTGCAGGGCGACTGGTCTGTCTCCGAGGTGGCCTGTGCTCTAAAAGGGCTCCCTGACCACGTGCATGACACCCACACTGTGCTGACTGGGCATGGCCAGCTGGGACTGCGGCGCTGGGGCCCTCTGGATGCACAGGGGCGACCCAGGGTGCGACCCACCTTCCTGAGTTGGGGGCACTTACTTGCTGACAAGCCACTGCTGGCGCTCATGGAGCGACCGGGTTCAGGGCGGGACTTGGTGATCGATGGAATACTGACTGAGCCACTGAATACTGTCCGACTTTCCTGAGGTCGAGGGTTCTACAAACAAGAGAAAGAAAATTCTTCAAGCAGACAGAAGCTGATGTTCTGCAGACATGTCTATTTTTCACTGTAATTTCAAGAACAAAATGATCTTGACCAGAGCAACACAGAACACAACCCCTTCTGCCCACAAAGGTACTGAAGCCCTAACAAAGAGAAGGGCACCTCGGCCCAGACAAGAAGTGCTGATCCTTATGCTCACTGAAACACTTATCCACAAATAAATTGTTTTGTTGGGAGAACAGTAACAGTTACTTGGTTAGAAGTGACAGTGAATGGTAGAATTACAAGGACATTTGCAGATGAGTAAAACAAAGTTTTTACTACGTATGAGATTCTTTGCTTAGGATAATTCAACAGCTGAATAATCCCATTTGGAGGAGAATCAATTAAGAGTACATTTCTTCAAGCAAATGTTTCACTGGCATGAGAGACGTGCCTTCACATGTTCCCAGCCCCAGTCACCAGGCATTCTTGCTACCTCACACAAACAGAACAGAATCGAGTCATACACAGAACTTTTACAGCAACCAAGGCTTACGTGAAGTGATTTAACTTTGGAATACTGGTTTGAGAAGTTTTCCATCTAATTAGTGAATGGTTTTTCCAAGGTGTCCAAGGTAGGTAAATGGGCCACAGGGTGATCGGGAAGGGCCCCTCCCCCCCTGCCCCGAGAAGTGGTGTGTGGGACAAGCTGCCTGAACACGGCTGGGAACATAAGCCCGTGGCCTCCACGGCAACTCCAACGTTCTGAAACCTGAAGGGCTGTCAGGGATGACAGCTGTAGGAGATCATGGCAAAACAAGTAATACAGAGCCAAAGCCAGCCCTACAACAAGTGCACTAACACCACTTGAAAAACTCCAAATCCCACATTTTGCAGAATCACACACTGAAAGAGGGCTAGAGGGCTGGAGGGCTGGCTGGCTGGCCCCAAATTCAACCACAGTGGTTTTGGTTCATGTATCAAATTTGCAAAGTCCATGTAATTCCTAGTGTTATTTGTTAAAGGCAAATGCTTTACTTTTTTCCTCTAAAAAATAAAAAAAATGTGAATGGGAACAGTGCTAATTACTTCAACATTCACGCATCTTGGAGCATCCCCGCAAGACACCAATGACGTGCACGCCAGGCAGCAAAGGAAAGCATGGGAGGCGGGGACTAGTGGCTCCAGCCCTTGCATCGTTAACCACTCTGGCTACCAGCCTTAGATCACTGGTGCCATCCTTTTCTACAAAACACACCTGCCCCGAAGCAAAGGGCAAAAAACTAAGCCTATAAAAAATATATCAGCTCTTTAGTGACACTGAATGTGGAAGTAATAAAAGAATGATACACAGAAGATATGTTTTATTTTTAAAAATCCCAACAGTTTATCATTCACTCAGCTATAGTTCAACGTCACTATAAAGTGATACGAAACCTAACCTGCTGGTCCTTTTCATTTCATGTACAAATATGATTAAGATCAGGGTAAAAGTTCCTCCACCAGCAGTATTTCTATTTATAAATGATGAAGTTAAGCAACATTTCCACCATTTTTTTTACATGAAAAATTCTTGACTGACTTATACAACATTGTTCTAGGATCTACTGCCTGCAATCTGCTTCCAAACTAAGGCTTAGGCTTATTTTGTCATAAATAATTATTCTGTTAAATAAGATACATTATACTTTTAGGTCAATAATGTTTAAAACATAATTTAGAATAATTTTAAAATATAAACAAAAGTATGAAAATAAACATCCCACAGCTAGTTTTACTGGAAAATTAACTTACTACATATACAAATAAAAAGCTGATGCCATGATTTCTTGACACCAGAGGACACTATGAAGGATGGGTTTGTGTGATCTGATCCAAACATTTTATCTGTAACACTAACTTGAGAAAACGCTCCCTTGGAGTTAGAAGTACAACATATATCTCTTGGTGGAAACATGGATACTCAGCGGTAATGGGTGCCGGCCCCTGGCCCCCGCAAAGCCGCTGGTTATGAAGACCTGAGGCCGAGGGGACGGGCTGCTGGCAGGTGCCCCGTTGGACAGACCTTTAGGATGTGGTGCAGGCAGTGACTTTTCTCTTCAATTTAGTTCTCTTATGTTGGATCCTGGTTGGAATTAAAGGCATACCAGCAACTCAAGGATTTGTAAGACTAGCTTCTTTTACTGTAATTTTTGTTATCCATTAATACTGTTGTATTATATTTTTTGTTTTGGAGATTTTAAAGCTTTTTGAGAGGAGTTTATTGTAGCCGTGAATAGCAGACACTACAGATGTTAATTTCACTAAATAGAAAACACCTCTCTGAATGAGTTATGAAAAATTTTAAAATGCTGGGGCCCCTTTCTGTTTGGACAGAATGAAGACCCCCTGGGGGGCTGTTTCTCATCACAGTCTCTGTGATGGAAAATACCATGATGGGAAGGATTCTAATAAACACAGAACAACAAAAACCTTCAATATAATTTCAAAAAGAAAACTCACATCCTTCCCAGTCCTCATCTTTTTCTTCAAACGAAGAAAGACAATAGGACTTGAAAGAAGAGGAGGAGGAAGAACAGAAGTCCAGCAAGAGGGAAGCTGGCTAGAGGGAACGGCTCAGAGAGCACATGCCCTCGGCAGGGTTACTGAGGCAGCAGGCAGAGGACAGCTACACGGGTTAGTACAAGTGGACACCTGACATAGTGGTTCATACCCTCAGAGCTGTGAGGCTGGGTGTGCCGGGGACAGAGTGCAGACACAGGGGGTGTTCGGGGTTTATGGAGTCAGGAGAGAGAAATTTTTCAGCAGAATTAACAGTCATGTGATAGATGTGCTCAAAGTTGACCGGAGAGGAGATCAGACCAGGGTGACGGTGAGGGGATGGATACGAGAAGCCTGGCTATCAAAACAACCGGAAGGAGAAAAAGGTGACAAGGTAATGAAATGGATTTGCTGGTTACAGGTGACATTTCAGACAACACGCATGGAAGAAAAAAATGAAGTAAGCATATCACATCAGAAATGAATCCTTAATGAAATACTTTTAGTTCTTAGGGAGTTAAATTTTGTAATACTCTTGCACCAGGTACTTAAATAGCTAATTTGCAAAAAAAAAAAAAAAAATTCATTCGCCCTATAAAATCATTCTCTTCTATAACTGTTGTCAAGTGAGTAGAAACTAGACTTTCGGAGTCATAAGGAGACTCAGATTTTACTTCAGCATTTTCTTATGTGACAGAATCAAAACATGGCAAAAGTCTACCAAAAACATTAAGGACAGAAAAAGCAAGAAATTATAAAAGAACAAGTGAATCAACAACCAGCCTCTCCCTGGAAATGTTATGAAACTGTTTCTTTTGAAACCTAAGGCCATTTCCTAGTTTTTACATATCTGTGATACGAGTTTGCTTTTCCTGGTCTTGTTTTCCTATAGTAAAAATGGTAGCTGTGGAACATATCAATTGTTGGTTTACCTCGAAGTAGCTCAAGTTTGTCTCCAGTAGACACCCAAAAGAATGTTTGTTTTTTAACCAGGAAAAAATCTTCCCTTTAATGTTCAGGTGCATTTGAGAAGTAATGTAAAGCTAGACATACAGAAAAAAGCCTTTGGAGCCAAGGACTCTAGTTTTTCAGATGAAACAACTTCTGAATATTTGGGAGCTATCAGTACCCAGCTGCCTTCTCTAATGGGAGTTTGGAGATTCAGTGCTTAACAACTGTTTCCAGAAAACACTGTACAATTCCTTATTAGTTCAAGGTAGGGGCTGGGTGACTTGCAGGAGAAAATGTTCAATTTCTGTTCTCATGAGTTGACATAAGCTTGCTTTGTTTAAAAAAAAATCTGGTAAATTATGTAGGCTTAAAAAAAAAAGGTCCTACAAAGGATATGGTTTTAAATTTAGAAATGTGAGTGATATCAGTACTTTCTCAGGTTATTTCCAAAAAGAAAAAAAACTAATAATGTAAATGTACTTTAATTTTAAGGGACAAAATTACTTCTTAGAGCTCTATGAGGTCACTGAGCTAGAAATATCATTTATTGTCAACTTTAGGAATGGGTAAGAAAGATGTTACGTGTTAAATCTTCTAGAGGTAAAACATTCTTACTGCATTCAACTGGACACAAATTTGTCATTTATTATCAGTATCCACTTAAGAAAAAAGGTTATTGGCAAAAAGGATTCAAGAAAAATGAACACAGTACATACTTCTAAGACATACGTGCTGTTTTGACTATATTCTCTTGTCTCACTAAGGTACACATGAAAGGCTCACATCTGATACAGAAGGTAAAAAAAAGACTCTTACTATCTCTTCTACATTCACAAGGCAAACAACCCTAGTTCAGAATCATTTTGGTGGAAAAGAAACAGAATCAAGCTTTCAAAGACATCCAATAAACTCTCTAAGCTTCTAAGTATTTCATAGGGAAGCGATACCAATTTGAACAAGTAAAACAGAGAAACGTCTGGGTGTGTGCTTTTTACTTGGATGCCAATACGTAGCTCTGGTATTTGAAAACTCTTCTTATACATGCTAATGTTACACTATGGATCCATCTCCATTTTTGTGAAGAGTTCGTTAATACACGTAATCCCATTTCAGTAGAAAGAACATACTGAATTCTGAGAATATATGAGAGTATGCATGCTTTTCAGTAAAGGCAGGCCCAGGCATGCACATGAAGGTCGTGTTTACCCATCTACCCCAAGGCGAGCACGGCTCTGAGTAGACATGTGTCAAGAAACACGTGCCAGGAGAGCAAGTGGATGCCTATGGAAGACCCACCTTGTGTACCCTTTGCTAGTGAAAGGCAGAAAAGCCAGGTGAAAGTAAAATGAGACATTGCTGTAAAACACAGGAATTCACACAAAATCTTTGATGCAATACGTGTATAGGTGAACAAGTTTCAAAAATTCACACCAGCTTCCTGTCCTGGAAATACAGAAGTGCATATGTGGCAAGAAAACAGGAAAGGAATGAGAGGAACATTAAAAACTGCCAGGGCAAAAAGTCACTGGTATTAATGACAAAAAGCACCAATGAGGAAGTCATGGGTCCACAGACTTGGTGACAGCAAACCCTGAAAATCGAGTGGTCTGATGGGAGCGCAAGGCCAGCTTGGAAGGCCACACGCTCCCAAGTCAGGGGGCAAACCTCTGGGAAGTGAGACCTGAACTTGTAATAAAGTCTGGGCTTTATTTGGAACAAAAAAGGGAAACATTTCTCTCCCAAAGAAACGTGGAGTGAGGAGGTGAGCTCTGATAAAAAGGTTCGTACAATGTTGGGAATCCGACGTTCCGCATAGGTGTGCTGATTCAGGTGTACGGGGACCAAGTCTTACGGGGTATGGAGGTCTAAACAACTCCGGAACATTAACAAATGGATTTTTCACCTGCTGGCAGAAAAATACCAAGCAGAAAAATATTTTATTAAGTCCTAAAACTATTTCACCTTAAGAAAAATACTGTAATATGTAGAATATTATTTACTCAAAAATTTTCATCTTGCTATGCTGTTGAAATACAAGAGGAAAACTATATTCTTTTTTGTGCACCAAAATGAAGCAAAAGTGGAAGAAATTAATTTCAAAAGACAATGCCCACCAAAGTCTTGTTAAGCACTGAACTTTGTATTGCTGATGTGCTGCTTTGCAGCACGTGTTGAACATTTGTATCTTCCTATCCCTCCACAATGCTAACTACTATATATGAGGTGTTGAAAAACTATAACTAAATTTTAAAAGATCATTAAAATACTACATGCCACTTCATCTATCACATTGAAGCTATAAATATGGTCACATTTCAACTGTTTATTATAAGTAAACAAATTCCCTCCCTTAAGGTACTTTTTGCACCTGGCCCGGTAAGGTAACTTCCGAAGGAAAAATGAGAAAGGCTTTGTGCAGCTACGTTATGTTTCCTTCTGAGAATAAAGGAAAACCAGACCGAAGACTGTAAGCAAATGTTCAGGATGGGAAAAGAACGGAGAGAAGTGTGAAATCTCAGCCCCAGGAAAAAGCTGAAAAAAAACAAAAAACAAAAAACAAAAAACAGCATAGCTTAAAAAAAATTTTAAATCCTCACCCAAGAATGTTTTTATTGATTTTAGAGAGAGAGGAAGGGGGGTGGTGAGAGAGATACATCAATCTGTTGCCTTCCAACTGGGGACTGAACCTGCAATCTAGGTATCTGGCTTGACCAGGAATCGAACCTGCAAACTTTTGGTGTATGGGGCCATGCTCCCAACAACCGAGCCACCCGGTCAGGGCAGTATAGCTTTTAAATATAACAGTTTAATATTTAGACCAGCCTTTATTTATGTCTAATATTTTTAGCCTACTATTAATGCTCAGCCTCAAATTTTTTAGTTTTAATTACTATATGAAAATTAGCTATACTCTTCTTGTATAATTTCTTTACATGACCCAGCAGAGCTAATAAAAATCCCCCTTTCAAAAGGATAAATAACTTATGAATGATTTGAACTCCCTAATGGAGCATTACTGCAGCCAAGTAACAACGTCTTAGTGATGATGAAAACGACGACAGTAAGTAAGAATGGCACATTCATTCATTCACAAGCAGGGCCAACCGGTTAACTGGGATATCTAAAATGAGGAACTTGGGCCCGAATGAATGCACGCCATTTTTTTGTTTCTCCCATGAAATACATGCAAAACTATCTTTAAAGGTTTACTTTTTTTATTTTAAAAAATTTGACTGCACATCGAACTATATTACCTATCACTTTTTCTGCCTAATAGAGCTGTGGATCAAAACTCACAGACCATCTCCCAAATTGCCACAGTATATAAACCACACTTAAAATTCTGTGCTAAATCTAGATGTTATCACCACTGATCAACAGGGTGATGCTAAAGGTTCAATAATGTGTCGCGAACACTCTGATCCTGAAATGTTAAATATAAAGAGAGTACACTAATATTTTTAATCTCAACCCAATAGGTCCAAGAATCCAATCTTTATGTTGTTAAAAAAGCACCATGTTGCCTTTTTAATGTAAGACTGACCACCAGGCAAAGGAAAATGGTTTGAAACCACAATCAGCTGACGGATGTGACCATTAACAGCCAGGCCAATCCGCTTCTCTGGGTGGAGGTGGGCCAACTCTGTGTACTCAACTGCTAAACCTCAGTGAAGTTTCAGTGAGTTGGTAACCGAGTTCTGAATCGTGGTACGAATCCTAATCTGGCAGTTTATTTTACCAGCAATAGTAGACCTGGGTATGGGACAAGTTTATAGTTGCATCTTGTTTAGATGCAACTAAACAAGAACATGTTGTGTTTGGTTTTTGATAAATGTCCGAATCTTAGGTTTTTCTCATCAGGTACATCATCATGCATTTTGTACACATTGTGATATACTGAGATAAACATTTCCTCGTTATCCTAACATATCCCTTTAAGTAAGCCTTGTATATATCTAAGCACATACAGCATGTACACACACACACACACATCCCTCTTCACTCTGACCCCAATTCATTCCCATGCCCCCACCAAGCCTCTCACCATGGGCAGGTCTTTCAGGATCTGTATTCCGTCCCCAGGGCCCATGTGTGCTATGTGGTTAAAATTGGTTGGGTTAGAAATTAGTTTATTTCTCATTTCAGGATCTCGGAGCATCTCTCTGTAACAGAAAACGCATGTTTAGACACTTTTAATGATCAAGCTATATAACTCCAGAAACAAATCACAGATACTTGATTTTTCATAAAAACAAATGTGAAATCATGTTAATACAAATAGAATTAAAATAACAGAATATACTCAATTAAAATTTACTTAGAAGGCCCTAGCTGGTGTAGCTCAGTAGACTGAGCATGGGCCTGCAAACCAAAAGGTCACTGGTTTGATTCCCAGTCAGGGCACATGCCTGGGTTATGGGCCAGGTCCCCAGTGGGGGGCGCACAAGAGGCAATCACACACATTGGTGTGATTTCATTGGCATGAAACACACATTGGTGTTTCACTCCCTCTCTCCCTCCCTTCCCTCTGTCTATAAAAATAAATAAAATCTTTAAAAAATTTACTTAGATTTGTTTTACACTTTAAATAAAAGATCTTACAATTTTTTTGTGGGAAAATGGAAAGGATTCTTTTAGCACAAAGACATCAAAGAAGCTCTGCTCTATTTTACAGATAATTCTGAACATTTACGTATGTCTTAAAATAATTGATAACACTTAGAAATGTTCTTATATGTAACTGAAAATACCACAAGCCTCCTTCTGTTTGCTCATAAAGAGAACAGTTAATATGAAGTTCTTAAATATACACAGGTTTACTATTATGCACAGGTAGGTTCTATGTTTATATTGTAACAAGGTTCGCATTCTAAAAACTGTCAGTACTCCATATACATAGAGAAATGAATCAAAATATGGTACTTGAATCTAGTTCACACATCTTGGAGAGTGTTAATTAAAACTGCCCTGAGGTGTACATTCATCTTTCAACACTACAGGGGAAGGACAGATTTTGAGAGCTCAGATTTTCAGTCGAATGCAGTATCATCAGCAGACAGCCTTTCCCACGCCACAAGCACACGCGGAAGACTCGCAGAAACGAAGTCCCTACCTCCTCTGCTGCATCCTTTCCTCTTCTGGGACTCTGAAGGAGTAACGCCGCTTGTTGTTAATATTTCTAACCATTTGTTTCCGACTATTATCTGTGGTTTCAGGAACTACCAGTTCATCCCCTTCTGTTAAAAAAAAAATACAGAACAAGGATGTTTTTTAAAGTGATAAAACGCTTTCTACCCATTCATCTCTAAGACAGTACAAACGTTAACCAACCGGGCGAGTATAGTACATGCAATTCTGATTTTTAAAAGTTGTGTGTTGATCGTAGCAAGTAAGCAATAATTTTCAGAACATATATAAACAAACAGATGCTGAAGATAAACGTATCTTACAAAGTATACTTTATTTTATTATAAGCATAAAATTGCACTGTTTTACTAGAAGAAAAAGGACTAATGCAGTTGCCTTGGCGTCCTGTCACTCTGCCCCCCCCCCCCCCCCCCCCCCAGTAACTGCACCCTCTTCTTTCTCCTGGGGACTGGTTTCCATGGCTCGGGGCATTAAAGAGCTATTGCTAACCTGCACAGTAACCAGGCATGAATGGTAAGTTATTCATGTAAATGAAAACCACCACCATTATTTTTACATCTTAAAGCGCTTTCTATGCAAGATTGTTTTCTTTGCAATCTGAGAGGTGTACAGTCAGGAAAGGGAGCTGTGTTCCCACCACCACCTTTACTAGAGGCAGGAAACTGTCACTATTTCTACTCTTCTGATCTCAGGGCAGATGAAACTTGATCACAGACACTAGCAGGCCAGTGCCCACCTTATTCCACTTCAGTTTTGACTCCCAGAAGTAAACACAACTGTCAGCCGTGGGCCCCCACACCTGCGGGGGTGTGAACAGGCTGTAAAGTAGACTGATAGCACGCATGATGGACGCCGTCTCTGAGACCAGGAAAAAGAGAAAAGCCAACCTTCACACGGTCTTTATACCCAAAAAGCTTAAGCAAGAAAAAAGTGGGGAGAAGCCAAATGGGTGGGTGAGACCGAACCAAGTAAGATTAGTACAAAAGGAACTGTCCCCTCTTCTCAATCAGGCAGCTTTCCTAGCAACAAACATGAAAAAGGACATCATTTTTAAATTAGGTGAGAATGTGAAACACAATTTTAAACTCAGAATTGTGGGGATGAAGCAGGTCGTGCTGAGGGACAGCTGCAGTGGGAGAGTCTGCAGAGCCAGCGGCTGCAGGGGCGCCCTGAGCCCCTACGAGATGGGGTAGGAAGCAAGACCGGAAGAGAAAGGGTCTTTAGGAAACAGGGTTTCCTCCCCTTCCGAAGGACACGGCAACTCCACGGAAGGTCTTGCTCTCCCTCTTTAAGTCCAATCTGCTCCTTGCCCGAGGGCCGAGAGCTGACGGCACAGGAGAAATTCCCAGTGGAAGAGGTCTCACTCAGTGGACACTCTGGGGAAGGGACATTAATATCATCACGGCCTCGAGTGGCGAGGACGGGGTAGGCTCCAACTCAGACAAATGTGTGGGATTCCTCTAAGAAACAGACACAAAACTGAGTGCAGGGCCTCAGAAATGAGCTAAACCTGACCGCCCTCCCCAAGGCCTACGGGGCATCACACCGTGGCCCCTGCCCCCGAGTCACCAGTCGCTGTGCCTCAGGCCTCCGGTGCCACGAGGACGCACCAGGGCAGCACACCTGAAGCCAGCCAGGTTGCGTGTGTATTTTAGTGTTACCACCAAACAACAAACTTATGATTGTCTTCTTTTTCAATAGCAGAATATACAAATGTATTGGAAGAATAGGGGAAAAGAGAAAAACTTAAGATGTTAATTCCATTACCCAGAGAAAACTGGTATAAACATTTTAATGTGTTTTCTCAATGCCATGTTTTTTGCATTTAAATCGATTGAAATCATTTTAAATACTAAGCTACCATGAGTACATCTTCACTAAACAGGTCTACCTCGAAACACCATAACTTGACAAATACCTCTGTTATGCAGAAATGTGTTTCTAAGCCATGAGATTTACTTTACTGTATAGAACACTACAATAATATATTATAATAATGTGAGGTTTTACCTGTTCACGCATACTGCGACTGGCAAGCCCCTGACTTATTTAGCTCCCTGGGGACCGTCCCCTGGCTGGGACTTACCTCCCCACCTCGGACACTGCCCTCTTCCCCCACTGTGTACCGCCCAGGGTTCTCACCCCTTCTCCAGCCACTGCGCGTCCCAGCGACTCCCCTGTCCCTGCTTCTGCCACCTATGCTGTCACTAGCACCTCCAAGACTCTAGGCGAGACTAACACATCGACCAGCAGAAGATGTTTCCCGACAGTCCCAACCAGGGACTCTGGATGCGTTTTCTTATTTTAGTACAAGTCTTGGGCAGGTTCCACAGCAGTGAGAGTACAGAAAATACATTCAGTCTTACTCTCCTTACTTACCTGGGTATTCCCCAGAAAAATAACACAGTAGGCCAGAAACAAACATTCTACTTAGCTACGCAAGTGTGAACAGAGGGCTTTTCATCCAGCAGTGAACCCTCATCGACTGAGAGAGTAAGTGGACAGTGGCTAAGGCCACAGATTGGGGTGAGACACGGCCAAGTTCGATGCTGGGGTCTGCCCCGTGCTATCTCCAGGCAGTCGGCTTAGAGAGAACAGTCCCAGGGACACGCTCTTCTTAGTGTGCGTTTGCTTACCTGCCATCTTGTTTTTGAAATATATTAATCTAATTGTCTCCAAGCCTAAAAGATTTAATGATCCTTCACTGTTTAAAGGTCGAGCCTAAAATAATAGAAACTAAAATTAGTATTTCAACAAAACCTTCAAAAATTAAATCATAAAACTTTTGGCCCATTTATAAAGACCTTTAGTTTGTCCTTCCCCTCTAAAATATAGCTTTCTTAGAAAATCAACAAAAAAAATTAACATTCATATGACTGGAAAGGTATAAAATTAATTTGAACAAAATTATAATAACATTTTAAACGAAGACTGTTCTGGACCAAAAAAAAAGTAGAACTACATTTAAACCTTAAATTTGACTTCTTAAAGCTATTAGGGACCCAGTGACCACACGCAGACACCTCCACTTCAGCCACTTGACCAATCCCGTTTGCGCTGAACACACAGGGGACAGAGGCAAACGGTGAGACGCCTGGGAGGGACGGAGCAGCTGGCTGTCTACGTGGACGGAAGGAAGCCCGGTCCCTCCTTCACACCGTGACCAAAACTCAATCCAAATGGACTAAAGACATAAATGTAATAGGCGGAACATTCCAAAGAAAACACAGGTTATATCTTTATGACCTTGAGTTAGAGAGGTCCTAAACAACAGTGAAAGGAAATCTAAAGGATAAGAATGATATATATAACTATAATAAAATTTGTAACAAAATTTCAGCAAATACTATTATTATTTTATAAATATAGAACAACATAAAAATTGTTAGGTAGGTCATAAACAGAGAACAAATTCACCACAGCCATTACTAACCCTGTATCTATAGTATATAAAAAATTTCAATAAACCTCTAAGAAAAAGATGACTAATCAAATGGAAGAATGAGCAAAAAGTATGACTAGATATTTCACAAAAGAGAAAATATGAATGAAGAGTAAGCACACAAAAGGTTATAAACAATACGGTTAATTGGGGACATGCAAATTAATCCTTCAATGAATTACCACTTTCTACTCATTTATGAGAGCTATAAAACTGAATCCTGACAACGGCAAGCATGAGAGGATGTGGCTCAGCAAAAACCCTTACATGCTGCTGGCGGAGTGGCAACTGGGACAATGACTTGGGAAAATAAAGTGACACTAGCTTGTAAAGCTGAACATTCGAACTCCCCATGTCCCGTCAATTCCATCCCCGGGCCTGGGACTTAGAGAAACCCCTGCACACACGCAGCGGAAGACGCAGGCGACACTGCTCGCGACAGCAGAAAGCCGCTAATCAGACAACGGGTGAGTTATGGTCTGTCCACCCAGTACAGTGTGTCACACAGTGAGAGCAAAGAACCACATGTAACACCACGGGGGCTGGAACACACAGCTGCGCGGATGAGTCTTAGAAACAGCAAATCGTAAAGTAAGAGAGAGGACCTCAAATGCAAGCAAAACGGAACAATATAGTGCTTGGGAGTATTTAAGGAGAGCAAGGAAATGATTCACCGCATTCTGGACTGCGATTCCCCCGGAGGGAGACAGGAGTTAGGGACACAGGAGAGGCAGGGACAGGGGTAATGTTCTGGCTCTCGAGTTAGGTGTGTTCACAAGTGATCAGGTTTTTGTTAGGCTTCTTAAAGGCCATATATTCTTTCCTGTACAGTGTAAACTTAACATGATAAAATGAAAAGGAAAAACTAATTGTAATCAGCCAAAATTTACATGCTGGAGGACTGTACTTAGCAGCTTTACACAATACGGCAATATTTACCAGAGCTTTATTCACTTATGATGTGGTTCAAGTTGAGGAAGACTCTGAAATACAGTCTTGGCTACTTTCTTCTATTTATTCTTCCAAACCCTGCCCCTAACTAATGACACGTGTATCATATATCTATACAAAACTATTACTCTTCACTTCTGCAAAGTAACTGTTCTACACTACCTGCAAAAGTTTCTCACAGGGAAACTTTACGTTATCACAGGGAAATGTTAAAGGAAAATACTGTGTTTTATGATGAATATGTGAAAACTTTATTTTTTGATTATGAGATGCTTAAACACTGTTTTGATTCTAATTTTAACCAGTTTTCTAGCCTATAAATCTACCCTCAAAGGATTTTTAAATTGCGTACCATTATGTGAAAAACAGTTATAGTTAAGAATAATATACACTCTCAAAGCTCCTTAAATTATAGCCAAAGGTAATGCTGACATTTTAGTTGTAGGATATATTCTAGTTCTACATTGAAATAATCATACTTAATACAGTGAAACTAAATGTAATACAAATAGTATGGAGTTGAGCTACTTATAAAATTAAGCAGCTTGGTTTCATTTTTTTTCACCCTTAACTAAACCCTGGATTACCAATTACATACGCTGGAAACTGCTCAATTAGTGAAAAACAGCTAAATAGTCGCAGTCATACTCGAGCTTTACCTGGACTCAGTAATTCGCTGAGCCCACGTTCTCACGTTAAATTACCTTTTTGAGCGGGAGAGTCTGAATCCACTCCATGGAATTCACATCGAAGACATCAACCGCGTTCTCACTGTACACCGAGAGACAGGGTGCGTTGTAACCTGGGGAAGGAGGCGGCGCTGTTAAACCGGACACTTCAGAAAGAGCCATGTTACATAATTACAGAGTGCAATCTCACCCAGATCCCACTGTTATCACGTAACTACATCAAAACCTTTCTGAAGTAAATGGAACATAAAGATATTTTACAGCCATATAATACAGAAGGATTCTGCTGACACCTAGGGTGCACTATTCCCTTGCCCAATACTAGGTCTGTGAAGGAATTTCATTACATTGTAAAGTATTGGATTCCTAAAGTGTCTACGCAATTGACAGTGAAACCAACCTAGGAAGGAGAGAAACCTTCAGGTAGGAGTACTTTCCAGTCCCAGTTATGAACGCATGATAAAGCACCCAGCATAGTCACACAAATAGGGTAGATCTTCAATACGTACTTATTGGAAGAATAAACTGATACAAGCAAAGAGACTTTAGATGATTTATCTACACTAAGGTCATGAATTAAACTTTGGCTGATCTACTCATAAAAGCCAGATATTTCAATTCTTACTCCGTATTACAAGTCAAACTTTGAAAATTATTATCTGACTAGGTTACAAAACAGCATTCATTCTAAACATGACGCCATAGATAAGAGTATATATTTCAAAAGAAATAAAACGTTAAGTATAGTTAAGTCTGGGTTCACAGGGTTAGAGGAATTTTTCTTTTCTTCTTTTTATCTAGATTTTCTACGCTTTCTGTAACAAGTGTATACAGCTCTCCGGAACATTCTCCCACTGAAGCTTTAAACCGCACCGACCGCATCCCCGGCGCCCTCCCCTCCTGTCACCGGGGAAGAGGTCCCCTCCCCTTGCCCTCTCTTCCCCGGCTCCACATCCCCTCCTCTCGGGCCTCCTTGGGGAGCTCACGCCAGTGCTGACACTCACCCCAGTGGCTCCCTCCCCTCGGCATTCAACACGCTCAGGGGCCTCCGACCACACACAAAGCATTTTGGGCTGGATGCCCTCCTACTTGCTATATCCTAGCAGTGACATGGCACACAATGAGTATCTAAACCTTATCAATGTCTTAATGTTTCTCGAAAGGGTGTGATGAGCTGTTGTGAATGTCTACCTATCTAGATAGAAATGCAAAACTGAGTAAGATGTTACACTTACCTTCACATACCTGATTAACTAATTCACTTGGTAACTACTTCTCCAGAAGAAGTCTTACCAAATATTAATAATCACACTGTATTTTTGAGGACCATAAAGATAACTGTTTAGTTATTTCAGAGTATAAAAACATGGGTTAAAAAAATCCATCTAAGTGAAATTTTCCATAGAAAGATTATTTGCATATTAAGTTGGCCTAGGCTTAACTACGCATGGTTACTTTACATAAACAACATAATTGCCAGTAATACTCAGGAAAAACCCTAAGGATGACTTAAGGGTAACCTTTTATCACCCATAAATACATCTAGGAGATGAAGCGGAAGGAAAAGTGCAGAGACAGAAAGATAAGACAGCCGAAAGCAAAGAGACTCTTACAGCAAGAGGAAGGGCTTGCCGGCCACATCAGCTCCTGCTGCCTGGACCTCCGGCCCTGGCAGTCCGTGTACACCCCGATGCTGCTAAAACACAGCAGGTACTCTTTACTGGAGATCTCGACCGCGCAGATGGCGTCTGTGGGCTGGTGCGCAATAAAGGACAGTGTGTGATCGTTTGAGTGGAGCATGCTGTGCGGGCCCCCCTCTCCATTCAGGGGGTACCGCAGGAAGCCCGACTGGAAGCCCACGCAGAGGTGCTCGCTGAAGACTGCCATCCACTGCACATTGTACGGGACCTGGATCTCCTTGAATTTCCTGTGCCGGGTCTTGCTCTGCAACAGTTCGTAGCACAGGACCTGCCGCTTCATGGCCACGCACAGGCACGTGACGGCTCCGTGGCGCACCTTCCCAGAGGTGATGGTCTGACACCCTTTCGTCTCCGCCAGTTTGTGGAACTCCGTCTCTCGTCCGTCCAAGGCTGACACGGGAAAAAGGCGTACGTGACGGTTCCGTCCTGAGATCACAGCAACGAGCTGGTCGTGTGGAATGAGCTCAATCTGATGCACCTTCTTATTGTCGCCAACTCTAATGATTTCTACGCAAAGAAATCATGATAAATCAGATCCAAGACATTCTGCTTATTTATTCACTGTACCCCAATTATACATATAAGTCAACCTCTAATAAACACAGATCCACACACAGAAGAGTAAGAGCTCAGAAGTCACAGGGAGGAAGAGGAACCAATACACCCATTACAAGACCACCTGACACACCCAGTGTGAACTGTTAAATTTAGCACTGAGATTCCTGCCAGCCCCAGCCAAGAATTGCCATGTGGTAAGGCAGGATCTTAAACAAACACGCAAACCACCTTTTTGCTGGTACTAAGTTCTAGGAAACTTTTACCATGGGGTTCGTATTTTTTAAAAGATGAGTAACTCATATTTCACTGTAAGTATTTGTGTGGGTAATAAACTAATTAAGTTTAAATGCATTTTCCCCATGACCTAACTTGATATAACACTATATTCAAAAATGCTAAAGTAAGCCCTGGCTGGCGTAGCTCAGTGGATTGAGCACGGGCCTGTGAACCACACAATTGCGGTTCAATTCCCAGTCAGGGCACATGCCTGGGTTGCAGGCCAGTTCCCAGCAGGGGACTCACGAGAGGCAACCATACATTGATGTTTCTCTCCCTCTCTCCTTCCCTTACCCCCTAAAGATAAATAAATAAAATATTTTTTAAAAAAAGAATGCTAAATTAAACTGGTCTCTTTTTATTTCAGGCAGTATTTAATTTCTCTTGAGAAAAAAAAAACAACCCTTTATTTGTAATAAACTAGGGGGGAAACCCCAATAATAAATGTATCTTAATGACAGTCACTGCTTCTAATACTTTTAGAACGGAAAAATGAAGCTGCATTTTCTTTCATGTACCTTCTTTAGAAACACAACCAGAGTTCATTCAGGGAACGGTTAAGTAAAGTTACACAACAAGACAACACATCCGTGTAGATTTCGGAATTCAGGATGGCTGTTTCTCTTACCGTCTTTGGTGACATGCACAACAAATAACCCTTCTTCATTGCCCAGAGCTATCCTTTCATGATCTATGTGAGACATAAACAAACATGAAACACTTTTATTGGGTAAAAACCATGTAAAACTAATAACTATATTTCATAAAAAACCCTAAATAAATAAAAGTAGCAATAGCATGTTATGATTCAATTTTCTTTCATGTCTTTTAAAATATCTACACCAATATTTACAAAGAGGAGGAAATGTTTATGCACTGAAAGGTGAAAAAATTGAAACCTCACTTGAGAGTGCCCTGAGTGAGGTCCCATTTCTTGTTTTGGGAGGGCAAATTTGTGAAAGGCATTTGAACCCCACTCACTGACCTTTCCATTATTTACCAGAAAGGAACAGAAGAGTTAGACCTGCACATAAAAACACAGCGAAAATTTACACCTCCGACACAGGAGTGGCCGTCTCCGGGGGCGTGTTCTGTGCGGGGCACTCTGTTGTGTACTATGCCTCCTCTCAACGTCCCCGCAACCTCTGTGAGGTGACCAGCGTCTACATTCTACACGGACACGTACGCTTTAAGAAGTTAAACAACTTGTTCTCAGTCACACAAGCAGGGAACAGATAGGCTAAGAGTGAAACTCCAGTGCTGCTGCCTTGTCAGAAGAAAACGCATTTGGAAAGTGTGCTTATTCGTGGTTACTGAGAGATGACGTCTCACACGGCCTGACTCGCTCACTACGCACCGAACACCTGTGACATGACACACACCAGGCTGGACACTGGGGACCCCCAGCGGAAGGCCAGCCCCGCCGACCAGGCAGGTGAGTGGCCACGCAGGCGCACTGTTGAGGACCCCCACCTATGATCGCAGCGGCCTGGGTGGTTTTGATGATGGGCAGTGTGCTGTCGTAGGCCTCTTTGGGAACGTAGACTGAGCGGTCTCTGAATTTGTTCTTCTTCAGGATCTTGTGCAGCTCGCTCAGCACCCCCACCCACTTGCTCTTCTCGTTCTCGCTGTCCGCCAGCATCAGGACCGAACACTTGTTATTAGGGGCTGAGAGCTGGGAAGTGGTGACCTAGAAAATGTGAATCAAACTCGTATTAGAAAACAGACACCCTTCCAGTCGGTTTCATGCTTAGGTTAGCCTGCTCAGCACTGGTCTGCAAAGTGAGTGTTCATCAGGGGTGACCTGAGCAGAGGTCAGCTATTCCTAATCGGAAAAATATCTAGCTTTTAGCATTGGAATTCATGGCAAAGCAAAGGCAGCAGATGCCATTCCAAATGTCAGCATCATTTTATTTTCTTTGCTATCAAGCGCCAGAGTACTATCACTAAAAATGCATTACACTCACTCATAAAACAGCAACTGACATTTCTGAGTAATCACTGGGCCCTGTGCATGGATCACAGACTTCACAAATATTAATTAACTCGCCCTATTAACATCTTCAGAAAGACAGGTACTGTTACTACATCCTGATCTTACACATGCAAGAACTGTGCTGCAGAAGTTCACGTCCAAGGGCACACGGCAAGAGTGGGGGTCCCATGGCTGTGCTCGTAAGCACTGCACCACATCAATTTTTAACATGTTTTATTGAAAAGATCCGAAGTGCTCAGAAATACACTCTCTTATTTCATACCAGTAACTCACATCATCTCAGAGAAGATCAGAACCACTTTAATTACTCTTTAAATGAAGCTTTCATTATGCAAACAGCATTTATAACAGAGCAGACTTAAATTTTATGTAAGTGAACACTTTAGCAAAGTAATTTAAGCCGCACGACAATAAAATCCCAGTAGGTTTATGAGTTACAGCAGATGGGCCTCGGAAGGCTCTGCTGGGGGCTGGACAGAGAGCACAGCTGTCAGTCCAGAAACTGAGACAAAGTATCGTCACTGTCAGACCTACCTGGGACACAAGACTCACAGACAAACACTAAGCATACGGGCATAAGGTTGGGACAGCTCTCCTTTCTTTTTACCTACTTTATGCACCAATTCAAGGCTGGACTGTGGACAGCTTCCAAAGGTGGCTACCGACTCTTCTTCCTATGGAATGCCATTCTTCTATTCCCTTCCCCTTCAACGCAGGCTGACCTCATGAGTTGCTCTAACAGCCTACAAAAGGGTTATGATGCCTTTTCTTCTGGGGGACGGTGTCTAGGCTTTAGAAGGCCTGGCGGCTCCTTTTGCTCTCTTGGAGGCCAGCCACGGAGAGCTCAGCCAGCCCATGAACGACTGGAGACCACACAGGCGGAGTTTGCAGGGAGAACTGGGGGTGCCCAGCGCAGAGCCAGCACCAGACCACAGAGGTGAGGGCGGGTCCTTCTGGATATTCCAGCCCCCAGTGAGCTGAACGCAGCCACAGGAGGGAGTGCAGTCGACCCTGACGGAGCTGCATAGCTGGCCCACAGGATGGGAAAAAACAAATCCCTGTTATTTTAAGCCACTAAGGTCTGGAGTGGTTATTGCAAAGCACTAAAACTGAAAAACATGTTAATTTTTAAAATCAGATTTAGAAGAAAAAAAACTTCCATTTTTGTAAAACTTGAGAAACCTCACACTTAATCTACTTTCCATGTGGCAGTATGTATTTTCAGATTCATTTGTGACTCAAAAAATCGTCCAAGAGGAAACCCGAGTTAGAAGCCACATACTAATGCTCTCTGCGGGCTTTTCAGAACTAAATGCTTACCCAGCATTAACTGTCTACGCCTGCGAGTGCCGGGCGGCACGGAGTGAATGGAGGAATGAATGTGGGGTCTGGGCCTGTTCCTGCTAAGTTTGTGATCGCAACAGACAGGCAAAACATATACTAATTAAAGACAGACAATCCGGTGATCGATTACAGCACACACACATACTTACTCTAAATATACAGGGTATATCTTTTCGACTTGCGTGAATAACGTCAGAAGCCAAGACCGAACTCACAGAGAACTCTTCATCCCTGAAGGGCAAGGGAGACGTTGAGAGTCAGTGCGTGGGGGGTGTGGTCCTGCGCGCCTGTCCAAGGAACGCAGAGGAAGCGATCCTCTAACGGACCAAGCAACACGGCCGGCGTCTCCCCTCCTTGTAACTGTGGGTAGTGCCCATGGTAAATAACGCAGCTGTGACTTCGCACTGGCACCTTACACGAGAGCTAGAAGTCACTCCTGGCTTGCCCGGAGCCCCAAGGCCAGCCCTGTGCGTGCGCACTGGCGTTTGAATGCTGGTGGCCCGGGGCCCGTGTGTCATTTTACTGTTCCCTCAACACCTAGAACGGATGTGCTCCACTGTGCTTCAGTCCTTAGTTCGGGGATCGTGGCTGGAGGGACAAGAGAAGGTCAAGGAGAGCTGCTGGGGCGGCGGGGGGGGGGGGGGGGGCGGCTGCAGAACGGGGCCAGAAACATTCGAGGTGCGTCCACTGAAGTGTCTACCGGTATACTGTATATTCCAAGTGCCTGTCTGACTGGAAGACTTTTATTTCCTCTCCTCATGTGGAAATTACACTGTAAGCCTTTAGGTGATGATATTAATACCACACATTAGACTTCCGATAATACCCCAGCGACCATTCAACTGGCCCTTTGGATTCGAAGATTAGCTTCTTTTCTCTGACCCCAGGCCCCCCTCCCCCCATGTCAACCTTCCCTATAACTACGCCTTCCCTATAACTACCTGTTTTTAACTATGTTACATAGCAATATTGGTTATCCGAAAATTATCATGAAATTAGATTTAAGTAAAATCATGGCAATATGATTAGTAGAAAAATCACACACTTTTTATTCGCATGTTGCAGAGACACAAATACTGTCACCTTGGAGAGCTCACCTCATGTCAATCACCTGGCTGACGACCACACTGGGCTGAGACGCTTTTCCCTCGGCAACGTCGTACAGAAAGAGCTTGAAGTCGCAGACCACGGCCAGCGCTCTCTGCCACCCCTTCTTCACCCCGGCGGGCTTCGGGATCTGAAGCACACGCACAGACAGAATGACGCACACGCTAAGGAGCCCCTTCGATCACACAAGCACCCACACGGTGAAAGCGGGAAGACGGTGCGTCGGGGGCCTGCCACCCTGGTTGGAGGAGTGGCCGATGGAACACATATACCGCTAACAACGTCTGAGAGGCATGTGAGAATACAGTCTTCAGTCATGGAACAGCTTTTTATGATGAAGTATTTTTAAATGGTACCCTTTTAACGTTTGCTGGAAGTTCACTAAAATAACACTCATGGATTTCTTTCTAAGTAGAATAAAAGTCAAATTCGGCAGTGAGATGAAATGCAGCTTCCACTTGGAGTATCACTCCGGATCACAAGTCAGATCACGCTGCGGGAGTACGTCCCTTGCCGAGCGCACCCCACCTCCCCAGCGCGACCCAGTGCTGGCGGCTCTCTAAGCACTTGTCCATCGCAAGGCAACACAGCACCGAACACTGCGACACACCATGGAATTAATTTCCAAGCAAAGACTAGGTGTTTGCTTTCAAATCATTACTTTGGATGAAATAAAATGAACAGATACATTTTATTCACCTAATCTGTCAACAACGGTGCTTGTAAGGTGAATGGACTGTATTTTAATTCATTAGTGGGCCTTAAGAGATTAACCTAAACCGGACGCCACTTACCCGGACATGACCTTCATATGCCGTTCCTATTCCTTTCTGAGGGTCTATGCCCAGGGGGCCTTTGGTCTGTTCAGGGGGAACCGGACACACCGTGGGAGCTTTGTTGACACAGGTGATGTGACACGAGAATCCACACACTGTTGGAGGGATAAGAAAGAAATGATGTCCATTAAAAGTTCATGTTACAAAAAGGAAGTCCACTGATCATCCATTACATGCAAGGTAATGAATGCTTCTGATTTTACTTTAAAAAACGATTTTGTCATTTGGAGAGCTGATTCATTTGCTTAGCAAAAAGAATTTCAATGAGAAATAGTATTTTTCATTATTACAATATTAATGTTCTGTGTTAACATTAGTGATGAAAATGCAAAACAAACAGAAAAACATCTAATCTTGTGAATAAAATGGCTGATTTAAACTCTGAATCCCTGGAAGAGCAATTTCTGGTGCCCCCAAGACCTCTTCCTCTACTGTGACATCACACATGCTCTGCCATTTCTCTCGTAAGACTAACAGACGCTATGTTACCTGACACTCTGCGATGTTTGGCAAACTCTACCCATTCCTCTTCTTGAAAACAGAATTGTTCAATGATTCAAATGGCAAAATTAAGAATAAACTTTGGGAGTCACTGATATTACTGTATATACTTAAATTCTCACTAAGGTAATAATAAAAACAACAGCTAACTTCACTGAGTGTTTTCAATTTTTCTCTAACGACCTGAGACAGGTGCGGCGCCCCCACTTGCACGGGACTGGCCCTGGGCCCAGGACCTGCACGTGACCCTGCTGCGGCCGGAGCCCAGGTCTTTGAGCCCAGAACCCGCCCACCTAACTGCTGAACACAGTGCCAGGTGCTCGTGACACTCACACGATGGCCTTCAGACTCTAAGGCCAAATGATAAAGTAAAACCAAACCCACAAATTTCACTGAGACTTGGCCGGGTGAGAATTAAAGGTTGAGATACTTGGAACAAGCTTGTGGGGAGGGCTTCCAGACCAAGAATATCCATCAGATAACTGCTGCTCTAAGTGGGATCCTGGAGAGTACCCGGGGAAGAAAACGAGAGAAACTGAAAGAATTCCACGTGGGAGCACGCGCACGTGGTAAAATGCACTGTGCGTCACAAAGGGATCTGTAGAACCGACAGGGCCAGATGGGCTGGTGCCGACTGTCCAGAACTACCCGAACTTCTGTCTGACAAGTTGTAATTTGTTTCAGTGAGCAAAAATCTCATCTCTAAAGGGCAGTGGAAGCAACTAAATAATTATCCAATAACAGACCTACCGTAATTTTGGACCATTAGACATACCTAGGTTTTAGAGCAACATAGGAAGAATTTTTTGAAGCAAAAAATGTGGTAAAATATTTAATAACATAAATCACATAATATTTCACCAGTATAAATGCAAAGAGAACTCAACAGCAGCATTAACAACCATTACTCCTCCCAAATCGGAAGGGGGGGGTATATCTTATAGTCCGAAAGATATGGTCATTTCAAACACCCAGAAAGAAGTGGAAGTGACGGGACTCTCCAGAGGCTGTAAGCACATCATCATCACACTGATGGACGCACGGGCAGAGTCTCCCGGGTCCCCACTGCTCTACGGAGAAGGAAGAGAAGACAGACTCCAGCTCATGGCACACAAGACTCTGGCAGGGCCAGAGTGGAGGAGATCTCCAACAGCCCGACCATGAAATCACAAGTAACTCTGATGCACAAAAACCAGTAAGGAACCTACAGCCAAGTAGCTGCCCGGGAATCTTTCTAATATTTAAAATGGCTTTTATGAGTACACGTGACCCTTGAACAAAATGGGTTTGAACTGCTCAGGTCCACTTACATGCAGTTTTTTTCAATAAATACTGTAAATGTAGTTTCTTGGCCACATGGTTTTCTTAATAACATTTTCTTTCCTCCAGGCTTAGTTTACTGTAAAAATATAGTATGTAATACACATAACATATGAAGTGTGTCTTAATTGACTGTATGTTATTGGTAAGGTGTCAGGCCAACAGCAGGCTCTCAGTAGTTAAGTTACACTCAGATTGTCGACTGTGCACAGGGTTGGCTGGTGCCTCTAACCCATGTTGTTTGAGGGTGAACGATACTGGCTAAGGTCCTAAACGAGAACAGGCTTAAAAAGTGTACAAATTCTCTCCTTGTTTGGCTTCCGAAACACCTTTCTGGTCAATGGTACAATCTGTTCCTTCTAAGATCCCTTTATCTTTACCTGTTTCCACCTGTGCCTCCTGGATGTCACTCATATTCATCACTCCACTCACTCAAAACTCTCAAGCCTCCACTTTCCAATCTGACCACTTTCTTTGTCTTGAAATCCATGCATCTAACAAACTAGTTGCAATAATGCAACTGAGCTTGTCCTTTGGTTGGGAGAACTGACCAACATAGAATGTGTTGCCTTGGACACTATTACTTTCCCTGTTATTTAAAGCACTGAACTTCATGCCAACTACAAGCGCCCTCTACAAAGGGAACATATCTATGTACTGCAGACTGACCACCTTACCTGCAAGGCTCCTTCCACCCCGAACAGCAAGAAATGGGGACCACTGTAATATCAGACCCCGATCAGCAACTATTTTCTTATCTTTTTAATAAGATATAGTGGTAGATTATATGAGGCACTGTTATAGTTGCAAGTCTCATGTGATTTTTTTAAAAAAGCAAGCGCATTTCTAAAATATATGCAAATACTATATCCTATTAAAATTTAAATCCTTTTCCGAAGTCACAGGAAAAATAAAGTGGTGTGCAAACGCATTACTTTGTTTTCTGTTCAGACGACTTCTGCTCTCTCACCTCTCCGAACGTGTGCCCCACGAGGGCGGGTCCCTGTCCCCCCAAGGCCACACCCAGCCCCAGTGCAGTGAGGCGCCGGGCAGCCACCGATGGAATGGCAGGGACAGCCTCCTCTACAAATGCTGAGAAAAAGTGTCTTGTGAGGGACAGTAACAGGTACTGCATTACCTACTTTCCAGTAACGATTTCTCTGATCAATGAACCGAGGTTAAAATCAAATGAATAGATTCAAGGGTAACTTTCATCTCTCTTGTCACACAGGTCACAGTTTTTCTAAACCACAGAGCCGTCTGAATAAAACACATTAAATATAGAAATAAAACATATTAAATATATCTCCCTTGAAAAAAGTTTCTGGGGACTATCTGTCTACTTTCTTCAATATTAAACCAAGTTAGCAAGGTGCTCATTTTCTCGTCTCCATTCCTGTTATCTGAAGACAAGCAAATGCCTGCGTAAAACAAACACTCATCTGCCTCACGAAGTTCCGTGACTGTGACTGAGGGCGTGACGTCAGGGCCCCGAAGCGGCACTTCCTCACCATCTGGCTCTTACCTTCACAGGAGCAGCCCTGCCGTACCAGGCCCACCATCAGCGAGGTGCACTGGTGACACTTGGTGGGCGCGGTGAACGACTTCACAAAGAACTGGTGCGTCTTGCGCTGCAACACAAACGGCCACAAACACAAACACGGATTATTTACAGGGTTTTCGGTGAGTCTCTGGGCCCCACACCGGCCACCAGATGCTGCTGTGGGAACAACGGATTGTTTCCCTTTCTCGCCATGTATTTCTATAACCCATGCTCTTTATAAATATTTTTATTAGGCAATATTGAGCTGGATTATACTAAAATGAGAAGTAATCATCAACTGCTCTTGAACTGACACTTGAAAAGTTATAAAATAAACCAGCTTTTTTGGGCTCAAAACCTTTTAGAATTTTTTTTATCACTTCTTCAAACTATTCTTTAGCAGTTAAGTGAACCTTACGCACTTACACCTATAGACATGAAGGAATGTAATGCGCTTCAGTACCCAGAACCATTGTGCAGATATGGACACTGCCTCTGCCACAGAGTTGGCCTTCACACTTCCCATGTCGTTAACCCATGTCCCTGCCAGACCTGGTGTGCTCCTTCTGCTATGAAAGCCTTCTACGGAGTTCTTTATTTCACACTGAGCACTTATAAATTATCAGAATTTGCTTTACCTAATACGAGTTACCCAATGTGCTGCTTTCTTTTGTATCCGTTACACTTTTGTGTATTTTATTGGTTTCTCAGAGGCATCAGCCTCTCTCTCTCTCATTCTGTGGTTTACTCAAGGGTTATGTTCTGGACAGGAAGATCACTTCGGTTTTCCAATTTCTAGAACTTCTTTCTAGGAGCTTGACATAAGCAACTAAATCTTCGTTTTGTAACATATACAACATTTCAGTCATAGTCACATTGAATAGGAGGAAAAAAGAAAATTCACGTGAATTTTTAAATTAAATATTTCTCCTTTTTTGGTGGCTTATTAGCCTCAATCTTAGATTCTTCCACAAATGGCCTCAACCTACTACCTTGATATAATGCATCCCCAAGGTACTACTCCTCACTGGAACAGACTTCAGACACTAAATGTAAAAGGCAAGAAAAACAAAACAAAGCAAAGTCTGGCCACTCCCCCTACCTTTCTCTGTGGCGGATACTGCCTTTCATACAGAATTTATTTTCTTTCCAAGCTTTCGGGCTTGTAATTTTAAGAAAACCCGTAGTGGACAAACATTACAGGCGAAATGGAAGGCGGAAGAAATTCACCCTCAGCTTTGTTTCGGGACACACCACGCTGTGCGACCAGACTGAGTACCTTGGGGGGGGCGCCGGCTGAGCCAGGGCAGGCCTTCTTCTTTAAGGTTGGTGTGTGAGCTGGGAGGGGAGCACTGTCTACGGTCTGGATCCAGGGGCAAAAAAAGAGTAAGTATTAGGAAAAACTCAAACCATTTCAAACATCTCTAGCAATAAAGCAAAGTAAATAAAGCCAAAACAACCCATCAATAAGGCAAAATATCTCTCAATGAAACTAAAATTCTCATGCTGTTGGTAGTTTAAAATTTTGCCTGCAATATCTACAAGTAAAATATTTGTTCAGTTATTAAAACTTATTTCAGTCTGGAAGTACAAAAATGAAGAATCTGGAAAAGAGAATCCACAGAACACAAAAAATGTCATATAGCACGTAGCCTACATAATGATGAGGGCATTAATTTTCAAGTTCATCTGAAAACGCCACATTAATCCTAAAAAAGTATCTGAGTTTTTTAGCAAGATTTATAATCAAAATATTTAGAAGATTCTTTTAACTCCTTGACTTCTATATACAGAATGTATACTACATACGTATATGGAACATAATTCTGTGGATTTTTGTGTATGCGTATATAGAGAATGACTGATCAATCGACTGATTTGTGGGAGTTTGTGCAGAAATTAATTTTTAAAGAAGGAAGCTAGATCATTATTTTCAGGATCCAGAATTTACACACAAATTTAGCTACAATCATATCTTTATTTTATGGGGAATTATTGTAAGATATTTCTTTGAATAAAAGAAAACAGTGATGTTACTTTGGAAAAAAGAGATACCTTGATTAGCAAAATGGAAAAAAAAAGACATGAAGAATGACTTCCTATTAGGATGCTAAAAGCAAGCAAACAAGAGGAAAAAGCTACCTTTGTATAAAGGTATAGAATATACTAAAACATTAAGAGAAAAAAGTAAATGGACTCTGTTTGCTTTTGTTAAAGTATAACCTCCAAAGTCAGAATATTTTATATGTATTATAACCTTAAAGTGGAATTCCATTGAGTTTCTCACAGTTTTCTGCTTAATTTCATTCTAATTTAAATGTAAATAGCTTGGGAAAGTTTTGAATTCAATTTATAATTTTCCATTAAAGACATACATATGAAAAAGAAGAACACTGAAAACCTTTGCGAAAGTTAAGAGGAAACAATGCATATGAAACAAAACTGTCACTAGAATTCACATTAAAAGTTCAAGAGGAGTTTCTGGAATTGAAAGGGGTGAAGCAAGGGTGCTGGACAGAAGACCAAGGGAGCTCACAGACAGAGCACATAAAGACCAGCAATGCCTCACTTACAAAATACGTTTCAGAGAAGAGCCCATGCACCGCAACGACAAAGGCCTGAAAGAACAAAAACCTAACGAACAATATGGAATAACCCTTGAAGAAAATAATAAAACCTTCTTAAAGGAAATAAAAGAATATCTAAATATTCCACGTTAATAGTGTACATGTTCGTGTATGCAAAGACCTAATATCACGAAGATGTCAACTCCCCTCAGATAAATCTATCAATTCAAATCCAATCCAAAGGCCCACGTGGCATCTGACAAGCTGACCATAAACGTCGTGCGTACAACGAAAGGGTCAAACAGAAAAGGAAGGAGACGAAGGTGGGTGGGGGCCGGTGTGGCTGATGGCAGGCACCGGAACTGTTCCACAGCTACAGTAGTTAACGGGACGCTGGAGCAGAAGAGACAAAAAGAACAGTGGAAGAGAACAGTGGACCCCCGACACCCCCGTTTCCATAAAGCAGGGGCAGCTTTGTAAGTCAATGGGGGAAATATAGGAGAATTGCTTATTCATATGAGAAGAAGAGATGAGAACCTCATTTTTCATAGTAATGTAACGATAAATTTCAGTTTGATTGAAATCTAAAAATTTTTTTAACTTTCAGAAGAAAACAAAAATCTTCATTAATTGCTGTGAAAAGAAGAAATGTTTTAGAAAGCAAAAGACATAAAGAAAAATATTTGATAAACATGGGTACTTTAAAATATTGTAGAAACTTGCAAGACAAACAGATACCACAAATAACATTTAAAAACAAGCCATAGACTGGAAGAAAATATCTGCAGTGCATATAGCCATCTAAAGATTAATATCTAGAATGTATAAAGAATACTTCGAGGACAACAGGAAAAATAATTCAATAGAAAGAACATTGGGCAAAAGCATGAACAGGCAAATCGCCAATGGCCAACAAACATATAAAAAGAGGCTCAGTAACACTTGAAATCAGAAAACGCAAATGAAAACAAAAACGCCACCCTGTACCCACCCAACTGGCCAAAGCGCGTCTCTGACAGCACCAGGGTTGTGGGAATATGGGGAACTCACACAGTGCTGGTGGGAGTGAAAACTGGTGCAACCAGCATGGAAAGCAACTTGGCAAGATCTAGTTCAGGTTGAAAATGCAGACAGCACACAACCCAGCCATTCCACCTACAGGTGTATATGCTAAACAAACTGCACATTTGCAAAAGCAGGTAGCTATTAGGATGTTCACTTCGGCATAGGTTGTAGTCACAAAAAAAATTGGGAACCGCCTCTACATCCCCAACAGGAGAATGGATAAATGGCTGTGGTGTATTCCTACAATAAAATATTATGCGGTCGTTACAATGAATGGACGTGTATGGACCTCAAAAGCAGGCTGAATGAAAAAGTTTCAACAAAATAAAAAGAACCTTTGTGTAAAATTTCATATACACAACAAACATCTGTTGTTTATAGAGACAAATGAAATGAACATGGAAAACCAAGAAGACAGGATACGATTTGATTTCAGGGTGTTCAGACACGTCTGGGAGAAGAGACAGGGAATGGTACGGGAAAGGGCATTTCAAATGAACTGCCTGAACTATGTTCTTTTTTTCGAACAGAACTTTGAAAAATCAGGACAGTGTTCATATCTGTTAACATCTGTGGATGGTGGCTGCATGGGTGTCATTATACTCTGTGTGACGGAAGTACTTGAACATTAAAATAAAAGTTCAGGCCATTAAAATAAAGTTAAAATATTAAAACAATAAAACGTCAAAAGCAGCAGATCCATCAACCAGTGTGAGGTGGTCTCTCACAGGGCTGGAAAACACCCCTGTCAGAATCCGAGTGCAACTCACACCCCGACGGCTTTCTGCCGGAAGGCCACACACGGCTCTGGAGCAGCCAGGGAGGTGGACGCGGAGTGAGGACCCAGAACTGCACCCATCGAGGAGGGCCCTCCCTGAGCTACAATCCTCTGACTTGCTGAGAAAATGATCTTGAGAAAACCAACCAATTAGCTGTTTAAAACCAGCAACTGACACAAGACGCAAGTACGACATTTTGCACTATTAAAAGGCACGATTTCACTGAACACCTATTACTGAGCACTTAGAATAAACTACTCAGTTGCCAGCAGAGGCAATTTTCCCTTTAAGGTCTATTTGTGAAGTGACAGTCACATCGTGTCTTGTGAGAGTTATTAGAAAGAGACGCGAGAACTGCCCCTGACACTGCCGTGCACCTGCGGGTCTGGAGGCCCCACCTTCACGTAACTCTGGCCTACACTGCTCTCCACTGAAAATAAGACTACCTGCGTGGCTAAATACATTCCCAGCTGAGTTTTGGGGGGACAATTTTCTGCTTTAGCTTTGTGCTCCTATTGACATTATCAGTCCAATGTCATGATCCCAGCACACTGTGACTTACTGCACAATATACGCAGTGAGAAGGAGCCCCCCCTCCCTGGCACAAGTGGAAAGCTGGGGGGCGACACTGCTCCAGTGAGGCGCCTTCACTGGCTCAACTTCACCAGCTGTGGAAGGAGATGGGGGCCTGCAGTGGATGTGAAACTTGACGTTCGGGTTCCGTACATGCGTGTTCTCAGTGGGATGGGTCTAGGAAAGTAAGTCGGGAAGAACAAAACCCCAGGAAATCACTCTCAACAACGTCCAGCTCTTACTGGGTGTCTGGAAGGCATGATCATGACATTTCCTGAGGAAGGAGGATGACCAACTTTAGTCTGACTCTGCACGAGGGGTGTGTCACTAGACAAAAGCATAACCACTAGCTTTAATGAAAACCAAGGTTAAGATGATAATGAGCAAAATGCTCCTGTTGTGTTAATGGGACGTGGAGCAGCAGCTATGGACCAAGAGCTAGGAGAGTATTTCAGCATTTTAACCACTGGGCCTGCCAGCTGTGCACCAGCTCCACGAGTGTGTTGTGGCTAATTTCATAGAACTGGTACAGCTCTGACATGGGACAGCCAGGCCTGGGTCCCGTCTCGACTCCTGAGGCAGCAGTCTTCCCACTGGACCAGTGGCACCTCCACAGCAGAGGCGGTGCGCACAGCAGCTTATGACCGTGGAGGCTGCGCTACACCATCTCCTTCCCTGACAATGAACTCTGACCAGAAACAGGAGAATAAAGCTAAGAAAATGGGACTCAAGACAATTTTTACCTAGTTCAGAACTTTACTCAGGGGCAGTCACAGAGAAGGCAATCAGTTTAAATTATGAATCTGAAATATGATCCTGACTTGGGAATAAGGCAGAAATGTCTTTCACTTTCTAAACACCTCCTCCCTAGATTATTATAAATTGTAAGCTGAATAAGAGTCCATGGGGAAGGGGGTTCCATTAAAATAGAATTCATAGGCAAAGTATTGATCCATTTTACACTAATAACTTCAAACAGATTTTAACTATCTCACTGAATTTTAAAGAAGTGTGCAAGTAGATTTTCTATGTGCCAAAAAATTTTCTTAAGAAAACTTAAGTTTCTGACCTGCCACTCAAAAGCCTTTAGCCCACGGCCTGACTGAAGACATGGAAGCTGGTGGTCCCATGTGAAGGACAGTGCTGTAACCAGGCCTGCACGGGGCCCCACTCCTTTAAAAACTCTTCAAAAACGATAACATCCAGGGCCTGCCGCTTCCCGCTGTCCTGTCTGACACTCTACAGCAGGCCTGCTCTGTGAGCCACCCGAGCACATGGTGACAGAAGGCGGGCATGCGGTTTCACCCAGTCTGGGGCCAGAATCAGAACACGCTGTCCTGAGACATCAGGTTGGTGCTGTGGGGGCTGCACATGAAAAATTATCGACCCTACAATCGGCCCTCCACCCCATAGTTAGCTGTTAAAATCAGCATGTTTCACAACCCGATTAAAGTGTGACATTATTAATAGTGTGATATTGGACAAAGGAAAAAATACACTATATCACAGCTTAATCTGTAATTACACCAACGAGTGACTCAAAGAACTCTTGAGGCTTTTTACACGTATCTCTTGGGCCATCTAAAGAATTATTGTCATGTATGAGTATTTTTCTCCTAGCAAGTTTTTACTCATCAATGAAAATAAAACAATTATAATGAGAATAGATTTTAAAATAAAATTTCTAAGCTGAATGAGGTCAAAACTGATTATTCAAAAGTAAAAAACACTTAAGTTAAAAAAACAATAACCCAATGTCACATTGTAACACAAGAGAACAGCCATTTTCAGCCTGCAAGCATCTTTAAAACATGCAGCATCTGAGACCAGCCAGGGACACCGACCTCTTCCCCCTGAAGTTGTCAAGTGAGAAAATGACAACAGACAGCACAACAACAGCCCTCTGGTGGGAAAATCAAAATTACATAAGTGTTTCAGACTGACAAAAATTATACTTTTTGGTGTGCCACAGAGTTTCATGATTCGCTATGTGTGTCCTGAGATAAAAAAAAGGTCGAAAATCGCTGAAGAAGAACAATGAAAATTACCATACTAGCTTCTTAGAGCTGTATGCTCTTAGAGTAAAATCAAATTCCAGACAGTAAATAAAATCAAGTTTTGTAAATTAAAAAAAGTAAAATAAGTGACTACACTGGAGTAAGATTTTGAGATGGCATTAACTGAGCATATTAAAAAGTTAAACTATGCCATTTACAATGATACTCTAATTTTTTCAAAAAACATGAATACATCAGTGAAGTGGAAAAACTATCACTTTATTTTCCAATAGCATGTTTCTTATAAAAACAGGAAAGAAGTTCGGTAAAGATGAATAAACATGTCAAAAAAAGTTTTGAATATCAAACTTGAAAAGAAATTTATTTTTAAAAGATTCTCCTAGAATTTAACAGCTGATCTATTTAATAGATTGTACTTTGTTTCCTTTCTGGATAACTACCATTATAAATAATATCTCAAAAGAGGGTTAACAGCAAGAAAAACACAATACCACTTACAGATTTTCTTTATCAAAGTGTTAATTATCACCAACAGGACTGAGATTATGAAGATGTTACTGATTTTCTTTTTAATTAAATGTTTGTCAGTGCATTTCTAATTAATGATTATTATAGCCACTAAACAGCAATTAATTTTAGAAAACTTTCACAATACTCAATGACTATATGCCAGGTTTTACAGATTGCCTAAAATTAATTTTAATAATTAACTGGCATTGATTCAAAATGGTAGCAAATCAATTAATAGTACATTAGTTACTTTCACCTTTAAAACAAATATAATAATATATTTAAACCATAGAAGTTAAAAAATGATATTATAAAAAATAATGTAAGCAATTAAATCAATGTAAGCACTAAATGTAATAACTTGAATTAATAATGCAGGAAAAGCTAATAAATATGATATGTATCAAATGCAGAGATATCTTAATAGTTGGGATTATAATTATGGAAAGGATGATAAAAAGGAGGTGATACTAAAAAGCAATAGCTAATATTAGTTAATATCAATTAATTAGCAAATATATACCTAACATTAACATACCAATACATTAATATATTTTGATAGTCTCCAAAGAAAAACATTAAAAATAAACCTTAACAAAATAGTATAAGCAATTCACTCAATATTCTAAACTATAATCTACTGAGAAAAATAAATATATAAATGTGATTTTTTTTCTTTTTGGTTAACATTCTTTTTTCTAATTAAACATACCTTAAGTAGTTATCCTGACAAACTGGCATTAGAAACATCTATTATACTCCAATGTATTTTTACTTACTGCTCTACTGTTTGAAAAAAAGCAGAAAAACTGAGTATCAGCAATGCTGTCCACAATGCATAACACTGTCATGTAAATAGTCCATTAATATTTCCCGAATCTATCAGGATTTCTCTAGTGAATAACCCACAATACCTGTTTTTATAGAGCAGTAAAACCCAAAAGTCCCCCCACCCCTCTCAGATTAGATTTGATTTTTAGATGACTCACCAAATAAGAATTCCTCAAATTATGCAGTAGGTCTTCTTATAAATAATAACAACTAAAACTACTCATCTTGACTATGTATCAATGGGTCTTTTCTACTCCAAAAATAATTACAGATTTGAACAAACATAAATAGCAAAACATTCTCCTAAGAAACCTGGTTTTAAAGTAAAAGACACCAAGACTGATATGGAGCTAATATAGATTTAAAAATAGCTTAAATCTAACATGTTGTTTTATATTGGGAGATATAAAACTTTAAGTTAAGAAAGATATCCAGTTTTTATTAATTTTCTCTATCCTCCTGCTAAAAGTATTTTGGGAACGAAGTGGCAGGTAGTCTTTTTATATTCAGAAATACTTTTTGACCTCAAACTTTTAGCAATGCAATTGCTTCTGTTAATTAAGCTTATGATATAAAACAGTATTACTGAAAATACTAACTATATCATTTGGACAATGGTAAATATAATATTTTATATATTTTTAAACAACTCATACATTACTAAAGATTATAACAATTGGTACAAGTTGTAGTATAACAAATATTGGTACTAGTTACCAATATTGTAACTTCTCTTTACGAAAACTTCTCAAGCTATTTTCAATATATTGATTTGAATATGTACTCTGGAGAATTTACAAAAATATTCTAAGAAAATATAGAAGAAAGTTAAGCCACATGTTGTCTATTTATAATCTCTGCTTCAAACTCTACAGTAATTTAAAATGAAAAAAAAAATGAGACACTCAGTGTTTCTATTAATGAAAACAATGTAGACTGTTCCAAAACCATTTATATTAATATATTAGTATTAATAACAAATCTTCCTTATACTATGTTTAATTAAATACTGCTGCTTATAAAGAACATAAATAGGCAAATTACAAATGAGGCTTTATAACACATTGAAAATAAAAATATAGTATATACCTCATATATTTTAGTCATTTAAAGAATTTTAAATTATAAAAGTACTACATATTTGCTTGTCTAAAAACATGGCATATAACGGAAAACTGCATGCTACTATTAGATGCAAAGCCGCTGTTAGAGACGGTCACTACATGCATGTGTCCTACACTGCATGACACACCGACTTTCCCAGGGACTAGTGAAGCCCCTCGCTGCTCTACTGAAATGTCTCCATCACCTGCTGGGTAACTGGAACTTCTCCAAACACATGCTTCCCTCACACATGTTCCACTTCGCACTGGCTGACTTTTCATCTGTCAGACACTCAACTCAGGAAAAACTGAAGGCAGCCTGGAGAGCAAATTACCAAGCCTATCACACCTGCATTTTTTAAAATGTGTAATTTTAAGTCCACAGGTTCTGGTCAAGTGTGGCTTATTATTACCCTATAGAATAAAAATAAAGACTAAATATCAGGGACCTTATTGTGGCTATTTTCCTCAAAATCTTTTTCTTATTTCAAGATTTGCAGAAATTTTTTGGGTGGCCAAGGCCCCTGAAAGTCTGAAAAGGCAAGTAGATAAAACTAATCTATAATAAGTTCAACCAGAAAAACAAAACCTCTCTGAATTAGAACCTTATTCAAAAACAAATAGTTAAAGTTTAGGTAATTCACAGGCTGATTTGAACTTAATATAACTGAGCACACAACATCTTGGTCTTCCGTCCTAGACAGGGTATAATTAACATATACCCAGATTAATTTGATAAATTCAAATGCCCGAATGTGGAAACAGTCCAGAAGTCAGCTGAGCCAGCGGTCTTTCATAAACACCATTAATGAAGGAGCTATTGGCAGAACCGGCTCCACAGCGTTGGTTCTAGACACGGACGTGCGGTATCTGAGCTGCTAACTCATCACTGTACTGCAGTTTGAAAACTTGTGCTACATCAGAGCTCGCTGTGTTCATTTTACCACCGACTCTCCACCACACCAGAAAGATAAAGAGTCCAGGGTGCAGTGGGCCACCCTACTAATTCCCTGATCTAGAACTTTCCAAACCCAAGAATTCTGGATTTAAGGTGTTAATCGATACCAATGATCGTAAGGCTGACAGGTGAAAGTAAAAAAATATGTCTCTGTCACAGGCTTCCCTGTTCAGAGTTACTATTTTACAAGGCACATGAAAACCAGGGCCAACAATGGCAGCCAGCCCACCGCCTCTCCACTGAGGAGAGAGAATACATGTATACTGGTGTTGCGGTGCAGGACGGCTTGGAAACATTTGAGACCTTTCCACAACACGTTCCCCACTCCGGGCATCTGAGAATCTTGCAGGTGACTGGCCCATTTCAGACTGAGAAACACCGGGCCGGCCACAGCACAGGAGGACGTCGATAGTTATAGTCATGTATAAGGAATGTGACAACTACTTTCTACATCTCGGCTATATCTTAGAACGTAAAAATTTATTAACATTAGTTCTCCAAGTCTATAAATGTGAAATAGGGGTTTCCTTTGGACCACATAAAAATATTGAAGATTTCTTCAGAACTGATTTACATAAAATTATAGATCTGTAACTTGTCCCAAATCCTTTTTGAAATCTGCATATGAATTATCATTCTTTCTATATAATGAAAATCTCTGAGAAATTTCTACATATTTGCTTATATCAGATTCTAATTTAGGAACTCGCTTACTTTGTATATAATCAATTTAGAAAGCATACTTTAGGATCACTTTTCCCCACAATCAAAATAAAACATACCTTGTAATTTTAGTGGTTTGGTTACAGAACTTTACATGAACATTCCTAAAGCTTTGCGGCCAAAGCCAAATAACAAAAACAACAAAAAAGGAAAAAACCCACAGAAAAGCAAACAGCACCAGCAGGAGCAGCAGCACGCAGCATGCGATAGATGTAACAACACGTCACAAAAACGCCAGCATGTTCTGCGACCACAGGCAAAGAGGACAAGAGAGGGTGGGGGCACCGGGGCGGGGACGCGAAGGGCGCGAGTCTCTTACACGTCTGCCTTTGCTAGCTGGAGTGCCGGACGGAGAGCGCTTCAACAGAGAGAGGAGAAGACTGAGTGTTACAAGTGCCGACACACGTGACTCGGTGACCACCGCTGCACACCACCGCGCTCACAGGCAAAGTGTATAAACACACACACAGAGACACAGTTTTTAACAGGCTGAAAGGACATGTTGTTCAGGAAGAGCTGGAGGGCAGGACAGTGAAGAGACCTTTGCTCAGACCAGGTGTAACAGTGACACGGACTTTTCACTGGACCTTGTACAAACAGTGACCCACAAAATGCCACATCGTCAAGTCATGGACAATTTCTAGAAGGTTGGTAGCAGCACTTGAAATGTTAGAACAAAAAGGATCTCAGTAATTCAGATTTACAATGGTAAGTATTTAATAAAATGTTTCATCAGTCTTGACTCAGACATTTTACCGACCAAATTCTTACTTTTTTCAAAGATGACTTTTTAAAATGGAAGCTAAATAAGGCCCTCAGAATTTTAATAATGGATTAAAACAAAAGGTTACCTCAACAATACCGTCCATTCTGACTAGACATTAGGCTTAGACAGAAGAGAGACCTTCACCTTTCTGGAATTAAAGACTTAAGTAATTAGGCAAAATTAACAATAACGATAAGTAGGTAACAATTACATCAAAATATTTTTCAAGTTTTTGAAACTGCAATGCTTAGCAGTAGAGCTTCACAAACATGAGCTGTAGCCACTCAGGCAGTGTCTCCCATCCACTTCAAACTAACGTTCTGAGGGGCTGCAACACATCAGGTTCTCAAGAATAAAGAGGCAGGGCAGAGACCGGTGGGGGGCACCCAGCCGTCAACAGTGTGTAAATGCTACAATGGAGATATGTACAAAGTCTGCGTGGAAACCTGGAGGAGGGACCTGCAAGATTTTTACAGGGACCCAGAGGAAGGCATTTATAAACTGAGTCGACAGGAGTTACAAAAGATTTTGGAGAAAACTACAAGGATAAGAAACATCACTCAAGAGTATCGGTTTTATTTGTACCATAACTCTGGCAGATTGATAAACTGTTGCTTCTTTCTACAGGAAACTGGAGTGGCAGGTGACTTGAGCACTGTCCCACAGTGTTAGTAGCAAACCAGAATTAGAAGGCCTGCGGGTGCTAAACAGGTTTCTCTGTTCATTAGTGCAGTCAGTCCATCTTAAGTCTCAGATGTAAAGCCAGTTTTAGTTCCTCAATTATTAACAGGAAGTACCTGTCTCACCCTCCGCGAAAAAGAGCATGAATAGCTCCAAGTAAATATATTACCACCAGACTAACAAGGCAAAAGTCTCTCAAAATTATCTTTGCATATGAAGGACAACACATTTTCTAAGCTGGCAACGTGTAAAACTAGCAATGGTGCTAAACCCCCACAGTAATGATGTTCTTTCCAAAGTGCCTTCCTAGAAATCAGGTAGCTGCTTCTGTGTTTTCAATAGAAAAGGGCAAGTTATAGTTTTTCCTTGGGGTGCAATTAGAGACACACACACACTTTCATACACACACCCACACACCATGGTTTTCTATAAACATGAAACTGGTCTCACAGCAAACACTGGAAACCAACACATTGTTTCAGCATGCAACTATATCAAACTTAAAACTAGTTATATCTGGGTCTATAAACTGCCAAAACTTTAAGGCTGAGTATGGAAGTAAGCAAACAAGAAGAAACCAAAAGAAATCATTTATCTTATGGACATACAATTTGGCTAATAGATTTTAAGGTTTAGTTAATGAATTCTAGAATCATATTTACTAAAAATACTGACAAGGCAAAAAATGCTGTAGTCATGATTCTTTTCCCCTCCATTGCCTAAATATATTCCAATATATGATAAGCAATAAAAAGATGTATAATAATGTATAAAATAATATACAATACAATATTGACTAAATTACAAAAGGATTGCAAATGACAATTTTTGAAATAAGAGAATTTCAAGTCAGGTTATGTTTAATATGTGGATGAAAGTTTTAAAAAACAGGAATTGAAGGAGGAAATTCAGGAATGACATTTCTCAGAAGAATCGAGGCCACGTTTTGGTCACAGGATTGAAAAACCTCTGCCATGTCTGTTTTAAACTTCGTCTTCCACTGATTCTCACACGCAACCAGCTTCCCCAGAGACAGCTCCCCCTACGCTGCCACGCTTCCATTTCTGAGACCGGTTCAGACAGAGTATGAAACAGGAGAAAACAATGTTAAAAGCAAGAGACAAATGAACGAAGCTAGGAGCCAAGACTGAGAAGAAACATTTTGGAACATCGAGGTGAGATTTTGCATGAGGCCGAGCCAAGAGCAGAACTCGGCTCCTCTTCGTGTGACAGAATTGAAGGAAAGGAAGCAATGCCGGGGACCAGGTGGCTGGACCCTAAGTGTGTCTCTGCTCCTTCAGGCTCAGCCTTCACACTCAGAGCTTCACGTCCTCGTCCTCGATTTACTCTTTTCTCAGAACACAGAGTAAGATGACCTTCAAAAAGCAAGTTGGCACATTCTCGTTTGCCCGTGAAATAGCTAACGTCCACTTCTGTAAAGTTGGCCTGAGCCAGCAGAGCGTAGAACTGCAGAGAACGCTGGGCAGTCTGGGCCCAGGCAGGTGGGACTGAGAAAGGACGAGGGCAGAGCGGGGAGGAGTTTCCAAAGCAGAAGGCACCCTGGTGCCTACTCTGCCGCTGCCTTAAGGCCTCATGCGGGAGTGCCTTCCCCAAGGGACTTTCAAAGTGAACTACAACCCCCTTGATCTGCTCTATGAAGAATGTCACGTACAGACCCTTCGCCACTAGTTCCCTACTCTCCCAAAGCCAGAGAGAGTCTCTTACTATCGGGAGAGCGTTGGGACAAGCAGTGGTTGAAGCTGCGGGACTAAATAATTTCTAAGGCTCCTTCAAAAGCCTGCCATTCCACATGCCAGAAACCCACAGGCCTCAGTCCTCCTGACACACAGAAACAGACTGTGGAGGACGTGGCCTGCTTTGCCGGCTTTGTCCGGATCAGAGGGGAGGAACGGGCGGGTGTCAAGTGTCAGAACTGCTGCTCCATCAAGGCCACTCTTACGCAGGAAGGGATGTCTGAACATCTCTTTTCTAAAGTTACACTGTTCGGTATAACTTAAAAAAAAAAAAAGACATCTTGCTCCAAACATCTGCCCAGATTGCCCCAAATCCTAGTGCCCGTTTGAATTTGGAATTAACGGGCAACACACACTGAGGAAACATGGGAGGCAGGAGAGGGAGTGTACGAGCTGTGTCAAGTACAGGGATTACAGCTTCAGTGAACCAGTGTGGGGGGCCGGGGGGTTGGGGGACAGTTGGCCTGGAGGAGGGCCCTGGAGCCGGGAAGAACTGGAGGGCAGGCAGAGGGCGCAAGGCCACTGGGGGCAGGTGAAGGTCGGAGAGGTGTGGGCACCAAAAGTACCTTGATTGCTGCGATTTTGCTTAATACTAGCCTCGCTCCCTCCTAGACCTGCAAGATTCAGCTGTGATTCACATTTTAGGTCACTGATGTAATTTTTCTCTTTTTACAGCACGAGACAGAACACAGAAAAGGGTGACCTGGGAGCTGTGTCCTGTGGGTCAGTAACAAGTTCCAGTCTCCTTCCTCTGGAGGACAGGCACGCACTGCAGGCGTCACGCACACAGCCTGACGAGTTTGGGCACACGAACGATCACAGTGTGCTTTATTCCTTAAGAATTCAAACGCCTAAGAGAAGGGGAGCTACAGAGCAGACTGCTGTACTGAATGTCCTGGGTGCAGAACCCAAGTGTGCAAAGATCAAGCACCATCATTCTGGGGAGGGTGGTCATAATATAGAACTATAAATAGAGACAAGAGCTTTATGCCATAAAATACAAATTGGGAGTACAAAATGTGTTTTCAAACAGGAGCCTGCTGCTGCCCTGACGGGTGAAACCTGCTTTCCTGGGGTGCTGAGACCCAGCAAGGCGGAGGAAGGGGCGGGGGCAGAGGGCTGTGAGCTGAAGAGCTAAGAAAGCTCTGACGTGACACCGACCTGAGGGACAAGGACGGAAGCTACAGCCAACACAGGAAGGGAGGGGGAGAGACCTATGAAGAGTAAGAAATACAACCAGTATTACTGGAACATCACACGCATTTAAAAACTTCTCAACCAACCACATGCGATTAGTACTCCTGCTATCCCTGTTTGTCCACTGAGCAAACAAAGGTCAGGTAATTTGCTCCAAATCATATACCTAGAAAAAGTAGCAAAGGCAGAAGTCGAGTCTGTTTATGTGCTTAACAAATAAACTGGGAGAAGAGAGCTTAGGAAGCAAATGACAGAAAACTATGCCTTTTAAGAGCTGGACCCTGAATGATCAAGACTCAGCAGCCACTGTGAACTCAACTTTTTCCTTATCAACACAGTCCCTCTGTAGCGCTTCAACATCTAGCCACACGTTTGAAAGGAGTTCTGCTGCAGATGAAGGATAAGAAAGGGTGTTCCTGGGAGAAACGGGGGAGCAGTGACTACAGCTGGGTGGGGGTGGAAGGCAGCACTGAGAGCAGAGGCAGGATGGGGGTCTGAGGCCTGCGTTCCTTCCCGCAGGCCCTTCTGCGGAGAAGAGCTGCCCTGTCTCCCAAAGTGCGCACTGCTGCTGTGTTCTTCCCTCAGAGACTGCCGTGGGGCAGAGGAGATGCAGAGAAGAGCTCGTCAGAAAGAAAAATGAGAATGACTTTCTAGTGGAAGAACTAAAATAGTTTATTCAAACTTCCTATTCTTTTAAAGGTGAATGATAGCTACATGGAAATACCATAGTGAGTATTTTTGGATAGTAAAACAGACACCAGATTATAACAAGCAATACTATTGCACATCAAGAGAGCTCTCTTTTTATCACACTTAACTGGAACTATTACTTGTCTTAAGAATAGTAAATAATTTCCATTTATAGGGCAAAGGTGCATGCGTTGGTATAAATATTTCAAAGATATCAAATATCCCTTTAAAAATAATTTTTAAAAGTCTAGATCAAGAGTTTCCTTTAGTGGAAAATCATGCTAAATATTCTTCTGAATATAATAGTTATATTTAACAAAATGTAAAAATAAAACATTTAAAGACTCTCCCCTAGTTAAAAAAAAATAATTTTATGTACAATATCTGAATATGAACCAGTTTGATTCCCCAATTTCTGGAAAAACTGAATGTTTAACATGATAGTAAAATGCTTTATGACAACAACTACTGTGCCATTTAACGTAGAACAAAGACAGTATTTATGTCAAGTGTTTCTGTAAAGAGAATGAATGATATACATCAGGAACTTCAAAATTATTAAATGTGCAGAATTTAGGAGAAAATGATAATGTAGTCAATTTGCAGTGCATACAGTACATACTGAACTAAAGTCACTTCCCACATTAGAAGAGAAACTGTCAGCATTAAAAATTGATTTGTGCTCAATTACTGTGTTACTATAAAATCTACTGGAAGAAAACCTGTCATATTTTCTGTTTATACCACCAGAGGTTTACTTTTAATTAACAGAGAAATTAAAGTGTTGAAAAAAGATGGGGAATGTGAAATAGACACCACCCTGAAAAATAAGAGTGAGCAGTTGTTCATATGCGTGTGCACCTGCATCGTGAGCACAATGAAACACGCACTCTGGGTTCAGAGCCGCCACACGAATGGAGACATGCAGGTTCTTTGATGGCCAAAGAACTTCTCAAAGTACATTTTCACTTTATTATGTTTCATAATGATAAACTCTTAGTTACATTTAAGATAAAAAAGAAGCAAATTATGGCTCACAAATAAATCATCAAGTACGATATTTCTACAACTGTCTGCATTAGGCAAATTCTTCATATCAATTCACTGATCTCTTTTACTGAAGGATGCATTGGTTTGAAAAATCAAAGACTTACGTCATCCAAAAAATCAATCAGTGAAGATGAGGAAGAAGAAAAGGAATCCTATTTAACGAATACAGCAATAAAAAAATAGAAAATATGGATGAAGCAATTCAGTAAGAACAAATAATAAATCAAAAATTTTGCAAAACAATTGAAAGGCAAATGACATTAATTCAAACAAATAAATGAAAAAGCTGTCACTGTCATTGTTTCTCAAGAAACTCAGAAATTCATTAATTGCTTTTTAAAGTGATTCTTATTTGCATTCCTGAAGGAATGAAATACATTTCATATACGGTGTCCAAACTGTAATACAACGGAGCGCATGGCAGATCAGCCATCCAACTCAATGTTAGCATCTTCCAAGGCGATGACTGAAAGAAAGAGGCGATCTCTGCCTCTGCCTGCCCCGCCCCCCACACCCCGCAGCGTGAGTGCTCTGGGGGCGTGGCCTTGTCTGGGGGCGTGGCCTTTGCCTGCGTGGTCACCGCTGTATCCCCAGCATCAAGTATGGTGACTGGCACAGAGACCAGCAGTTACTTGTTGAATAAAGAGATAATCTCTAACTTAAATTTTCTGAGGCAAAAGTATACTTTATATCATAAAGTGCTTTTTTTTAGCGAAGAATTTAAGTATTAAGGAATGGTTAAAAAGGTCATATAATCATTATTTCATTAAAATGGAAACTGCCTAATACATTCTATATAATACTTTTAAAAAAGCATTCCTGTTACACACTTCTGAAAAACTGAACTCATTCGGAACTAGAACCAGCATTGCCCTATTGTGAACTTTTGACATTTCCGATGGCTTTCTACCGCAACTCTATGCTTTGGAGAAAAAAGTGTCAAATTATTTCAAAAGTCAGGATTTATTCTGCACTTGCGGTTTTCTCAGGGGAAGAGGCAAAACTGCTTTTAAATCCTATCACTTTCGCATGTTGACCTTTCTTACATGTTTTCTTAAATAAAAATCAATTGCAGTTTACATAAAAATTCAGAACATATTCCTTTCCCAATATGTTTTTAAATATATAAACGTCTAGGTCCTCTTTAGGTGGGATGCAGTAAAACAGTTTTATTACAAGTGAATTTCAAATCACAAAGTGATTTTTAAATTGACCCCAATGGACATCTAAAAAGCTTGATACTTACTTCAAATTGATCCAGAGCATCGGTAGGCGTATTCAAAAATGCCAAGAAAGAATGCTGTGAGTCTTGGTGCTCTATACCTAGAAGACAGCAGCAACTTTTCTTAAAACTAGAACAAGTAAGCTAATTTTCATGGATAACCTTTCCTGTCTAAATCTATTAAAAGCTGTTTGCAAACTAACATATTTTAAAGCTGGTCAATATTAGCTCTACATATTCAAAAAAGCAAATTATACCAATGTTTCTTGGAATATCATTTAATAGTTAAATTATATCATTCTCCATGACACATTTCTTGACTTGAGTTCTTAAATTTCTTTCTTTTCCCATATAGTACATTATAAATAAACACATGAAATCTTTTGGTAGTCTTGAGAGAATTTCAAACACAGAGCACTGAATATGGCTGATTTCTCTGAGATAGTTTATACCAAACAACATACTGAAATCCTCTTATCAAGCACTTAGTATGTACTAACATAAATAATCTTTTATAAGAAAATAGTCCAGTTATAAAACAAATGTATTTAGTAATGAAAAAAACTTTTTTTTAGATTTTAATATCTGATTTCAGGTATTGTTTCACTGACAGAATGCATGCATATCTCTTGGCTATGATATTAACTTTAAATGCATAATTCCTCCCAAAATTCTTAAAATATATGTATAATGATAAATACTAGAAAGGAAAAAGCAGAAATAACCAAGTACACATTTTGGATTTCCATATCCTCAGGAACTGACAACGACTGATTTTCCTGCCTTTCATATCACTTTCTAATATCACACCACAGCTGCCGGATAAGGCAGCATGTTCGGGAATTCAGTCAGTCAACAGATTTAAGGACAAACAGGGATAGCAGGCTCTATTTACGGAGAGCCTAGCACATGCAGTCCGTCTAGATACTAGGAATATAATAATAAATGGAGCAGGAAAGGAACCCTGTCCTCATTATGTAAATATCACATTATATTATTTAAGTAGTATATTATGTTAACACATATAGCAACATGTTATAGTCTACAAGTTCAAAATCAAAAGAAAAAGTTATAGGTTAACATCTTTTCAAAAGAGAGCAATGTGATTAATTTTTCCTTTCACGAGTTCAGGTCTATTCTAAAATGACACAGCCAATGTCATTGGTGTGTTGTTAAGTCACACTCTGCATTGTTTTGTCTCTTTCACATAAATTGTCTTAGGGCCACAAGTCCTTCATGTCGCATATTCTTTCTCCTTTACTCACTAAATAATTCAGTTCCCTTCCGCTCTTGCCGTATGAAGCACTGCTTGACTCTCACATCTTCACGATGCCCTGTGTTCCTAATCTGAGTTCCCAATTCACTTTGTCAGGGTTCTTTCTTTTCTTGTCCACCAGGAACTTCAGTCAACAAGTATTTACTGTACATCTACTACTTGCAATGGCTTTTCCACGTCAATCCCTTTACGTGATTACCTTCTTCCTTCCACAGTTTTACTGCAGATGGTCAGACCTAACGGGCTTTACGTCAGTGCGTGTCACAGCGTGGGAAATGCAGGGAAGCAGGCAAGTGTAACGCAAAGCCCACTAACTGGGTGAGTACTCAGGCCGGGCTACTGACTTTGTTGGGAAAATGAATTTCTCATAACTGCATATGACAGATCCCTTCATTAACAAAACATTCTGAATTTCTTTTTATTAAAGCTTTACCTTATTAATGCTCACATTATGGAAAGAAAGTTTAAGTGCATATAATAAAGCTACCAAGCATTCTTGAGTTGCTCTTCACATTAGCAGGAAAAAATGCTTAAGTGATGTTTTCAAGAAAATGGGAAGAGATCCTGGGACATTCACAGGGCCAGCAATTTAAGTATCAAACTTGGATGACACTGAAATGCCAAAATAGTTCTTTATCTTTGAATTGCTCTTATAATACTGGATTAGATTAAGCTTTGCTATTTCCTACATTGTTTCCTTAACTGCCCTGGGAGTGAATCCCCTACATCATGTAAGAATAGTAAGTATACAGTATATTATAAAATAATTTTTTCAGATCATAAAAATTGTATTCCTGAAATAGTACATGGCAATCAAAAAGAGTTAAAGGTATGGCAAGGGAGTTCTTCTGTTACAACCAAATCTTTAAACAACGTAACTTAAGTAAAAACAAAAGGACTCGGCCAAACATATGTGTGTGTGTGTGTCTCACACCCACACACAACATAAATGGGTGCCAGAACTGCTTAGTCAAACAATTCTTCCACCTACAGGACAAGCTTATTATTCTTGTGTAATAACATGTACTCGTAACAGAGTATTAAGTTCTGATTGGTGCAAAAACATTCCCATACCCTTTTCAGATCTAAGCTCCTCAGTGTCCTTTATCAGTTGTTCGATTTCTGAGAGTAGCTCCAGGTTCTTCTTCTCCGAATCTTTTAGTTTACTTAAATAAGGGGGAGAAAAGGGAAAATGTCATTATTTTTGTTGCTGGTTGGTGAGCCATCATTATTTAGATGGACTTATTTGGTTCAAATGTCAGCCATGCTAAATTAGGAAAATACAAACTCTAAGGAAGAGCAAATCTAGACTACCGTCTACTTTTTTAAAAGTACAGTCTTTTTTTATTGATTGATTTTAGAAAGAGAGAGGAAAGGAGATAGTGAGAGACACCAATTTGTTCTTCCACTTATTTATGCGTTCATTGGCTGGTCCTTGTCTGTGCCCTGACTGTGGATGGAAACCGCGCCCTTGGTGTCTCAGGACAACGCTCTAACCGACTGCACCACCCAGCCAGGGCCTGCCGTGTACTCTTTTGTCCCTGAAGTTCCACGGGGACACAGCCAGGCTCGTCGGGTTGCACACTGTTTGGCATGACAACAAAGTCGAGTAGACAGAGACAGTATGGTCCAAAAATATTTACTATCTGGCCTTTGAGAGAAAAAGCTGCTGGCCCTGCGCTAATTAAAAAATGTCATAGAATCAAAAGTTAACTTTAGAATTCTGTTAACTTCTTTCACAGAGAAACACGAAAGTAGAGCATACGTGTTTCTAATTTTCAGCTTGACTCATGCCCCCAATTTATGAACAAATTCATACGTCTTAGGCCTAAGAAGAAAATCAGAGTTATTCTACATTAGGACACAGAGAATGACATTCTTTATGCTGGGATCCAATTCATATTCTCCAAAAAAAGTTTGGTTTCTTCCCCATTTTCCTGCCACACTAGCACACTAAGTAAAGCATACTTAATCTATGTCTGGATCATTTAAAACAAAAATTTATGATTCAACTGGGCTGCCATGCACCCAGCCTCTGATTTGATTAGACATTAATGACTACAGTTTAAACACTAAGGCTTCACACTATTAAAAATTGAATTCATGGGACTATACTTCTTTTTATGACTGAACACCTTTGGAATTTTGGGTATCCTGACCATTAAAAGAATTTAGTTTTCATTTGCAGCATGAACTTCTTATTGTTCCTCTATGTCACCTACACTAACTTGTTCTTGAACCATGTTTGTATCTAATCCAATTTGGCTTTCACGTTCTCATTTATTCGGGCTGCAATATGCTTTACTTTGCACTAAGAATTTAGGGATCGTATTCATTAGCTAACTTTCCCAGAGACTATGGTCTCTGGGAAATATATATTTTATATTTATTTTTATATATTATATAATGTATATTATATATCTTAAAGCTTATTTTAAAATATATTTTATTTATTTATACATTTTACACATAAAAGAACATAACAATCAAAATATATTATACCATTATGAAATTTACCATCAACAGAATTTTCATTTCTAAAAGATTCAGGGTATAGGCCAGAATTTTCAGATGACTATATTTTGCTTTTGACTACATATTGCATTTTTATACTAATATATATTCTTGAAAATGAGAGAAGTAGGGTTTTAATGGAATGAAGTCTGAGAGTCAACTCAATTTTACAAATACAGGGAAAAGGTAAACAACAGAATACTAATGAGTACTATTAATTCCACTTTATGGACAAGCCAGAGGACAAGGCTCTGTTACAATCCCTTCACTGCATGAAAGGTTTGAAACCATCTGTTCATTTTCAAATCTGCATGATTTTCTCTGGTCATCACTTTTAAGAAAACAGCGACAGGAAAGCAAACATGTAACTTCTCTGCAAATCCTGGGGACCAGGGCAGGAGTAGCTCTCACAGGGCCGTGTGGCCCAGCCTCACCATTCTGTTATGATGTTGGACGCTTTGACTTTATTCAGCTCTTCTTGGATGGCCTGTTTGGCTCTTATTTCTGCGTCCAGAGCTGACTGTAACTCCAGTCGAGCTGACATATCCAGCTTTGCAAAACGACGCATTTTCCAGGGCATGTCCTACAAAATAATGTGACTTTTTAGCTCCATTCTATTTTTTATGTTAAGTCTAGTAAATCCAAGTGAAGCTGGAAACCATTTAAAAGCATGATCTTTCTCTGACAACAAAACAGAATAAAAACACTGCTTGTAAAAATATATTTTTCATTAAATTCAGAAATAACTGTAGATTCACATATAAACTAGTTTATTTTTTATAGTTACTACCAATAACAGCTAGCCATACAAATTATAGCTAAGCAGCTATGTGTTATAATTCCCTGGCCTGGAACAGACTTGAACTGATTTCTCGCGAGAAGCTTTACATGAGGCTAAAGCCCGGACACACTGACGCAGGTGCCCAGACTGGCTGCAGTGCTCCTGCGCCTCCCCCGCCCCCACTACGACAAGCCTGCGCAGAAGGCAGCTTACTGTGGCTCGCGTGCCCAAGCTGGAGCTTCTCAACGCTTCTAGCTCTTCGGTCATTTTAGAAGCTAAGGCCTGAAGATATCCTCGTGCATCCTTTTCATCGCTGACCCTAAAATACATACATACAAGGGCAGAGATAAGGTACAGAAGTAAAACAAAAAGAAAATTTTCAGTGAGATACACATTATTTTAAAGCGTCATAAAGAAATAAGCTACAAGTGAGGGAAATTTAAAGATGTTCTCAAATACCTGCTTTCAAAAGTTCTACCATAGTATTTTGGGTTGGCCAAAAAGTCTTTTTAGTTTTTTCTGTATGATGGCTCTACTTGTACCTGGTTGTCTTTAACTTCATTCAAAACAATTCTGTCAGATTGTATTGTGACAGCTGTCATCTCAGAGTGCATTTAAAAACTTAAAATTGGTGAATTGTTGTGCAGTCATTTTAATATTGAAGATGGAAGAAAATACACAACATTTTTGGTGTATTATGCTGTATTATTTCAAGAAAGACAAACTGAAACACAAACAAAGATTTATGCAGTGTGTGGAAAAGGTGCTGTGACTGATCAAATGTGTCAAAAGTGATCTGCAAAGTTTCTTGGGACAATTGACATTTTGCCAAATAACTCTTTGCTGTGGGGCTGTCTCATGCACTGGAAGATGTTTAGCAGCACCCCTGGCCTCTACCCACTAGAAGCCAATAGCAGGAGACAGCCGACATACTCAAAATATCTAGATTAATAAAGTTAATGGTAAAAATGAAAAAAATGTGTGTTTTATTTTACAGAAAAACCCTAAATAGCCTTTTTTGCCAACTCAATACTACTCTCTCTCAGGAACTGGAAGAGGTTTATGGAACTGTTCAGTTATGTACAAATTAAAGCTGGCCATGTTTAAGAAAGTCCAAATTAGTTATATATGATAAATTAGTAAAACTTCACCCATGAGCCACAGAACATTGTTTTATCTAATGTTAAACTCCCCCCTCATGATTTCCAAAGGATATTAAGATTTCTCATTAATTAGATTCTGCCAGTTTACGTTATAAATACATAGCACACCCTTCTTAAAACTTAAGTAAGCTACATTTAGAAAGTTTAGTCTAAAACAGCATACTCTGCAAAACTCAAAGTCATACTGTAATAAAGCTCTCTGTTTTCTAAAATGGTAAATAACCAAAGAGAAAAGTTTACTGAAACTCAGTTTCTATTTACTGCCTTAAGACCATCTTGCTGGTGCAACTATTATGATTTTAGATAGAAATGTTTTCAAATCATATTCCGTAAAACAAATTCCGCATACTAGAATCCCTCAAGAGGAAGTTTGCTTTTTGTTATATCTCTTCCAAAACAAGGGGAAGACCAGGAACAGGGAGTGCCAACATATGAAAATCTACAAAACGTCCTGTTCTCAAGAATGAAAATCATCTGTATACAGAAAGCTAAAATGCCACAAAGAAAAAAGCTGAAATCCACAATGCTCAGAAGTATGTTCTAACACACTTTGTAGAAGACTCTTTGCTTTGTGCAGGCTGGTTGTTTTCAAAGGTAAAATTCAGGCCATTAAATAGCTATGAGAAAACTATATCTCAGGAAAGTTCATATGCATCTGTGACGTAGACAGGATACAAATTTAAATCTTGAGCCTGGTTTAAGCATCTTTAGGCTCGGACTCCTGAGGAGTCAGGGGACGATTCCTGTCCCAGACGGGATGGAGCAGACAGCGCGTGTGAAGGGCCATCGCATGGTGCAGACAGTGCCCGGTTGATGGCTTAGGAACTGTTCCCTTGTGGCATCTCCCATGTAACAGTTTCAGGCTGTGGCCGACCGCAGGTAAGTGAAACATGGAAAGGAAAACTGCAGGTAGGTGGGGGTTGCTGCGTATTACAAGTTTCCAAAGCTTTGTTTTGGCGTTACTTTGTTTTGTGGTACATTTTTAAATGTACCACACTAAAAAAAAAAAAAAATGTAAATAGCCTGAGTCTCTTGACCTTTAAGCTTGAACGGAATATCTCAGAGAGTTAATTTTCAAGTAGGTGAGAACTCTGAAAACAGGGAGTGTATATTTTTCTTTTAGCCTATTAATTATTCAATAATTTAATACAAGACCATTTCTAAATATCAGCTTTTAAGCAAAGTGACTTCCTTGTATTCCTGATTTCTTCTATGTATTTCACTTGGATATGAAAAATGTCAAGAGTATTTTCTGGAGTACATACAAACTTTCGTTTTCATCCTGTCTCCGATCCGTCCACATTCAGAGCCCACATTCAGAGCCCCTCCCTTGGAGGGACCCCTCCATCCCACCCAGACCCACCAGGCTGGTCACTGGGAAGGGCCAGCAGCCTAGGAGCTCAGGCTCTGGTCAGACCTGGCTCATCTTCCACCAAGTCATTTTCAGCAATTCCTTAATTATAAGTTTGATTACTTAAAAAGGGAGTTACAAATAAATGGTCCTAATTTTTCATATAAACTTGGCTGAAGTAAAAGTGATTTTGCTTCAGAAATGTAGATATGATGAGAAGGACACAAATGAAACACTAACAAACCATTTAACTGCACTGATTCGAACACAATGTTTCCACGGTGGGACCTTTTCCTGTAGCTGTTTTGTCGCTGAACAGTCACATTATTAAGCCCAAGAGGAGTTACCGTAGCAGCTCCACAGTTAAGCCAATATCAAGATGCTTGAGTCACCTGGTTAAGATTTCTTGAAAAAAGTGTTTATTCATTTTTAATTTGAAAAAGGGGGCTATTAATGTGGGGTAAGTAAGGAGATGGGAGAAAATGTGTTAAGAACCAAAATAAGAGCATAAGAAACTAAAATTTCCTCTAAATGACTGGGCTATAAATATATGAACAACTTGTTTTCAGATACACAGCCATGATTTACCAAAAAGTAAAACACTTAGAAAGTAAATATAAAAAGTTAAACTATTTTCATTAGAAAATAAAGTCCCCATTGGATTCCACTTTCTTCATATATTATAAAAATATACCAATATTTACAAATATCAGAGTCATTTTAGTGAATAAATTAATATGAAGGTTACTAAAGTACTTATTCCACATTAAATCCAAAGAGCTCAATTTAAAGAACAGTTGATAAAACTACACTGTCACCACTGAAGGCTTTTAGAAAGCCACGTGTGAATTGATCTGTCACAATCATGAGAGAAAGTGACAGCATCACATCTCTGGTTTATCAGCATTTCTCCAGAACTGCTGTTTCCTACAATAATCACAAATACAGCGATTTTGACCTCAGAAAGAAACATCTATAGCTAGTGAATGACTTTCTTCTGGTCCTTAGGGACTAATAGTCTTAGGAGAGAAAAGCAGTTTCTCTTCTCAGAAAGAAGTACCAGGTTGCAATGATGTAAAGGCTGACATGGGGTATCTGTTGGAGTTATGGAACAGAATGGAAAACACAGGAGAGAGCAGATCAGTAATAAATAACATGCCAGTAATAAAACTGTGCTTTTACAGTAACTTTTGCACAGCAAAAAATAAGGTAACTCGGTAGTTGCCTCCTGGAATCCATCCCCACCTGAGCGCACGTGCAAGATCACCCACAGAAGCACATTTAAGGGAGTACTCACCACTGAATTATCTCTGTGATCTGGGCTTCCCAATGTGCCACTGACTCCTTCTTGTCCGCCAAGTCTCTCACCTCTTCTTCTAACTGCTGGTTGCGCACGCCCAAGTTCTCGTACAGAGTGGTGAGCTGAAAGGCAGTTCCGAGGCACGTGTTACTTTCAGAAACAGGAGCTCAGGTGTCAGATGCCTCTTGTTAAATCTTAAATTCACCCTGTTCCCTCTGGTCACTGATTTGGAAACATCGGGTACTCCCTAAATTCTCCTTCAGCCTTTGCTTTTTTCCCTCCCACTCTGGATCAGTTCCATTTGTGAATAGTCTCCATTTGCCTGAAGAACTCCCCAGTTCTGCTGGTAACAATCTCTCTCATTTTTTGTCTGAAAACATTTCTATGTCACCTCTTTAAAAAAACTTAGAATTTGAAGCATATGTAAGAATGGACGAGCCCACCACCCACCCTCAACAATTATCACCACAACGTCCGTGTTAATTCTTGGTACTCCTGTCTTCTTGCCCATCCTCCTGGATTATTCTAAAGCAATACCAGACATGTATTATGTTATCTATATGAATTTCCATGTACAGACATCTGCAGAAAATGGGCTCTCTTTCAATACAACTACACTACAATCACACTTAACACATTTAACAAGTTCCCGATATCTTCACATAGGTAGTAACTGTTCAAATTTCCGTTTATCTCAAAATATCAGAAAACTTTGTTAAGTTGAATCATCATACCAACAGTAAACATAGCTTAATTCGGGTGTTGCATCTTTCAAGTCTCTTATTCACAGGTTCCTATTAAAAATGTTTTCTTTTTACTGTAGGAATACTTCCTAATGCAAGCAGCTGCGGGAGGCACTGGGGAGACAGGCAGATGGCCACAACTTGCCTGACCAAGACCCTGCAGAGAGGAGCCCGGGAGATGAGCCCAACCCATCGACATGGCATGTGTCTCCACGGGTGAGCCTTAATGTAGCTCAGCGAGGTTTTGTAGTTGTCTTCCTCTGGTTAATTCCAAGAGCTGTGAAACGGTTGCTTCTGACAAGTGTCTACTTTCAAACTTTTTCTTGAGAAGATTGACCAATTCCTCATGTTAGCATAGCCAGAAGTCTACTGGCCGTTGTGACAACGTTTTTTGCAGATACAGATGCAGTGTCTTCACTAATTCCTGCAACACATTTTTTTTTTTTTTGGACTGCCATTGCTTTTGACAGCCCTTCCAGATCGTATGATTGGGCTCCAGCGAGAGACCTGCAAGTGGGGGCGATGCAGACTCTGCTCTGCCATCCTACAGTACGCACAATTAGTTTTAATTAAGTTTGGGAAAAAGCTCATCTTTTTTCAACTTTTAAAAAGTGTGCACTCTGGAACCAGACTGCCTGCCTTCATATCCTATCCTGCCACTTCCTAGATCTGTGGTTATAGGAAAGTAGCGTAATCTCCCTCCTCTATAAAATGTGAGAACAGGACGGATACCTCAGAGAGGTGTTGTGAGAAGTGACTTGAACAAAGTAACTCAGAAGAAGACGGCACACTAGTAAATTTTACCTATTAGTTCATTCTGTATGTTTGGGAATGAGAAGGTTTTACTATTTGTACACTAATGTATCTGGCCCATAAAAATTGTAAGACTGCATGGAAATATGGGAAATGCTCCTAACATCTTAAGTGAAAAAGGCAGATTAGAAAATAAAATGTATACATGCTTGCAAGTATGTAATAATAATACGTATACAAACAAAACCTGAAAAGAAACCTGTAAAATTAAAATAGTTGTTTTTGTGGTGATGAGGTCATGGGTACCTTTTACGCTAAGTATTTTCCACATTTTTTTTTGTAATTTTGCTTTTTTTTTTTGTAAAATAAAAACAAGATATAAATGATGTGTTTTCTTACTAAAAACCATTTACTTTTACTCCATGGAATATATGGCTAATTTTATTTGTGGTAAGTTATCTTTTAAGAAAAAGCGAAGCTTGTAGACTTCTGAAAACATCAACTTTTTTCTACTGCCTTTTTAATGTTTGGATTAAAAAATGTAAATGTGAAAATGTATTAGTTATAAAAGTTATTTAAGTTTCAAAATTAACAGAACAATTGCTTTTTGGCTCCGATATCTACAATACTGTTGAGAAGGCATTCGGTTCTCTTCAAGCTGGTTCCCAGGGGAACAGCTGGTGTAGCAGAAGCAGCAAAGTACTTGTGGGTTGTCCCTCGTGGGGAAAACACCCAGTTCACACCCAATCGGAAAGCGAGTACATGGAAAGAAGCAGGGCAGGTGTGCCGTTGGGCGGACTGAGAATTCAGTGGAGAATTTAAAAAGGAACAAAGATGAAGTTCGGATGAAAGCAAACCCCAAATCCTTCTTTATTTCTCCAGAAATAAACATCTCCCTGTTATCACTTGTCATTAGTGCTTGCCCACCATATGAATTCGCTCTCAAAGCTCTACTCATTCTTCATCATAACTCTAAATTTAGGAAGAAAAGTAGTATTACACTTACGTAAGTTTAGGAGAAAGGTAATATTATACTTATATAAACTTAGGAGATAGGTTTTGATTTTTATCCTTCAGGTCTCAGCAGGATCAAGTATTGTTTAAAAATTGTATCTAAATATGTATTTTTGGTAAATGCAGAATTTCATGATTAATAATGAAATAAAACCAAGGGATAAAAACAAGATTTGATATATATTCAATTTGATTATTTCTCAACCCCAATTGTCTTAAACTATAATGCCATCTTCTGCTAGGTAATCTGCTTAAAAATTCCACATGAATTTGACTTCTAGAATTTAATTACATTTCTTACCTCAAGGTAACTCTTAACAGAATCTTAAAATTCTGCCTTTTATATAATAATGATTAATTCTGCAATCATCAGTCAAACACATTGAAATAACAATTATGTGACCTATTTGTATAAAGTTCAAATATTGTTAGTTTTAGCGGCAGAAGCTAAGAATTACGTGACATACGTGACTCTAACATGACTTGCAGCTGAAACAATCCATCTGCACTACTCTGGCCACCTGCCAGTGCTTGTGCACATGAGCTCTACAAAACTGACAAAACGAACTAATAGAACTCTTTCTCAAGTTGTTTTCAACCAAACAGTCAATTTTGAGTGCTTAGAAAACTAAATAATCCTGAGCAAAGTATTGAAGGAAACATAAAGGTATACGGACAAAATGGAAAACCGAGATAAAATAAAGAGACTCTTTTTATGATTATTCAACCATGGTCTTTCAATCTGCTACTGGAATTCTTAACAATTGAACATAATACTTTTACTGGAGGAAAATCCTAGAAATTATTATAAAACACAATTCCCCAAACCCTATTTAAATGTAAATAAAATTATTGAAACTTCTGGTTAATATTAGGATTTTTACAACTGTTTATTAAGAGATGGCATAAGAAGTGCAGAATGATAACCATTCAAGAAATCCGATAGATTATTAGAGAGAAAAATCCCTTCAAGCATTTGAAATTTTGTTCATCAATCTGACTACTTACGAACTTAATCTATGGTTTTGCTCTTTATTCCAGCTACAGAGTTTAGGCGGAGCTGGTTTCTTTGGATTCTTATAGAACAACAATATTATGTCTAGCAATTACCAGTTCTTCATCATGAATATGTTATTATAGTTGTCAAAACTTCTCCAGTTTGGCCTAACTGTTCCTGCTCTTGCCAAGGATCAGCCTTAACTTAGCTATGGCAGAGCTAAGTGATGAATGTGAGGCAAAGTGTAAGAAAGAGAATAGACGAAAAGTGAAGTGCAGAACAGAGGCTCAAAAAAATAAACAGGACAAAGAATAAGATGAGCAAAACCTCTTTCCAGAGACTCCTGTACAGATGGGCACCAGGAGAAAGTGCCTGTACCAACAAGCAATCCTTGCATAGAAAGAGCAACATTACACAACACATGTGCACCACACACAAAATTACAGCCAGTTTCTACCACAGGGCTGAACGGCACGTGCTCAATGAGTATAAATGAGGATGAATCGCTCACCTTATCAAGTTCGCTTGTCAGTTTTTTGTTTTCTTCAGTTAGTAACACCTTTTCTCGTTCATACTGCTGTTTGAACTCATTTTCAAATTCTTCCCTTTCACTTTGACTAACACAATTTGAAACATAAAAAGAAAAAGAAAAAGAAAAGGAGTGGAATTAAAGGTAAAATTATGGTCCCAGATGGGCTATTGCGCCACATGCTTTACTGTGAAAAGCCACTTAGATCTTGATTGATACAAGCCCCAATCCTTTCCCTTAAAGTTAACAATCATCTTCCTTTAAATAGTCAACAGACTTGTCCTCTTAACAACATGCACTTTGTTTTTCATTTGGAAATCTGAGGGAGGCACCTGTGCTTTGTGGGCCCCTGGGCTGGGGGCCCCTAAATGGTTGTGTGTACACGAGAGGAAACCGGGAGGTGAGGAGGCTGGGAAAGCAGGTTCACGAGCCACGGCACCGGTCCTCGGACTCAGCTCCTCGGACTCGGCTCCTCGGAGCCCGGAAGTTCACGGTCACATTCCCAACTGTCCTTTCAGTGCACTCGGCCTTCCTCTGCTCCTTCCTTCTCACCTAAGTACCTGCTACCTACACATACATATACAACACAAGTTAGTATTACAAAACTTACTTAAAGTGATAGTCCTGGGGGCAGAAATGTCTACGCTAAGAGGTAAACATGGTTCTCACAGACATTTACAAAAAGGGAGAGAGGGGAATCAGTTTTTGAATAATGAGATAGAAAACTGCATTTAAGTAGACTTGCTTCCATCTGTAGCAGTCTGAGGGGGGATGCTAGCTAGCAGCAAATGAAATTCAGTGTGCATCAGTTGAGGGTAATTTTATGTGATTAAAAAAACATAATTTTGATTTTAAAAATGTAATCTTAAAAATCCCTAGCACCACTACATTACTGAATATAAATTAAATTATAATTTAAATAATAAACTCCAGGAAAACAAGCCATAGTGTGTCCCAGCAAACGTGACACTTTCCTTATTATCTATCGTCACAATGTCAATTTACTTGTGTCTAAGAATCTTTCTGTTCAGTAGCAACTCAAAACAGACAAAAACATGAAAAGTTACAAAAGAGCCTTTCTTCAGAAAAATATGTGTTCAAATAAACTGAGTAAAATTTCTACATAGAACCATTGTTTTTTCCTATCTGCATGAAATGAAACTCGAGTCTCTTCCATATTAAAGCAAACTCTCCCCCAAACCCGACGTCACCCTTCATTTTCCACTTTCGTCTTTCCCTCACCGGCAGCCACCCTGAAACCCCGCACAATCTGTCTACACACCTCGCCGCTCCTCACCACATCAAAATCTGGCCTCTACCACTACCACCCCAAAAAAGCTCTGCTCTGTCCACACTCACCATGTCCTGTCGCCACACCCAACCCGCCGGCTGCCCTTGCCCGCGCTGCCCACTCCTCCTCCTGAAACGTCATCTTCTCCTGGCTGCAGTGACTCCATGCTCTCCTGACTTCAGCTGCCTTTCTGGACTTCCCGGTGCCCTCCCCGCGGTGCTAGTGCTCCTCCGTATGCAGTCCCAGGGCTCGACTCCTCTCTCTCCACGTTTTCCCCCCACGCTATCTCTGCCACTGCACTACTGAGTCCAGTTACTGTCTATTATGCGGGTGAGCTCTGAATTGACATCTGGAGCTTTTCTGGGCTTCAAACTGCTGACTTGCCATCTCCACAAAGATGTCCTCCAGGCACCGTAAGTTCAACATGCCCGATAAGAGAGCTCAGCACAGAACACGTTCCCAGCACCGTCTCTGCCGTCCCCTGTGCCCACACTCTGCTTGCTCCTCTCACACTACAGGTGGAATCGGGGCCCAGCCCCTTCGCTCCCATCCCAGTGAGAATGCACTGCTCTGGCACTTTGCTCCTCTCCCCGGAGTCATGTACCGAATGATTCTCTATCAGATTACAAGCCTGGTGTTATTTCTCCCACCTAAAAACAAAAAGCAAAATAACTTCTTTTGAGATAGTTTTCTCCTCCAGCCACTACCTCACTGCACTGCTTGCTTTTATAAGACTCCAAGTAATAGCAGGGTGATCTACGCTCTGTCTCCAACTGCCTGCCTTCAAGTCTTCAGATCTGTGGGGTCCCACCCATACTGTTCCACTGACCTGCACATGGTTAAACTCAATTGCCATCACCTGGACCTCATTTTGTTGGATAAACACATGATATCATCTGACGCGAAGACAGGTTTGATATGATTTCATCACGTGGATTCCAGGACACCAAATCTGCCTGGTTTTCTTCCTGCTATTTCTCTTGGCTGTTCCTTCCTCATTTCCCAGCCCCAAAGACTGGACTGCCCCAGCGCCCGGCCCCAGAGTCTCTCCTCTGTCTGTACTCCTGCCCTCAGTGACCTCTTACTGTCTCACCAGTTTAGAGAGCCTGGGGCGGTAAGCACTCCCAGAACGTCATTTCGAGCCCTGAAACCCAGGCCGTGCTGCACGTGGCCCAGCTGACGTCTCCACCTGGATGTCTAACAAGCTTTTCAAACGTCAGCTGTTTAAAATGAGCTCCTGATAACACTCCCATCCCAAAGCTGCTTCTCACATCGTCTTCCTCTCTATGGTCTCCTAATTGCTGAGGCCAAAAACGTGGTATCATCCTTGATTCCTCTTTTTTTCTCGCCCCATATCTATTCCATCGGCAAATGCCATTATCTTGTCCTTTAAAGGAGACTGGAATGAAAACGCTTCTTACCACCGATTCTGCCCACCACCCTGGGCCCCATCTTTTGCCCAGATTATTGCAACAGCTCTCTAAATGGTTTCATGCTTTTTCTCTTATCTAATTCAGACCGTTCTTACCACAGTAGTCAGAAGCCATCCTATTAAAACACAAGTCAGTATTTGTTAATTTTCTGCTCAGCACCCTGTCACGCCTCTCTTCAATGGTTTTACTCAGAATAAACAACCGGAAGCCAACTGAACACGACTTCCAAAGCCTGGCCCCTACTGCTTGTCATGGTCATCTCTGACTATTCTTTCCCCTTAACTCTACTTCAGCCACATGGACCTCCCTGTTATTGTTTTTAAATAAACTTTATTTTTATAGCTGCCTTAGGTTCACAGCAAAACTAGGTACAAAATGTCACAGATATCGCCTGCCCCTCCACAAGCGCTGACCCCCACTATCAAGATCCCTGCCCGGAGTGGTACACATGTGACAATGAACCCACATCGGCTCTGGCCGTCGTCATCAAACCCCACAGTTTACCACAGCGGTCACTATTGTGGGGTGCACCACGTGCAATGTTCCTCTCATACATCTGTAGTGACACCTCCCCCACTGTCCTGAGCCCTCACTGAGAAGTCACTTTCTCAGTACAATTTCCCCTGGCCATCCTACCGATGCAACTAAATCCTTCCCCGTAACGCTTCACAGCTCACATCCTCTGCCTTATTTTTTGTTCTTGACATTTACCATTACCCAATATGTTTGCTATGTTACTAATTGTTTGTAGTCTTTCACCATAACTAAAGGAAAGTTCTATGAGCACAGAGATTTTTTTGTCTCTCCACTGCCATGTTCCCAGTGACTTACAGGCAGTAGGTTCTAAAATACTCCTGTTGATTGCTTCTCGGCCTTTTGGCTAAGATCAAGTGTAGTATCTGTTCTTATCAGTTTAAAATACTCCTGTTGAGTCAATGTACCGAACTGAATAAACTCAGGCTCCCAACACAGGTTGAGAATGGTACCAACGCACATTCACCCTGAAGTCTAGAAACCTGGGCATCACCAATAATCCCTCCTGTTTCTCACTCCTCCCCTCCGGCCACTGTGTCCTCTCGGTCCGTCCTCTCGGGAAACCCCTGCACGTCCCTCACTGTCACCCTGACTCCTCTCTCTCCGCTCCCGCCAGCCCACTCTCCACACGGCTGCAGGAGACATCTCTTAAAAATATAGATGCAATCATGCCCTTTCCCTGCCAGGGCCTTTGAATAAAGTCCAAGTTCCTTAAAGTCCGTCATGAGCGTGCCTCTGTTTTCCTTTCCGGCCTCATTTCTCACCACCCTCATCTTTCTTTTCATGTTTTTGCCATATGAACGGCTTTTATTTTCTGAGGGTGCCACGCTCCTCTTACCCTGCAGATCCTACCACATTCTGCTGCTTCCGCCTGGACACTCTTCCCCAGCATCTGTTTCTCGGGTCTTCACTTACAAATCATTTTGTCCAAGAAACCCTGGCGTACGAAGTCGCCTTGTGTGCCTCTGCTACGACGCGCTCCCCCACACAGCCCACCCGCGTCCCCATCAGGCTGGACTGCAAGTTTCTGTTCTCCATCTTGACTCTGGTCTCCCGAGGACTGGAATACGTTTACTGCCTATGGATCTCCAGTCCCTGGCACATACTAGGCATTCAATAAATATTAAACATTTAAATAACTTGATTCTTACCTCTCTCTCCTGTTTTTTTCCAATTTGTCTTTCAAAATCATAATTTCTTTGTTCAGAGCAAGTTGCTGGCCTTCTGAATCATGTAGTTCTTTCTTCAGATTTTTAATTTCATTTGCATGTATTCCTTCTCGTTTAGATAATTCTTCTTCATAAAAGATACTTTTCTTTTCCAAATCTGTCTTTAGTTTACTTATCTCTTGCTGATGTTCTATGCTGTACACTCCTGGTGAGTAACTAATTTGTTTTTGCTATAAGAGAATAAAAGATTAGTTCATCTATAAGAATAATAAAACAAGTCATTTGTTTCTGTAACATAAAGATCTGTTCATATAGCTGAATATTATTTTTGTATATTATCACATAAACATAATTCTTTATTCAGGATATTAGTCTTTGCCATACGCCGCAATTTTTTTCCTCAGTGTATATGCCTTTATTATTGTGTATGTTACAGTCTTCTTCACACCAAGATTAGGTATCTGTATTTTCTGTTGGTACTTAAAATGACAAAGGTCTAATCTAACACCTTCATGCTCACTCTAGGAAACAAAAGCAGGACTCCTTGCATTTAGGGAGGGTATTAAGAAGGAGAAATCTGGTTGAAAGCCATCTTTTTACAAATTAGGTTAAAATACACTCTTAGTAACAAGGGAAAAGGAAAACGTGGTCTCTGAAGCCCCTTCCAAGTCATGGCTCAAGGATGAACAGAAGCACGGAGACTGTGACTGTGAGATTTCCTGAGCTTTGTGACCTACTCTCCCAAGTAACTGAGAACGAAACTTGAGAAACCCAGAGAACCTATGGGCTATGATTAATGACAATGAGAAACCAAGCTCTGGCAGATGTGTCCTTTTTTGAAAGTGGTATTAGGGCTGAACTGGTAACAATAGCTGATTTAAATTTTAAAAAAATCCACCATGCTAGCTTCTTCCCATTTGAGGTATACGATTTAAAAAATAAATAAACAAACGGTATCAGTGCGGGCCTCAGAAGCGTGCCTGGGTTACCCACTGCACCGTCCCAGCATTACCCACAGACTACCCAGGAAGCGCCTACCAGCTGCACAACACAGACTGTCCCGCAGTTGCGGAGGCAGCCTGGCGTGCAAAGACCTGCTGGAGCTGAGAAGAGCCACATCAAGTCAGATTCTCGCTCTCGTGCAGCTGCATGACAATAATGCCTACATGGGCGTCTGCAGCCCTGACCACTTATCTATCTATACACTTGTCTTCCCATATCTGTGGTTTTATTTTCCATGGTTTCAGTTACTCACAGTTGCAGCCAGCTGTAGTCCTAAAATATTAAATGAAAACTCCCAGAAACAAATGATGCAGAAGCTTTCAACTGCATGCCTTTCTGAGCAGCAGTATGAAACCCTGCGCACCCTGCTTGCTCCGTCCCACTGGGACGCGATCATCCCTTCAGCCAGCGTTCGCACACTGTATGCGCTGCCCACCCCCAGTCACCTCGCCGGCTCGGTTATCAGACTGGCGGTCACAGTATCGCAGGGCTCGTGTTCAAGTCACCCTCACGGCAGCCTCACACTGTGTCTCGGTGCCCAGTATTCCCTTCCCTTCATCTCGTCACCTGGCCCTGTGTCATGGTGTGTCACAAGGAGGAGCAAGGCACGTGCAATCCAGTGCTCACCGAGAGGGCCCCATCCACGGGACTTTCAGTACGTGCAGTGCCATAATTGTTCTTTCAGAGCCAGTTATTGTTGTTAACCTCTTCTTACCGGGCCCAATTCACAAATTAAACTTTATCACAGGTATAAATGTATAGAAAAACACAGTACTATAGGGTTCGATACCATCCAGTCTCAGGCACCTGCTAGGCATCTTGGAACTGATCCCCTGCAGGGAAGGGGAACTACTTTGCTCTTCTTTCATTTTTCTAAGCACCTGAATAACAATTTTAGTTTGTTGTTCTGGTTAGTGTAGTTTGGCTGCTGGGATAGTAACAGCATGTAGTAGAAATTCCAAAGAAAAATTGCCCTAAATGCCCTAAAAATGTTACAGATTTGTCACTAATTGATAAGGATGTAAAAAGCCAAATGAAATGGTGACAAACAAATTAAAACCATAGGTAAAAAAGAAAACTATATGGGAAAAGAATAGGTTGTGCTATAGGTATTTAAAATAATTTAATATTAGCAAATGTATTAGTACGTGTGCAAAAAATGCTTTCTTTCAGTAAGTTAAACTAAAACAAAACCACATAACAATCTCAGTAGGTACCCCATCTAAGACTCCACGACAAAATCCAACACCCATTCCAAACACTACTCCCAGTTCCACCACGAGTCAAAGCAAAACAGAAGCGCAGATTCTGCTACCTTAAACATCGTCCATTCTCAAGTTACCAGACAACACAGCGCTGGTAAAACACCAGACATACACACAATACATCCAGGAACACTAACGACAGGAAAGATGTCTTCCATCATCTCCCCTATTTAATGTTAGTTCTTAGATGATCTGACCAAGAAACATGTGAAGTATTAGTTACAAGAAATGAGTATCTTTAAAAAGTGATAAAATCATTATCATTTAATATAGCTGTTCACCCAGAAAATGCAAATTAACCCACTGAAAGTGTCAGAGTTGATGATGTAAAGCAACTGCATTAGACAAACACTAACCATCAGTACTTCCGGACCACAGAATAAGCAGTAAGAAAATAGTAAGAAGTCTCTCTGTTAACAAAAAAACAACCAAACAAAATTAACTAGAAATTAATAAACGTGTACAAAGGATAACAATAGTAAGTAATTTTTCTGAATTATATAAAAAACTACAAGTCTTTATAAAAATAAGACTTGAAACAACACAGGAAAAAATATCAAGTTCTGTTAAAGAACTCTTCTTAATGGGAAGATTAAATGATATATATTCAGTATGTCCCAAATTATCTTCCTTTTAAAGCTAATAAAGCATTTTTTTAATGTGGGAAGTGATGCAGGGGTGGAAGATGGAGACAAATGTTCCTAGTACATGGGCAGAAATAAACTGGCAGAAATACCAAAAAATTCTGCAAAAGGAAAAAGAATAAAGAGAGGGAGAGGACAATATTCTTTTCAGATATTAAAACCTAGTATAAATCTTAGTTTTTTAAAAAATATATTTTATTTATTTTTAGAAAGACAGGAAGGGAGGGAAAAAGAAACATGATGTGTAAGTGAAACAGCTATTGGTTGTCTCTCTCATGCCCCCAACTAGGGACCTGGCCCGCAACCCAGGCATGTGCCCTGACTGGGAATTGAACTGGTGACCTTTCAGACCACAGGCCAGCACTCAACCCATTGAGTCACACCAGCCAGGGCAACATACTACAAATCTTTAATAGAGTATGACTGTAATATATCTCCATCCCCAAATAATTTAATTCAATATATGAGACAACTTCAGTCACTGAGGAAGGCAGTGATTAACAACATTTGAACCACCAGCAATACAAGAACAAAATGATTCTCACATCATACAAGTTAGCAACACAAACTCCAAATAAAATGGAGTTAAATAGTTTTTAACAAAATAAAAACATCCAGGAAAAAGCAGAATTACATATTTAGCAAACTCTGAAAAAGAAGGAAAAGCCAACTGAGGAAAATAAAAACAAATCTTCTACAATTTGAAAAAGAAGGCCAAAGTTAAAGGCCAAATGAAAGTGACAAAATAGTTGCAGAAAATCTAAGTATAATTATACAAAGAGTTTATGTGAATTTATTTAAAAAATTAAGACTATCTAATTAAATGGGCAAATGATTTGAAGAGAGATTTCACAGAGAAAATATGCCTCATAAAGTAACTACTAATAAAGCAGAAAATGCCTCTTACACTTGCAAGTGTTTGTGGCACTGACTCAAGGTCTTGCAATGACCTGACAACTTCATTTTCAGGTATTTGTTCTAAGAAAATGATACTGAAAAGCATTGTATAAAGGTGTTCATGGTAATTGTAACATTGTGAAAGTATAATTATTCAATATTAGAGAACTAGATAAATGGATATTCCTTTGTAATCATTAAAATTATGTTTGTGACAATTATGTAATAATGAGTGAAAAGTATATGTTAAAGGTTGAACTTTCCCTCCTAAATTTATGTAGAAGCAATAACCACCAGTATGTAACCTCAAAATGTGACCACATTTAAAAACAGGGTCATTATATAAAATTAGTGCATTCTATGACTTCCATGTGGATCTAAAACAGTCAAATTCCTGGAAGCAAAAGAATGGCCGATGCTCAGGGCGGAGGGGATGTGGGGGTCGGGGGGCAGGGATGGGCCACCACTGGTCAGGGTGTGAAGTCTCATCTATGAACCCACTCTCTGGGCCTAAAGTAAAGTAGGGTGACTACAGTGAACAGTACTGTACTGTGTGCCTGAAATTTGCTAAAAAGATTAAGAAAGTTCATCCGGGTATAAATGACTGTAATATATACATATATCCAAACATCATGTTTTACATCTTAGACAGTTTTCATTTGTCAGCTGTACCCCAATAAGCTGGAAAAAAGAAAGACAGGGTCTTTACAGAGTTAATCAACCAAAAGTGAGGTCAGTAGAGCGGGCCCTACAATGACTCAAGGTCACGCACACCGGGAGAACTGGAAGTGAAGACCAGGCAGGGACCCAGCAGGTACTTCTATAGCCAAGGAAGGGCCGGCCCTGCCAACACCTGGATTTGGATGCATTGGACCCCATCAAATAAAAGCTTGAGTGCACTGTGTCAAAGGGCATTTTTGAGAAAGGGAAAAGGCAATCTAAAAACTGGAAGAAATTACTTACTTGCAAATCAAATACCTGATAAGGGTCTGATATCCAGAATATATACAGAACTCCTACGACCCAATCAAAAAAAAAAGGGGGCAAATAACTGGAATAGACATTTCTCCAAACATATATTAACAGCCAATGGGCACAAAAAGAGATGTGCAACATTAGGAAAATGAAATTAAAACCACAAGATAACCACTCTAGATTTACTAGGATGGCTAAAACCTAAGAAATGGAAAAAGAAGGAAGTGTTTGCAAGGATGTGAAAACAGCCCGGCGGTTCTTCAACACTGCACACAGGTCACATGACCCACGATTTAACTCTAGGTCCGTACCCCAAAGAACAGTACGCAGGGGCTCCAACAGCCACTTGCACACCAGAGTTCACTGACGCAGTATCACAGCAGCCAACAGGTGGAAACAGCCCCAAGCGCCCATCAACAGATGGAGAAACAAGATGTGGTTTGTACA